AAAAAAAAGGGGGAAAAAAAGGGGAAAAAAAAGGGAAAAAAAAGAAAAAAAGAAAGGAAGAAAGAAAGAAAAGAAAAGAAAAAAGAAACAAGAACAAGAACAAAAACAAAAATAAAAAGCAGGGGAAGAAGTTCACCTATAAAATATAGGGCTTATCAAAGTGTCAGGAAAGCAAGAAGCGAGGGCACAAGGAGAATTGAACAGAAAGGAAAAAGAAAAAGGGTAGAGAGATGGATCAGGGGAGTCAAACAGCAGGCACAAAAGTTTCTTCTACTTACCAGAAGAGTATCCATCAATTATTACTCCCACTACTGTTCGGAACTGTCAATTTCGAGGATATGACCCACAAAGGAATTTCGACCTCGCTTTCAGGTAAGTCCCTTCTCAGAAAAGGAATACTGTGACGACCAGTGTGACCCGAATTACTGGATGATGGGTGGGTGGACATGACATCTAGCGGCCACGCTAGCCTCCATTGGTTTAGCCCAGCGAGTGGCACCACGTGGGAAAGGTTCCAATAATCTGGTGCTGAGATTGCTAACCAGACCACATCCCCGACGCACCATACAAAGTCCGGTTGTTTCCCACTTGAGGTGGGCATGTTCCCCATATCTGGCTTTGAAGTATTGCGGCATCCCCCTTTCTGTAGCTTTTTGGTAGATTGTATCTCGTCTGGAATTATACCAGGACTGTTCCGGGTATGTTACTCTTTTAGTGGCTTATCCTCAAGGATCAGAGGGCCAGAGATTACCTAAACGTGGAGAAAAGGGACTCTGCTGTGAAGTTGCTTGCCTTCGCGCTTTGCTCAAACAACATGTCTGTAGGCTTGTTTCTATGATAGTTTCGTGCCGGAATATTAGTTTCCGTGATCCCGACCCCTGTAGCCATCTCTCCCTTTCTCTCTCTTCTGGATTAGACACTCTTAGAAGTAGTTAAACAGATTCTTATAAAATCTCGATTATCATAGTAACTGCAAGGATTGCTTATGGATCATCTATAGTCCGCTCGAGAGATAGTGCAGGTGTTTAGAGATTTTGATGTAAAGAGTAAAATCTATCCGTAGGGATATATATATATTCTACTAGCCTACATCTGCCTGTACATGGCTGACCGTGGCGATCCGCAGAAAATCTTATCAAGTGTACATTCTACTGCGAATCGATATACGGTCTTTAGCAAGTATGAAAGAAGTTCTTTTAGCAGCTTGGTTGCCTCAATATTGATGGGTGTCTTAATAAAAAGCTCTCTGATTCTCCCATTATGTATAGCTTGAGAAGAGAAAGCCTATTTGTGTGTCAGCCAGCTAGTCATCCCAACTAGCCCCATTGGCCACCCAGGCGCCCAAGCCGACCCGTTCAGACCAATGATGCCAATCCAAGTTGCGGGACTGCACCACACCACTATCAATGCCACGTGATGCTCGCCCACGGGGCCTTTGGCAACACGAACATATGGCCGACTCGAGAGACTAGTCTCGGAGAGTTGGGATAGCTAGACAACCACTCCATTTTGTCAGGGACACTCGCGCCCGGGGCGAACCCCTGAGAACTACCACCGTAGATTCCTTGTTTAGGCGCTACATGCACTCGCCGTTACTCGGGAACTAAGCTACTGTTGCTTCTGTTTGGTACAGTATACAGTACATTAAAGAATTTTGTAGGTATCGCTATTCTATTTACTTTTTGTGTCCGTACTAATATGTGCATCTGTGGCTTGCGACGTCTAATGCTGGCACGCAGTTTTCATACATCTATTCCTGTTGGGACGTACCGCAGTTTTGCCGGCAATTGTTATGGATCGAGGTTTAGACTATAATTAGTGAAGTGAGTCTGGTTAGTCATGTGACCCTTTGTCTAGAATGGCAACAGAAAGGATAATGTACGCGATAGTTTCATTTTCTTCTCTTCTCTTCAGCTTAGTCTCTTCATGATAGTCTGCCTAATCAACTATGTGGTTCAGCAAGAATCTCTTGCAGCAATACCCCTTCAATTATATAGGTCAACTGGAAGATGTTGAAGAGCTAGTTGTCGTCCCGGTATGATCCTCGTTCGTATGCTGTGCAACTGGACATGTATTTGCCTCTTGTGCCCTTCCCATCTGGAGCGCGGCTCGCAACTCGCTATTCTCCCGGCGCAAGGATTCACTGTCGACCCTTGCGCCGAGAAGATCGAACCGCGCGAGGGCCAAATCGAGGACAGATTCCAGGGTCTGATACTCTCGATGCGTCGCTCCTTGTTCATGCTCATACGTGCACAGTAGCATCCACAGTTTCTCCACCAGGGTGAAGAGAACTTCTCTGACCTCTTTGACGGCGGCAAGCTCTGAGGCCACATTACCCAGTTCACGTCTTGCGTCTGACAGCTCCTTGTCCTTTTTCTCGAGAACGTGGGCGATCGTTGTGCATTTGGCCGGTACATCAGCCAGGAAGGCCCAAACATTCTGTTTCAGCAGTTAGCCATCGTTCTTGAGAATGATATCGCGTTTCTTGCTACTACCGTGCCCATGCCTAGAATGCCCGTGATTTTTTCGCGTTTCTTGCCGAATACAAGGATGATGGCGAGGAATTGAGTCGCACCGTGGCGGGATGAAATCGAGTACAAGCAGAAGGAAATAGCTGGGAGAGTTACAGTAGTCAGGAAGAGGGAGCGGGAGAACAAAGAGGATATGGTGAAGTAAAAATTAACTAGGCGAAATACAAAGGACGACAGAGAAACCTATGCAGCCACTTTTGAGCTGCGAAGGAGACCGTGGTGTCATTGCGCTGCTTGTGCCATCACAAATAGAAGGGGCTTTTCTTATCTGTACGCTGACTGAATCCTTCCACCCATCGCTCCCGGAGAGGCGACACGGAAAAATGAGGGCCTCATTTTCTATCCTTCTGCACATAATGCAGCAATTGTCCATGGCACTGACCTTGTTCATAACTCAGCTCACCATTTTAGTTTTTCTCTGTCTTTCTTCCTCCTCCCTCTCTCTCTTTCCTACCCTCATTTATTCTCTTTCTTTTCTGTCTCTAAGAACCCCATACTTTTTGCTTTGCTTCCCTTCTCGATACATGTAGGGACCCTGGAGCGTTGCACCCAATATCACAGTGACCTTAAAAACATTCTTCCCCATCAGGTTATTAACGTAAGTCGGGCTTTCAGCGCTGCGCTGATCTCACTCCAATATGATCAGCCTTCAGATCTACAGGGGCTAGTTGCTACCCACCTAGCTACCGATCGCTCGTTGAACGAAGCTTTCCAATGGCATTGAAACCGGCGTTCATTTTGAACGAGCGCTGTTTGGCCCCTGGCGCTTTTGCCCTTCTTTCCCATCTTGGTTAAGGCATTGTTGTGAAAGTCGTGAAAAGTATAAAGATGGCAATGTCTGCTGCGATGGTGAAGTCTCCAGTAGTCAACAGTGACTTGGATCGCCGCTTCTAGCCCCATCACACCAAATTAAGCATCAATCACACACGACGCCGTACTGAGCTTATATACTACACCGGGAGCTGATATACGACATGGATTCCGCTATTGTCGAACAACTGGAGCCGCAGGCTCTTACCGACCGACCGACCAGCCCTGGCGTGGAGGAGCCGACTGCGACGGGGTTGACAGGACCACGCAGCATCGCCCTTGGCCTGACGCGCACCTACGCAGCGGACTGGACGGTTCCTGATGCCCTGCGGGAGCTCTATCAAAATTGGTAAGTCCCTCTCATGGCCCCGAAGCAATCGAGTCTCCCCCTCTCCCCCACCACATTGGCTCGGCGCTGAACCCTACCACAGGAAGGATGCCATCCTGCAGGCCCATCCAATGAGCTTGGTCGATTTTGCGCCGCACGTTTCGGCGACTTCGGAGTCGATCACGATCGTCGTCGAGGAGCAAGTCGCACCGGCCCCGGGCGGAGCCAGACCGCCGGCACGGAGGGTCCTGGGATTCATTCGATTTAACAAGGCCCAGGGCAGTGCAGAGTTTACCAACCTGGGATCCTCCCTGGACCCGCAGTGTCTGGAGATGGGTCACACCACCAAGAAGAACGACGAGCGCTTGGCCGGCGGCCATGGGGAGGGGCTGAAGATCGCCGCCCTGGTGCTCTCTCGCGCGGACCACCATGTGAAGATCTCCGCGAGCGGCCTCTACTGGAACTTTGGGTTCAACGGCCAGGCGAAAAAGAATTTCTACTGCCGACTGACACCAGCCAAGGCGAAGCGAGACCCCGGGGCCCCAGGGCGCCCCAGTCATCCCGCACGGCTCAGCGCTGAGGTTGGGAGGGACGTCTCGGTGCTTGTTGAGAAAGGCCAGAAAGGCCAGCGATTGTCGCTGAACGACTTTGGCGTCTGGATGCGGGACACGGTCGACCTCCACGCCCCCTCGAGCTCGGTTCGGACGCCCGTTGGAGATCTACTGCTAGGATCGGTACACTGGGGCCGCCTCTACCTCAAAGGTCTCCGCGTCCCGGAATCGAGCCAGGGCCACCAGCCGTTCCGCTTCGGCTACAACCTGGTCCACGGCAGTGTCGACCGGGATCGGCAACGCCTGGTCGACGCGCCGCAGGCGGCAGCGGACATCCATTCGATCTGGGAACGCGCGATCATGCAGGATGAGGCTAAGGCGCTCCCGCGCTACCTGGAGCTCCTTCGAAACCACCCGTCGTGCGCCGATGCGAGAGGGGCGGAGCGGTCGGTCACGGAGGCGACAGCCAAGAAACTGTGGGAGGCGATCTGTCGCGAGCCGAGGACTCGGGATGTGTTTTACTGCCGCGAATCTGACCAGAATGATGTATGTGCTATTACCCCCTCCTCCCTTTACGTTAGCAAAACTATTCTAATCTGCCACTTGTGCACGCGTGCTTAGGACTCTCCCGTTATCCGATCGGAGTTGAAGACGGAGCCTCAGCCGTTGCCTGACCCGCTGTGGTCGATCTTACGGATGTACGGCCTGGTGCGGAACCCTTTGGAAGAGCTGCAACGCCGGTTGGAAGTTTCCGAAGAAGTAGACGTGCCGGACACAGCGTTCGCACATGGCATGGCTCACACCCTTGGCGCCTTGCTCGCGCTGGATCTCTCGACCAGGCGGACAACAGTTGTCTTTGTCCGTTGCGGGACTGACTCGGTCGACATGGCGTACCGCACCGAAGGCGAGCGCCTGTATATCCACGAGAAATGGCTCCATGTTCAGCGTGGCCACTCTTCTGGAACGGAGGGCCCGATCCAACTCCAGCGCGAGGCCGGTGATGCAGTCTGCCAGCACGTGGCCGAAGAGCTCTACAATCGTGCCGTGACACTCATCTTCCGTCAGACCCATGGAGTGCACTCGAGTGAGGCGCTGCAGCCGCTCCTTCAATCGGCCCGCCGGAAATTGCATGAAATGCCGCGCATGATACAGGCACGCACCACGGATAAAGGAGAGCCGGCGAAGCAGGTCTCCTTCTATACGGGCCACAGTCTCATCTTCACTGAACTCTATGGGGCGCAGGTGCAATACCTAGTGGCGTTGCATGGGCCACACTGCACCAACCAGTCGGTGGATCTCGTGTATGATGCCCGCCGTGATACCTGTTTCTGTCCTCGACAGATTGTCTCCCTCAATAGCCGAACCGCTGTGTTCAAGGACCTGGGTGAGGGACCCTGGATTCCGACGATTGCAAAAATGCCGGACCCCAACAGTTCTATCGTACCTTCGGATAACCACTCTGCTCTACCATCTCTGAGAGCCCAAGACGGGGCGTTGGTGGGCATACCGGTCCGACCCTTCTCTCCGCTGATTGGGGGTACTGCCCGTGAGCCTCTAGAGACCCAATCGAGTGCACCTGACGTGGCCATTTCTCCCACAACTGTCCCAATTGGCTATTCGTCCGCGCTTCACGCTGCTGCGTTGCCTGCGCCCGCCGCCTTGATGGCGACAAGTTGGGAAACCCTGGCTGGAGACGAAACTTCCTTGGAGCAGGGCGCTAGGGTTGTGGGGGCCCTTTCGCAACCAATTGACGATACTCCTGTGGAGGGGCCTACTCTTGTTCACAATATGCCGATGACCTCCACGGATATTGACAGCATCTTACTGGAAGCGCCCGATGATGAACAAGAAGGATATCCCCTGGCCAGCACCGCCGACCATTCCCAGCAAGAGGTCTTCAATACCTCTCAGCGGCCCCGTCACCGGCCGGAATCCGCTCCTGCGGTGGGAACGACATCGTCCGACGCCATCGGTGATAGCTTGGCGATCCACGCCAGCGAGGCCCACGATGCCTCGTCCGGTTTGTCTCTGCCGGCCATTTCGCAGGACACGACCGGCCCAGAATCTGCCTGGTGGCGGACCTGGCCAAGACCACCCCCGAATGCCGACGCGCAGCAAAGAGCCACTGGCCAGGATATCCAAGCTGCCAAGGTGGGTCATTCCCTTGCATGGATACCTTGACTGTTGCTTGATGCACTTTGAACTTGATTCTTTCCTTTACTTCCTCTTCCTGCCTGACCCCTCGAGTTGCCTCTTCGCCTCTCCGTTTATCCTGCCACTTTCGTTGTCGGATTCTCTAACTTTTCCTTCCCCCTTCCGGCCTCGCTCCATACCCTGGATGATCTCCCTTGGGACCGGGAGTTGTAGTTTGGCGTTCCGTTTTCTTTGGCCCCATCGGTCGCAGAAATTGTTAGAACCCACGTGCTGATCTTTCTAACCGGCCAGGAACCCCATCAGTCACCCGAGCAATGTCCGCAGTTCTCGAGAGGCGCGTACGTTCAGGTACAGCTCCAGGTGCCCGGCGGCGACGGCACTATGGCCACCCGCCATGTACTCTACATCCACGATATTCTCTCACCGGCCGAGAGTGAATCTGGCCTCCGCCTTGTTGCCACGAAATATTCATTCCTCGTTGACCAGCTGGCGTGGGAAGCAGGAAGCCCGGCTGCCGGGAGCCAAGAGCTCCTCCTCCACTTCCAGGATGCCGACCGGATGGGCCACCAGGACGATGCGATCATCGTCAAAGTTGGCGACGTGGCCGCGGTGGATGAGGGTCCTGCCGCTACGTTGGTATCCCATGTCACGGAGGTGCCTGGTAAGATCTACACTCTGCCGCACTCCGTCTTCTACTGACATACTTGCTAGATGTGGTGACTGGCTTTTTTGCTCGCTATGGTATCCACGAAGGATCTTATCGGGAGTCGTTCTTCGTGACGCCTCTCGTGCCCCACCTCTCCGGGCCAAAAGGCAGCCCACCGTTCCCGCGCTTTACACCGTTCCCCGTAGCTTCGGTTTTTGATCTGTCCCCTGACGACCTGCGCCTTTCGACCGGCTTCGCGCAGGCGGGATATCGCGTCAGTGCTGCTGTTGGCTTCGATGAAAGATGCCACCAGCCGTGGAAGGTAGGCTCCTTTCCGTTGAGCTTTCTCCGCGTTTCCTCTGAGGATTGTCACGCCGCGTGTGGTGGGCGAGTGAGTGAGACTTGCATAGACTGACGCTGATTTTTATGCAGGCACAACATCCAGATGCAGTCGTGTATCACGGTTGCGCTGCGTCGGCTGTAGCCAGGATCGACAGCCAGGGTTTGGTACTGCCAGACATGGCAGGGGGCCAGGCGCCCCGCATTGTTACCATCAACGGAGAAGGCCCGTCGGTCGTGTCGCCATCTAGGACGCTTGCTTCCTGCGCCGTGGATGTGGTCGATCTCTCGCAAGCGGACTTGACCCCCCTCCAACTGTGTGAGCTCGCCGCGCAGTCGCCAGTGCTGAGCCCCGATTTTATCGTCCTGACCATGTCCCGTTCGATCCTCGACGACCAGCGGTGGGGCTCGCTGGCGAGCACCATGAGCCTTCTCCTCGAGCAGGGCTACTCAGTTACGCTGCGACGCGTCCCGCTGGATGCACCGGAGCCGTATAGAGAACGGTCGGTTCTCCTCCTTGCTGCCCCGGGCCGCACCCACCCTCAGTGGATCGACAATGCCATTTCCGATCTTCAAATGGCGCCCACACCGGACGAGGTACTAGCGGGACATATCGGGACAGTCTCGTCGGGCTCCGGCCAGCCTTGTCCATCTTCCTCGGCCTTGGCGGACGGGAGCGATTGCCGGGGCATACAAGGCGCGGGTATTCATGCCGCGGTCGACCCCGTCTTGCCCGCTGGTTCAGTGCCCGTAGGTGCGGCCAGCACCCTCGGCCTGGATAGCCTGTCCGTCGCAGGCCCTCACCCAAGCGGCGGCCGTATTCGACCGGATGGAGCACGGCAGATCGCAGCTATGATTTCCCGGATAATTGGGCAGTTCTCGACCAGGAACCCAAACCTGCAGCTGACCAACACGCCTGGGTTGGTCGTGTCTGAGTACGCCGACGATTCCCCGGAGAGGACCAAGCGGCAGAAGGTTGGGGATGCGTCTAGCTAGTGGTTCTTACCGTCCTTGACCGAGGGTATTTCCCGCTGGGGTGAGGTACTGGTGTTGGAACCTAATTATAGATAGCGGGTCCTCATTTGCAAATGATCTTTTGTTTCTTTTCATTTCTCATCTTCTTTTTTTTATAGTTTAAAACCTATTACAAGCCTTCGAATTTTTGTTCTGTTCGGCGTATGATGTATGGTTGTACTCTAACCTTCTAATAAGCTTTCCTTTCGGAAGACTGGAGGAGCAGAACGGCCGGTAGTGCTCCGCCCGGCCAAGGGGACGTCATTTGGCCAATCAATAGTAACATAACATCAATTTTCGTAACCATTCCTAGACTCTTAACCCTTGTAGGCCAACTGGGAGGGTATCCCAGGGTTTTGTACAGGACCTGTGTCGGTGAAGACGGAACACTTGAATGGGGACACATTGCCCTTCTTGTCAGGGTAAAATAGGGCAGGGTCATATCGAATAACTAACTATCTGGATCTGTCTGAGTAATCAAAGGAAAAACTTCTAATATGCACTTTTCTCAGTATTCCCGGTCGTGCCATTGGCTTGTCCACAAATGCGACTAGTTGCTGCTGTGTGAGTGTTCGGTTTGATATTGCAGAGTGAACCAGTGTTGAATGGGAAACTAGAGGTTTATATACCAGAATCTCCGCCAACTCTCTTAGACTCAAATTAGAATAAGAGCAGCCCCAGCACGTAAGGTTGTGCTGCTTCCCCACTTTTACTAGGAAGCCTGCCTTAGCTTTCCAACCAAGAGTGCTGCATTAACAAGTTGGAACAATGGTTTACGGTAGTTCAGCGTGGATCTAACTGGACACTGTTGGTGAAGATGACTGTAGTGATTCGTCCAACCGTGTCCTCCATTGATACAAAAGCCGCTCTACGCCATTATATCTTCTTATTCAAATATCCAAACACTCAAATGAGGAAGGGGCACTTCTTTCCAGCCATTCATGGCCTTCCGAGCCACAGCGTACGGCGGCGCGTCTTCCAATCAGCCTTGATGGTGTTAACCCGAAATCCAGCCAGCTCTGTCTCCGGCTCTCTATATATATTGACATCGAGGAATGTAAGGACAACGAGAAGAGCGTAGTGAATGTAACTAAGGGTAGGAGAAGAATAGATGTGTCTTTATCTAATCATCAAAGCATGGTTATGTATGCATGGTGTACATAGATGGCTTTATTCTACTACACGTATCTAGCCTTTGCCTTAATGTTTAGCTTTTAGCTTAAAGGAACATGTCGGAAATATATATTTACTATTAACTTCGGTCGCCTTCCCCAATTGGATCCCACAAGAGTATTTTCTTCTTTAACCATTTCTCCACGACAGCCACCCAGGTGAGTGGACCATATTTTTTAGTCCTAGGAACCGGGTTGTGATGCACACTCTTGGGTAAGTTTTCTTTTCTTTTTGGATGGCGCGAAATGGAGCAGAACTACTTTCCTTGCATTATAGTTGCTAGAGAATGAGAGAAAACCACCCGTGTAACAACAGTGCAAATGTGAGCAAAGCCGATTGATAAGATTATATACTAAGCTGTTGGCTTGGAATCATTGATGACTGGATGTCTTAGTGTGTTCTTGGCAGCTTTTGTATGGCCCATCTGCTGCGCGTCATCCCGCGTTCCTCGATCCCCTAGTCCACGCGACGATGTCAACATAAACCCTTGTCCCATACATACAGTCCAAGCAGCTTTCCGAGAAAACGCGTCACTCTAATGGTCGGGACCACCCCGGAACTCCCTACAGGTCGCACATGCACTATTAGCCAGAGGGTTTTTTTTTTTTTTTTTTCAAAATGGGGTAGAAAACTGGTACTTACGAAGAGATAGGCGAGATCGGTATTCTCCAGCCTGACGGGCTGCAAGTCGACTCTATCGTCGAGGACTTTCTCGATCAGCTGTCGTTTCTTGTCCTGGAGGTCCAGGATCCGATCCTCCACCGTGTCAGGGACGGAGATGCGGTGTACGTGCACCGGTTTCCGCTGGCCGATCCGGTGGACGCGCCCCACCGCTTGTTCTTCAACGTACGGGTTCCAGAACGGATCCAGGATGATCACCTGCGAGGCCGCTGTGAGGTTCAGCCCCGAGTTACCGGCCTTGAGTGATGCTAGCAAAACAAAGCAGCTGGGGTCGGTCGCGAACTCCACTGTGGCCGAGTGACGGTCGGCCGGTTTCATGGCTCCGTCGAAACGGCGGTAGCCCCAGCCGTTGCGGGCGAGAGGGACCTCGACCAGATCCAGCATGGCGGTGAATTGGCTGAAGATGATGACCTTCTCGCGCTCACCGCTGCGCTCCCCCCGGGCCTGGATGCCTCGCACGATCTCCAATGCCTTTTCGATCTTCGAGCTACTGATCCATTTCCCCTCTAGGAACCGCTGATATCTCCGTTTCGCCGCGGGATTGGTCAGGGCCTGCTTTCGCAACATTACCCAGCTTAGCCCAGAGGACCTACTGGACGGCTCGGGGATCGTACGGAACTCCAGCGGCGGGCCTGCCTGTCCGTTCCCGCCGGCGGCCCAGATCCCCGTCAAGCTGCTGTCATCGCCAACGCCGTCGCCATCCTCGTTATCCTTTTCGCAACTCATTTCCACCCGGTCGAGCAGGCGTCCGAGCATCCCGAGGAGGTTGTGCGAATCGCCGGGGTTGGGAGAAGTAAGTGAGTGCGTTTTGGCGAAGGAGACGTAATCGGTCGCCTTGGTGGGGTCGATGGCTACCCGGCAACTGGGGCAAAGCATCAACCCATCGCTGCCCGTATCTTGCTGCGTTGAGGTGTCTAGACGGGAAATCCTCGTGAAGCATTCCATGCAGACACTGTGACCACAGGGGTGAAAGATGACGGGGTTGTCCACGCCATCCTCGTAGCAGATCGGACATTCGTGGATGCTGTCGTTGCCGCGAAGTCGAGCGATGACGGCGGCGGCGAAGCGCATGGCGTTCGCTTCGCGGTGTTCCCTACTCTCCGGTGGGTCCAGCATTGCCGGGGCGAAGTCGGAGATGAGGAAGGGATGGCAGCATGCCTGTCGAAGACGCTGCAGTAGGCCCATCATGCGGGACACGTTTCGATTGGGGACGCTGCCGTTCAAGTTGCGGTTGAACTGCAGCCGTGTGTGGCTCTCCAGTGCGGTGTACAACTGGCGTTCCTGCTCGTTAAAGCTTACGTATACGTTCTCCGTCGTCCTGGACGGTAATAGGCAGATAGGTTGACCCCGAATGGTTGATGCCTTGGTCCGTCGCAGCATGACCGTGTTCATCAGACTCCGGAGCTGTGCGGTTCCGCGGGCCCGGAGGTGCCCCCAGCTACTTTGCAGCGGTCGCTGGATGGTCTGACCTGTAGGTTAGCATCGGCCCGGATTGTGGTGCGTGTAAAGGGACTGGCGAGATAGATCAAAACATCTTTGAGACAGACATGAAAAAAATGAAAAGCAAAAAAGAAAAGTAAGAAGGCGCAAAAAGGAAGAATGGAGATCAAGGAATGAAAGAAGATTTGGACAGGGAGACAACAACCGCCATGAGGGGAGGAAAGGCAGCAAAGGTGGGGTACATCCCGAAAATCAAAACACACTCGATATTTTTCGACGGACTTACAGTGGTGAAGCTATCAAGGTTGGAGTACGGCTGCACCCGCAGGAACTTTAACAGGGAATAGAGCTCGCGCATATTGTTCATAACCGGGGTTCCGCTCAGACACCACCGATACGTCGCATCGATAGCGCATGAGGCTATGGCGACCTTGGATCGATCATTTTTGATGTACTGCGCCTCGTCCAGGATTACCCGGTGCCATCTGCTGGTTGGCCCCAAGATAGGTGAATTACGGGAGACTGGGGCTGAGTTGCGCGTTTGTAGCTGGCGATCGTTCTCTCTGTGTCTTAGCTCTGCGGTGACTGTTCCGAACGTGGTGAGCACAATATCATGTCGATTCAGCGCCGGGAAGTTCATCCCGCGGCCGGCCCCCATGTACACATACACGGAACGCTGATGTTGCCCCGGACGTAGTAGTTTTCCGATCTCGTGCTTCCACTGCTGGATCAAGCCTGCCGGAGCGATGACCAAGGTTGCGTGCCGTTCGATGCTCCGTGGAGGATGGGACACGATGAGGGACAGCGCTTGGACGGTTTTCCCCAGACCCATGTCGTCTGCCAGTATGCCGCCTTTCTGACCGCTTGCCTCCATCGCTTTCATCCAGAGGAGCCCCTGTTTCTGATGCTCCATTAGGGGGACGGCCAGAGCATCGGCGGCCATGCCACACGGATCGGCTGTCGCCACGCCACTGGTCACGATGGGTTCGGCGTCGTTAGCGCGAGTCCTCTGTACAACGTCCCAAGGCGTCGGGTGGACTGGTCTTTTCCTCCATTCCTGGTGTTAGAGCGGTGTCAACTTGGGGATTTCTGGGGAATACTTGCCCTGGGTAGAGATCCGAACTGACCGGCCGGAGAGGAGGGTGCACGGGTGCGGAGCGTTCCAGCGCTATGGATTGTGGGGCTGGGGTCGACCTGGGGATGCTGTCGACTAACGAAGGCCCGCCCCTGACCCTGTCCGCTATGGGGGCTTGGGAATGCTCTGTCGGACCTAACGGGACGACGGGCCGACTCCTGACCAACCCACGATCATCTGTCCCGCTTGGGGGTCTGTGTACCGTTTCCAGGTGTTGACCGTACTGGTACTGGACGATTGGTTCCCCGGGCAAACTGGCAAAGACAACGGGGGCGGTTATATTAGGATTTCTTCTAGGGGCCATGGGCACCTGGAGGAATGCGGGATCGTCCTGTTCGTCCTGTTCGACCGGGCCAGAGCTAGCAACCAGCGGCATAGTGCTGACGAGGTCTGTGTTGGGCTGGGGCAGGAACGATCGCTCGAGCCCAGTCACCTCGGCTGTGTCAGGTGATACGACTGATGCCTCGAGAGTCGGGCGGTGCAGGTGTCGCGGCTGCGGCAATAGGGTGAGCTCAGCGGGGTCGATTACCGTCATTGTTTCTTGCGACATCATTTGATCGCGAAATGCGCTCTCTGGCAGCTCTGCAACTGGCTCCCCTACCGCGGAACCGACGTCGGGTCCCATATCATACAGCAGAGGCGGCAGAAGCGCTAGCCTGGGGTCAACTGGGCTGCATGCGAATATACGATCGCCGCCGGGTTGGGGGGAGTAGTGTGCGGTCTCGATCCTTCTCCGTTTTGGAAGAATCGCGGCTGCCGTGGGAAGGTCTCCCTCGTAGGCGTGACGCTTCTGAGGCCGTGACGATGCTGGCGCCAGCGGGAGTAGAGGCGATTGGGGGTGAAAGGAATCGTAAGCGGCATTGCTCGAGCCGATTGAAGGCCAGAGCAGAGTATCTGGATGCGGTGGTGTTGCAGGGCTGGCATGCCCCCGTGCAGCTGCTTGCGTAGAGTCCATGCTTCTTGTCTGCTTGCGATGACGCCCACGAACCCCGGGAGGGACCTCTCTCTAATGTCCTTTATAGGCTTCTGGGTAGTTCTTCTCTTTGCTTGGGGAAAACTAAGGAGAGACGGTGAGGTTTGTGGATTGCGAGACCCACCCCACTCTTGCATGAGGGGCAAGGCAGGGTTGATAATTTTTCTTTTTATTAATTGAAAAAGCAGGTCAGAAAAAGAGAAACAGAAAAAAGAGCATTGACAATTTAAGTTAGAAAATGGCCTTTGTGGTGAAGCGGAACAATATATACAAATGATCAGGGGTCCACAGAAACCGTAGGGCAAGGTCGTTGAACTCGGTTTTGACTCGATGATCCATCCCGTTATGGTACTTGGCAGTTTTGCGGGCAGTTCGGACAAAACGCCACGTGCCCCTTTGCTTTGTGTGGCCTTAAGATCCCTCCTATTTCGGCCATGGCTGGTAGCGATCCACCGGCATTCTGAGGGAGGACCGTCAACTAATTTCCTGTTGAACAACATGGGCTGTGACCTGGATCACAGCGCGCGGGAGAGACCGCTTTGCGTTCAATATACCCTAGCATACCCGTGAGTCTCTCAGTACACAGTGACCTCTTAATGGCCTCCGACGCTCGTCCCACTCTGCGGAATTTGCAAAATTGTAGGAGAGATAATGCTCCCCAGACAATCTGCGTCGCTCTCGCCGCGAGAAGTCTATATGTACACATATAGGTCAATTGTTGTCAGGCGTGCTTTTGGGATGGAGAAATCTTACCTGTTCCTCCGTGATGCCCCTTTTGGCGCTCCCGTCTGAAATTCTTGGCTTGATCTTTGAGAATGTAAGCCATCACGTAGCCTTTCAACCCTAAGGACCGAGTCCTCAGGCTTTATGACTGACGGGAAGTCTAGCTGGGCGCACATGACCTTTGGCACCTCTATGACAGTTGTGAAGCGCTGCGAGCTGTTTCAGCATGGTGTCTCTTCCGCGCCGTCGAGATCCGCTTCGACGGGGCATATGCAGCGGTTCTAAACTCCCGACCGTTTCCACTGTCGCGTCCGCTGTTCCCGAGCCGCCTTCTGCCAACGGTGACCCGATGGTCTTCGCACGTCTGGGCAATTGATGTCTGGGGCGATGAGGACTTCTTACAGCCCGAATTTTTCGACGTCTTGACCACTCTTGACAATCTCCGTTCCTTCAGGCAGGTCCTCCTGTGGATGCTTCCCCTCCACCTGATGATCCTGGACTGACGACGGTACAGCATCAGCTACCCGCCCAGTCTGGGTAGTTTCCAGACCCTGCTAGCGCGACTGGCCGCACTTCCGTCATTGCGTAGCTTAAGCGTGGATTTCATGTCCCCGCGCATCTGGACGGTTCCGATGACCTTTCACCACCTGCGGCACCTGCACCTCTCCTGCATTGAACACGAACCCGGGCTGTGTGTGCTTCCGTCGCTCCCTGCCCTCGAGACATTGGCGTTGAATTTTTGCTGCTACTGCCTAGACTGCCCAAGAAATGGCCGGGGGCCCAGCGCCCTTCTCCAATTCCATGGTCTCCCACAACTTCGTACTCTGTCCATTTCTGGTGCGCAGGAGCAAAGCGTAATCTGGTGCGGTCGAGCTACACAGCTCCAGACTCTCGAGGTCACCTTCTCCAGCGGCATGGATCTGAACGGCCTACTTGCCTGTCTCGGACGGGACCTTAAGGAACTCTACATCTCGGACTGTGAGTTCGTGGCGGAGGAGCCGACCCCCCCGGTTGTGTTTCCCGTCCTGCGGCGGGTGCGGATACTAGAGTCCCTGTCCAGCCTGGCCTCATTCTGCTCCGTCGAGGTACCATTGTCGGCGGTGTTCCATGTGCGGATAGAGCCTGATGACTTTGAAGATCTGAAGGACTGGCCTCTTGTCTGGGAGCTCCTGACTCGAAATTCGGTGTCCCTCAGTTTAGCGGGCTCCACGATCCTTCAATCTCCGCTGCACCCGACTTCTCGCTTATCACAAGTCGCATCGCTTCCGCATGTGCGGCTCGAAGGACAGAACTGGCCGCGACCAGTAGTCGCTGCCAAGGCCGGTGCCGTCGCGTAAGCGGCGTGTTGGGTCGTTGCTGGGACCATGCTCACCCTGGGGTCTACGAGAAAGACTAGGCTGATACAGCAAGGTGGACACCTGGGTGAGACTGTAAGCTCGCGTAATGGAGATATTGACCGCTCCATCCCTGGAGTGACAGTGAGCCTGTACCAGTGGTCCTCTTGTTTTGATCTGATATCCAGTTTGCTGCACAGAGTTACATATTGTGGGGTTATATATATCACAGACTATAATATCAGGTTCTTACCAGGCTTAGTGTGTAGGCATAGGCGAATAGGAATGTAGTCCTGATCATACAAAAAATGAGTTACAGGTCTATATCTTCTGCGTACAACTGTCTCGATCTACGTGGCACTCATCCGCCATCCCGTTCTATTCGGCGCCGGATGAATGCTAGACCCGGCGGCATGTCAACGCTGAGCGAACAACGGCACCTGGTTCGTGATGGTGAAAGGTGGTTACTGTTAAGAAGAAGATTGCCGAGGATTAATCTACCAGTATACCACAAGAAGTTTTACGGGCTGAAGAAAACAGGCCAAAGAAACAGTACCCAAGAAACATCCTCACATGCCAACATGTGAACGGGATATGTATTGCGTGGTACAGACGCCGAGACCATTCAGATCAAGAAAGCTTGAGGATACTGCACTCCCTGACAATAATGATTGCTGAAAAGGCGCATTGACGCAGTATAAGTACAAGCTAGTATATGGTCACATAAAATGCCAGGATATTGAGTATCTTTTGAGACGGTGGACGCAAATATGTATATATTCATTGACCGGCTGACTCCTAAGATCCGACCCTTATTATATGTACATATATAGAAAGAACAAATTAAAGAAAAAGAAACATACAGTAAAATAGGAATAAAAGATAAAGCTATACAGTATCGAATTGAGCAGGTTTTAGCTTCCTCCAACAGCAGACTTGGAGCCTTACTGTCCGAGTACTAGACTTCAGCACCACGTTGAGGTACCTGCTCGTCACTGAAGGGACGCGCTGCTATTTATTGCTCAAGTGCTACCAGGCCAGCACTCCTACTAAGAGGGATTGACTCTGATGACGGCACTGCCATTGACAGCCTAGTGCGCCTACTAAGAAGGATTAGGTCCAACAGCGGCGGGATGTACTACTAGGCTAGCACTTTTACTAAGAGAGATTGACTCTGATAATGGCACTGCCACTGCCAGCCTAGTACGCTACTAAGAGGGATTAGGTCCAACAGCAGCGGGGTGTGCTACCAGGCCAGGACTCCTACTAAGAGGGATTGACTCTGATAACCGGGACACAGGCTGGCGAACCAACTCCGTGGCACGGACGCCACCAGGCCAGTACGCCTACTAAGAGGGATCGACTCTGATGACGGCACTGCCACTGCCAGCCTAGTACGCCTACTAAGAGGGATTAGGTCCAACAGTGGCGGGGTGTGCTACCAGGCCAGGACTCCTACTAAGAGGGATTGACTCTGGTGACAGCACCACGCTGCCACCCTGACATCCTTCGATGAGGGATCAGGCCTGGCAGCGCAAGCGAGCAAGCAAGCACGCTAAAATCTCCTTAAATCACTTTAAACGGGAGAAGTAACCACACGTATACATTGCGGGGGATCAATTCCAGCAGACGGAGAAACCGCTCCATAGAACATAGAGCTAGTGGAATCTGGTTCTCTAAAATGGGCCGGGGCCAGCTGCCCTTTAGTACTCTGGCGTGGAGGGTCTGATCACGTGCCATCAGCTCGATAACTGGCCCATGTGGGGCGCGCTAATGTTATTGAGGAGGCTGGGAAAAGGTGTGAGGGAAGAGGTGTGACCTGCATCGCGTGTTTCAACACGCCACATACTTGTACTGGCAGTGGACAGATACTTGGACATGCGGCTAAATTCAGATGGAAAAGTAGAAATGAAGGAACCCAAGAAGGCAAAGAAAGAGCATGGCTTCCTGTTGAACATCACTGCACAATGTATGGCCGGCTTTTTGTGGCTCCTACCCCATGGTTTGCGGCGGGGCCTTTCCATCTGTTACAGGATGAATAGATTGTTCTGACCTAAGTGTGCCTGTTGAACAAGAAGAAATAGCTAATTGACAGAAATGACACATTGTACGAAATATTGTGTGGTAAAGGCTTGGCAGAGATGCCTTAGGCAGAGCATCCCATGATATGGTGCTGCCTGTAGGTAAGTCAGTCCCATAACACCATCCAGTTTTTAAATTTTTTGATTCAGTTTCATTTGAGTTTCTTTAATTGCTTTAATTTTGATTCTAATTTTTTTTAGATTTATTACGTTATTCTTTCCTCACAAAAAGTGTCATTTGTGGAGTCAAAATGACTAGACCCGCGCGAGTTGTTTCAACACAGCCACTGAACATGTTCAGCGGTTCGAGACCTGAATCTCTGTTCAACACTGAAGAGAAGGGAGGATCAGATCACAAACATAGTCAAACATCGTCATTGAACAATATGTTGGACAAGACACACAGAACCATGGAATGCTGTTGAACACTGCACACAAAAGTGTCAGCCTGTCAGGTGTAGACCTCGTACGGAGTCGCGACTCGTCAGGTTCGATCCGACTCGGAACCTGAGTCTTGGCGGTTCAGGTTCTATAACAGTGTAAACATAAAATACCAAAAATTATGCTTGTTTTCTAGGTGTAAAAGTAGTATTATACCTATATATACTATGTAATATTGGTTGTAGATATAATATAAATAGATTTAATATAGCTATATTTAATATAAGTTATAACCGACCGAAGAATATGGCTTCTTATTAAAATATAGTCATGTTACTATATGTGGATATATGTATCTCTTGAATGAGAATGTTGGGTGATGCCGCCGCCTATTATAACTCTACGCCTACTAATATTTCCCCCATAATTTTTAATATATAGTGTATTTAGACTATAATATATATTAAATACAATTATATTTCAAACCTAGTAAATCTTAGCATACTAGAGTAGTATACTACTGTTGAACGTGTGACAGGGCGTATATTACGCATAATGACTCAGATTTTTATACAGCTAGAATAGGAAACTCTTGGCAAAATTATGCAATTCAGGGTCTATCAGGTTCGACTCAGGTTCGAACCTGATACAACCACGATCCGATTCAGGTTTCAAAATTTGGAACCTGAGTCGGACCATTTCGAGGCCTAGTCAGGTGCAAATGTGCCGCTCTGGACACTTTGTTCTGCTGTTAAAAAATATAGTCTTCCTTTTACAAATGCCGTTGAACCCTGCAAGAGCGAGAAAGAAATTCGAAATTGCTCGCCTGCGACTTTCCTAGAGGCTAACCACCCTTGTTGATTCCGTTATGTTTATAAAATACGGCGAATCAGCTTCAATATACAATTCTGGTACGGTTGGGTTAGCGCATATTCAGAGATTGGCCCCTATAAGTATTACTAACTTAAGAGGTACAAAACATAGACAGCAATATGGTCCAACGCCCTTACTTTACAATTCTGATTTTTGCCTATTACCCCAAGCATATGGCCCTTATGATGGAAGTAGTACTGTACCTCGCGTGTACCGGTTCGAAAATGAAATCTTGGTGCTGCTGCAAGGAGCACATGGAAAACTTAGGTACGACCCAAAGCTCTTTGAATAAAGCCAGTCAGATCATTCTTCGAGGGTTTAGTAAGTTGGAGCCACATTACTGGGGGCCTAGGTGGCTCTTTCATCTGTTCTAGCCCACCTTCCAGTAAGCCCCGATCGAGTCCACCATGCCAATTGTGTAGCTCCTCAGGTTGAAACACCCCTTTTTGGATGAAAGTTCTCACAATGCTGTCAAAGCACTGACAAACATTTGAAACTTCCGAGTAGCAATTGACAACAAACGTCGCCAGTGTATACACATCGTCGCTTGAGAAATTCTTTCTGTTCCTGTACCCAATGGTTAGCCCCTACTCCTCCAAAGTTCATTGCGCTCGCACACAATTGACTGTCCATCTTTCTATCGCATATGACTAGAATGCCTTCACTTAAGTAGTGCACTAACTCACACCACCTTTTCCCAACATCTTTCTCTGCTTCAAAGTTTTCACGGAGTTTTTTTCTGGACGACTCTTTAATTATATTCCAATTGATATGGTAGTGTTGAAGTATAGTATCAATCGATTTAATTCGTACATCGTTGCTTGAGTCCTGGGCTGTAGGATCTTGTGAATTGCGAATTTTCTTTTCTTGTTCTTCATACCAATAATACATTCTTATCTGTGCTACCCGGCGCAGCATAATTTTTGTCTCCGAGTCTTTCTCGATACGGACATGCATCATGTCCATTGAACATTGCTTCCAGATCTCGTCTTCATCCGAATAATTGCAGATAGGTGGCCAAAGACCTTTTTCAAGCCATCTGTGAAGCATTCCATCTGTAAATGCCCTTAGATCTGGCCTTATGGCAGCATAACCTGCTCGAACTACGGATGCGATGTTTCTCAGATCGATTTCAAACCGCCGACGCTCATCAAAAATGACATTTAAGCCTTCATGATACCTCTTGCTAACCTTCTTTTTAGCATCTTCGAAGCCTGGTGGGAGATTCGTGTTCTCATATTGCCTTTCTTCTTCAGCCTGATTCGTTGCAGGATGCTCGTGGTCTGTCCTGTGCTGACAGGTATTCATTTCAAGGTCTGCCTCCGTTCGAAACATCGGCATTGGTGCGGGAGTCCCACATCTTTCAGAAACGGTGCGGTTATCGCTTGAAGGTGTTGGTAAATCTGGTCTCGGAGACTGTTCCCTCATGCTTGATAGGGCGAAAGGGAAGTCTATGTATGGCACTAGAAATTAAGTCAGCGCACAGATGGGACAAGAATGTGACATTAACGAGTTGAATCATAACCACTGTAGCCCCAGTTGTTTAATGGATGTAGCCAATCTAGCAATTTGGTGCAGTTGTCAAAGGTGCCATATTACAAATCGATACCTTCTAGTACGTAAAATAGATCATAGTGATAGTGACATAAAGTATGTGCCAAGGCTTGTTTTTGATCTCCGGTTAATGTAGAAATTCGCGTAGCATAGTCGACTAGCCCTTCAGCTATCTTAGAAGGACATACAAGTAGTTAGTTTTGTTTTCAGCGTGCCGCAAATTCTGATATTGTGGAATGTATGAAACGTAGCATACCTCTCTTGTTTGGTCCTCCAATATCGCAGAAACATCATCGTTGGGCATCTAGACAGATCATAAGTATCTATCTATAGAGTAAATCAATAACTTCGACGAACAAAAATATCTATCGCGAGATTAGTCATCCTGACTAGATTGTCACTTTAAGTATACGAGTCGGCGTGATGCGATGAAATATGGCAATGTATAACATATCTAATTAACCCTGATATATAATAGTAGAGAGGATAGCTAATAAGTCCAAATATATATCAAGTAATCTAGCAACTAGGGATTATGGAGGCTATGGATTAAAGGAAGGGATAGCCTGATTTCCTAAACTGGGAAAGGCAGGCCACCTTTTGTTGGCGGAGGAATGACATTGATCTTCGTTGCGAAATCCTCTTTGGACTTTAAAGCATCTATTTACAAATGGTGATGCCTTCATTTCCCAAATCCGAAAGAAAGACCGGGTCCTAACTTTCGTATTATATTGATACCTCAAAAGGCTTTTCGTGAGCTCCCCATCATTCACTTAACTGCTCTCTCACATAGAAAAAGAGGTGATTTCACTACTGCCGAGGCTATAATTTGGTTTTACCGAGTCCACCTAATATGTAACATATGTTAATGCCACTACTATTTAATTGTTGAAAACCCTTTATAAAGTCAAGTTTAGGATGCTGATCAAGGGGCTATGAATTATATTTCCTAATCATATACCTTGTTGGATTTTCCTGGAACCCCCATTGTGGATATCTACATTAGGGGGGGGGAGGGGGTGGTAATAAGATAACTAATAGCTCAGTATACTTCATGTACAGGTAACCTGTATCCATGCATAGAGGCACATTCTACTCCACGTGGATATATCCTCTGACACCCATTAAGATCCTTCTGGAAGGTCATGTCAAAGTGTGTTCTAATTTATGTTGGTCTAATATTATATTCTTCGTTGTCTTAAGATCTCGCGTCTCTGTAGCTTTGTAACAATATCTACGATCCATAACAGGTAGCTACATGAAGATTCGTCGATTTATCGTACATGTATGGCAGAAGAGGAGCAAATCAATTAGACTGGTACAGTATCTCCACGATCACACACTATCTTTAGAAAAGAGGATGGCTCTCCCATGTAGTTGTTCTGGTCGATCTATGCTCCACATGCGAGGAAGTATTCAATCATGCTAGACTGATTATATACATTTGACTACAAGAATTAGACCAAGGTCAACGTCTGCAGCCTCGAGAGATTCACAATCGGGAGTCTCCCTGACTATATAACTCTCAGAATAGCCGGTTGTTGACTGTCCAATGCAATAAAACAAAGCCTTCGCAAACCAAGCTCCCAGACTGGATCCAACAGATAACTGGGATAGCCTTTTATTATTGGTACTGTAACAAATAAAGGCAATCCAAGGAAAAGAACCCAACAATACGTAGCCATATCTCAGGTGGTAGAGGCGGGCCGCAGTTATTATTCCGCTGTTTTCTTCGGGCTGTTTCCAAAAGCGGCTCAATCGTATCTTGAGATGCTGCAGGTTGTAGGCTCACGTTGGGAAGGTGATTCAAGGATAATCTGTTATGGTACTGGGAGTCATATGAGCATATAAAATAGGGGGCGTTTTCCGCTTCACTAATAGACCTTGAAGAGATTGCGTGATTGAGAGTTTGACAATGGTCGGGCCTGACTGCTATTATTACTTAAACTTTTAAATGTAGGACCAGATAATACAGTAATGGGGTGGCTAAGCTAGTCCTAGTCCTATAAAGCCGGAGTCCTAACCGGTTTCGACTTCAACTGTACAGTACTGCTGTAGTCACGTCCAGAGCGTCTACATATTGGTCCAGAGGTGATTCCACGCATCAGCTGCCTCTGATTCACGTTGTGAGAATGCTTCTAATTCTTGTCGGAGCCTGACAGCAATATCCGTTACGGAACCTAATTCGGCTTGTCTCTGGCCCGGATATGGTTCAGAATGATATTGCAGTAGAAGCTCATCAATGGCTTGCTCCACAACTTCCTGTAGCTGTTTGAGTAAAACATAGCAGGCTCGATAGAATCGATTCCTTCCTCGATGCCACCCGATCTCGCGTATAAGGTTGATTTCTTTATTGTCCATATCCTGTAGTGTCTAGCAATGACTATAGCGGTGACAAGTAGCATTTATAGTGTTGCCTGCGATAGTGTTTACTTGAACCGAAATTCCAGGAAGACAACGCTTCCAGAAAGCCTTAAAATAAAACGTAAGGCATACTAATTTTGCTATGTACTACAAAAATACCGGCTGTTTTATCCCCGTAAAAAAGGACGGCAATAGAGGCTAGGATGAATAGGAAAGTGGGTCAATGTGTGCATCGTTGGCAGATAGGTCGCATAAAGTCTCTCAATTAATACTCAGCATTTTGAAGGCAGCCCTTTTGAGGTTGTGAGAACCCTACACAATATCATCATATGGGTGCATTTTCTTGCACTCTGCCTATCGTGTAGCATGTGGTAGGTTACATAAGAGGTAACCATTGCCACGCCCTCTTAAATGTAACGCCCGGAGAAGCCAAACTTTTGTTGGCGGGTTTATTATTGCCATTTGGCTAAAATTAATTTAAGGCTAGATGCACAACAGTGATAATACTTACTGCACTGTAAGACAAAGATGAAGATTATATACAGCTGGATGGATGGATAAATTGGTTCATTTACCCTACAGTAACTTCTCGCACTCCGTTGGTTATAAACCACTATACACTGGACTGGGCACGGTTCCGTATTTTGATTTAACGGTAAAATTAACTATGTGCGAGAGTTCAGGGTAAATAAATGCACCTATCCAACCAGATAAAACTATACTGCAGTTTGCGGACTCTGAAATAGACGACATCCTTTATATGTATACTGTACGTTCCAGGCTGAGCTAAGTGGAGAAACATCTGTTCATGGTGTTTACAGTAGTAAATCTCGATTATTATACATATATGACGGTGTGCCTTGAGCGCCTTCTGAAAGTTCATATGATAGGAGCAGAAGCCAAGCGTCCCGTACCTTCAGGTAACAGAGCACGTCAAATCTGATTCATTTGTGAGACGTGAGGATTTGGGCCCGGCTCTGATGAGTTTTAATGTGCGACTTGATCTGAGTCGAATTATGCTGCAAAAGACAGAAGAGTTCGCACATCCTGATAGCTTTAAACTGTGTAGACTCGGCGAGCCAAAGAGGGAGGCGGGTATGACAGCATATTGAAGGAAGGATATGTTCTCAAGTGATAGTGTGTGCAGGTTTGGGAAACCTATTTTGCCGCTCAAGCTTGCAATGTGCGAGAGATTAATACGTGCCTCCTTGGAAAAGTTAAGTCGTAGAATTTGTAGCTCGTTCGAGTTTTGCTGGAGGCATACGTTCAGTATATCTATCTGCCTTCTGCTATGAATGCCATTCCAACTCAATGATCTTAAGCACCTTAGCCGGACAAGCCCATCAACATTCTGCTCATACAAAGGGGTACGGTTTTTGAGCTCTGTTGATCTAACTGGTAGTGTGGAAAGCATGATAGAATTTAGCTGTGGTTGCGATTTTGGGATATATCCATCATACCCAAGGACCTCCTTTGGGATCCAAGGAAATTCCCAGCTGCGAAGTGAGCACCTTGCAGAGGGTCTGGGGAAAAGGATGCGACTTACACGAAAGCAGCAAGCTTACCGGACTCTAATCCATCTAAAATGAGTCTTGCAGCGTGACCAAAGCTCTTTGGAAAAGTCCTGGACATTTGGTGGGAAGAGCTTGGCGTTTTGGAGACGTGCCGTGGCTCGCGTAGCTCCAGGGAATCAGACACTATTGGATCTCTGATGATGAATCGAAGCTCCCTAGTTAACCTTAAACAGAGTGCACGACCATCTTTGGCACGTCCCTCAAAGAACGTTCTGATCCCGGAAAGTATATCAGAAGGTACTATTGGGATGTCTAAGCACCTAAGCAGAAAAGGCGCCGTTGCTCCATACAACGATTTGGAAACCGTCGAGAGTGCCTGTGTATCTTTTTGGTCGAGCTATAGAGCAAATCAGTCCAGTTCAAGAAAATAAGTACACCACAAGAAAGAGACACCATAATAATGATCGCTGCTAGAACATTCAAAGGCAAATGCGCTAACATTTCGACACATAACACAAAAATAACTTTGAGCGAGAGCCTAAACCTTGGAACTTTACGAGGCCTGTGATTTCGCAGCTTTGCGCTTGATTGTGAGCATTATAATATCTGATTGAAATATCTCAAAATCTCCACATACCTCGTGTATCCTTTAGATATATCATCCTTTAAAGCTATCTGGATGATCGCACTTCTTAGGAAAGATACAATAGAATCTGTTTCGTGTTCCGTATCTTGATTTTTCGATGCCTAAGAGGGCGGACAGCTAAACCAATAAAGAAGCAGTGCAGGTGGCCATTGCTAGAGCAACCTCATGCGGTATGAGGTGCATGCAGCATGCCTCAGCTTGTTCGATCATAATGCCTTTATAACATGAGTAGAACTAACTGATAGCGTCTCATCTACCAGTTCTGACGTAAAATGAGTAGAACATCCCTCGCTGTTCTCATGATACAATTGAACATGGACCCTAGCTATGGGTTTATTTTGTTGATATTGTGACAGTCTTGTCATCTGGTATTGTGATCTGTTGGCTTCCCCGCAACTGATGTTATGATGATCATTCTCGTTACCGGGCTACCTAGGTTGATACTAGTTGAATACTATGATGATCAGAGACATATCAACAAATATTCTGTGGATACAACCTACAATGTTGAACATAGACCCTAAATTGTTTGGCGAAGTATTCGCATGTAGGATGAATAAGGGTTGTTGTAGATTAAATTCATGTCAAGGAATTAAACATGATCTTGAAGTGCTTTTCAGCACTTAAGTACTGTGATCTGCTTTTCCCCTGCTTAAGTGATATAACTTTAATTTGTGCTTGCCACACAACACAAGGAGCACTGGCCAAAAATGATAACATCGAGTTCTATGTCTTCAGCAAGCTTGTGAACGTTTCATGGAAAACACAGACAGACATGAGAATGCTCTACTGCATGTTGTCTGTTGAGAGTCCCGCTAATAGTCTATATTTTGCCCGTGAAGAGTGAGATACCTAGGGATGAATTTCCCTGGAAATGTGGAAGGATTATTGCACTGTGATTAAATTTACTACAGTAAAAGAATAACTCCCAGTTTGTGATAGTATTGTAGCGTCTGTCATTCAAGTGCCTCCGGCTACTGTGTTATGTTACACGTCAGTTCGGGTTTGTTGGGGTTGGTTGCTTCTTGCAATGAAGTGGGAAATCCTTGAGATATCTGCATAACCGCATATGGCACGGACTAACCCAAACTCGTGGTCGTTTCGGCATATTGGAAGCTGGACAATAGTTTCTTCATTCTCATCCTGGAATTGTGAACATTCTGCCCGATTATCGCTTTCTGCTGCATCCCGGAATATTATGCAAGCGACTGCTGAAACCGTTCCACCTCGTAACAGATAATCCTCACAAATTGGGGGCCACTCCTGTGATGTAAGTATGACCTCCCTGACATTCTCTTCCGTAGGGATAATATGACATCTCAAACAAGCCGCGATAAACCCGGCAACAGCAGCGAAGCCTTCTCTCATTGCCCTACGCTTGGCAAGCTCGCGCTGTATTTCGCACGACGTGAATATCAGGTTGGCAGCATTTAACCGCGTCCATGTTTCTCCCTCTCCGATATCATCGCGCAGGAAGCACGCCCAACGGTTCGCGTACCACTCTAAAACCAGACACATGCGAGGACTCAGGAATCCAAATGCACATTCGCAACAAGTGCATCCGAACTTTAAACAGGATTTTTTTTGATCAGAGTTGACGGAGATTCTGGCTAACTGTAACAGACAAGAGACGGAGGCATCACTGAAACCAGAGGAATCTCCCGTTGGTGGGTAAGAGATGTGGCCTAATGTTCGGGCATTTTCTAGGCGAGCTTGAAGGGCATCAAAGGGCGTTTCTCCCCGGCTGTTTTTCTTCTCTGCAAGACCCTTCTGCTGTCCCAATATCCAGCTAACAGTGCTTGGCATTGATTGCAACCCCATCAAATGAAGCAGATTATTTCCTCCTTTGTCGAGATATTCCCAGAATGAGTTGTTGACCATATTCTTCTCAAACAATATTTCAAGACTTTCGGCGGCCATCTTGTCTTCCAGAACAAGAAGGTTATCAATTAAATCTTCCATGTTGAGGTCTTCGTAAATTGGCTGATAAGAAACGAGGCTATTGTTTAAAGGGCGTTAAATTGCGAAGCAATGTTGGCTTCTATATAAAAACCAAAGTACCTTTCTCGAAGTACAGTAGCAGCAGGTACAAAGGAAGTACTTAAAACGGAAAACAATAACTCATTCGGATGAAAGGCCGAGCGATGGTCTTTATTCCAAGAGTAATCGACTGACTAATACATTTGGCAACACAACCCTGTTGAATAGAGAGGGAATTGGTTCAGCCTATGGGTGGTACTCCATGACTTACAGGCGTACTCTAGCCATTTTCGGGTGCCCCTATCTTTCATTGACTAACATTATAAAATGCCCTGTCATGTAACTGGCATAGCGGCTACTTTTTGACGATTGCCACTGTTCAACCAAGGGGAAGTGAGAACATCTTACCATGTATAAACATATATGAAAGGCATGAACACCTCTGCTTAATATTATGAATCCTTATTCTAGAAACTTGTTTCGGACAAAATTACTTTTCCAGGCCATGAGCCATGTAGGAGAGCGCTTTGAAGCTACCCTCAAAAGAGAGTAAGCCTTCTTCAGTTGTTATGCCTCAATTAATTATTGAGTGGTGATATCAATGCCTGGAATGGGAACTAGGAGACCCTGGACTAACAAAACGCTCAGTGATCTGATAAGAATACTGTTATGATCCCAAATCACATACCCTTTGCTGGGAAAGCCCTCTGAGTTTAAAGTGAGCAATATGATGCCTCCAGTTCTTGTCGTGCTTCTCCCCCATCTTTATCTCCTGCCGAATTTTATAAGAGCTAGTGTTTCAGTATGCCAAGGCAAGAGCTTATGATACTGTGATCCATTTCCAATCGTTCCTTCGCAGATTAACCTCTGTGTCAATAGCGCTTATAAGTACCTGGCACTAAGCATCTGGCCAGTGCCGCAACAAAATAATCTGACACTCCTTACACTGCGCTGCTATGCCGTCGAATAGTATGGTTGGAGATATTTTATGGAGCTGTCTCGGATGTAAAGCGAGTGGCTATCGCAAATGGAGATCAGACTTTTGGTTCCATGGCCCTGGCGCAGCACTGGAAGTAGTGATCCTTCATATTTTACGACGGTTTCTACCTGCCAAACATCGAATTAAGATACATACTCTATGTGAGGAATGTTGTGAAGTTGATGGAGTTTCCACGGATGAGGAACAACTACTCCTTATATATCAACTAGCCAACAAGACAGATTCAGTCAGAACAAAGGCTATATGGAGGCGCCAGGAATGGGTGTTCTATTACCCCATCTCCGAATGCTACAGGATAATGATAAGCGATGTGCAGCTTCACATAGAGAATTCGGCGACAATATGCGCCCTGTGATGCAGAGACAGTCATCATGGTTAGGACAAATCATTGATGGTACTTGTTACACTTATTCCCAAAAGTGGTAGGCCCTAATGGGACTGTACGAACACATCATTGATTATTTCTGAAAATCTGGCCCCTCGAGCGAAGGACACATTTAATCTCCTTGTGCGACTAGCGCAACAGGAATTTCAGGAGGCATGTCACTTAGCCGATGCTAACATTGTATCGAATTCCAATAGGAACAGGTACATAAACCCATAAATTGATCCTTTCTTTGGGGTTGCCAGGGGTTTCTCTGATAGAGGTAGTGATTGCGGCCTAACGCTCAATTTATGTCCTTATTGGCTGCTAATGTTGGAGTAAGGGTACACTTGCCAACTTTCTTTTTGCCCATGCCCGTAGCTGTACTGTATCATAATTCCTGGACAGATGCTGAACACCTTAAGAGATTTGGGTGGACAACTAGATCGTTAGTTCAGCCACAAATACTAGCACCATGCTAACTAAAGATAATCTGTTTAACATGGGGCACGTACAGGCATTGTTAGCGTTTCACATGACATTGGTGCCTGCCTTAGCTGCTCTGGCGGGGGGGAAGCAAGGCCCATGTTGTTCAACGCATCGCGTAACCCACCAAGCGTAATTGAATGGAGAGGCTCCTATTCATTTTCTTTCTGCGGCACATATGAGAGGTTTTGACGTTAGCACTATTTCTCTAAAGCCCGACAGTCAGTACGGCGTGGCTACATTTAAAATAACTGATCTTCCTCTCAATAAATTATTTTGCAATCAAGAGACCCGTAAGGCCACCATCTTGTTCTTCTCTAGGGATAACTCCTTCACCGCCTGCTACTCAATTACTTGAAACCTTGCAACAGTTGGCTGGATACCAAGATAACGAAGGTATGTTACTTAAGCTCTATTCAGAATTCCCAAGCAGAAACGAGTTATAACTACTGTAATCTTAAAATTTGACTAAAATACCACAACAGCATTCTCACCACCCTGACCTGATTGGACCAATATGTTTATACCACCAGGGTATGCATTACAGACCACTCAGAGACCCGGTTACTGGTTCCAAGATTCTGCCAACCCGACAGTGATAGAAGTCATCAACGCAATGGAAAAGGTCTTTGAGGTCTATAAGAACCTGCTCCAGCTCCAGTCAAAAGGAAAGGTCGATCAAATAGGTCTCAAGATATATCAAATCTCTATTTACCTTTTCTCCGAATACCTCCTGAGGATGATACCAGAATCATTCCACACGGGAACTGGGGGGAAGCTTGAAATATCTCGAGTTGCTATGAAGATAATGGACACATTGCTTAAACTTCAGTTAATTAAACAGGGACAAAATGGAAAGCGACTACAGGAATATTGTGACGAATTCCATCGGTTTCGAGACCAGGGAGCATGCTTGTGGACTATAGTATGCACCCTGGGCCCCGGCAGCCTCATTGTTTGCGAACAAGCAATAAATACAGCATTGTATGTTCTATCCTCGCCTCACCTGTTTACATAGGTCTCACACATGGCATAGAAACATCCCCACTGAGATGCTTAGCTCCGTTCTGGGCGAAATCCTGGACGACTGTCCAGGAGTGATTGCAGTCTGCCACGAATTTGATAGTGTGGCAATTGATATAATTAGTGGGAGGGTTATTGTACCCCAGTTGTTGAGGTCATTCATCATCAACCGAATAGATCTCCTCGAAGGACTTTTGTACGGCAAAGACTGGAAGCCTGAGCATATTCTAAGCGACTGGAGGGTCGCGTGCCCAGAGATAAACTCGGAAAAGAAGATGGAAGAGTTTTTTGATACAATTAATACAGGCATGGGAGAACTATATCATATCACGGCAGAGACTTCATTCTATTACCAGAAATCAGACTCGGCCAGTGAGAGTTCTGGGCTATCTGGCAAGTTTAGCTGGGCGGCACTTCCGAGGGAGTTGCACGATATGCGGGGAATATGCACACATATAGATAGCGAGAGTGTCTAAACTATTTGCATATGTTTACTGGAATGAGAATTTGGATATTCTACAGACTTAACCGGAATCTTATTCTGTATTGAAAGTATTCTACCTGACTTAAAACCGCAATACTAAAGCGTATTTGACTGTTCATATGCAAGCCGCATAATACAGGTCCATAATTTAGAAAGCTAGCCATAATTAGAAATATTTAAGATTTAGCTTCTGTGGTACAGGGCTTGAAAGACAAACACTGATTATTTGTCCCGTGAGATGAGATTCCGGAAGAGCCTTGACCTGCCCTCAATAATTTTGGATTCAATCGCACACAGCTCAGCTCAGCGCAGTGTTACTCTGTAACTACTTAGGCAGTATGCAAAATAAAAGTACTTCAATACCAGTTATATTCCAAAGTGCCCCATTATACACCTAAGAATGTAGAAACCTCATCCAGCCCCGCGGTACCCTAGATACCCATTGTTGGGTATCGAGATGGTTATATATGTCTAGGTATTATGTCTGGTGGTTGCTGTAGGAACCTATAAATACATATTCAAGAAAATCCTATAGAGATCAATTGTTTAGATATTGTAAAATAACCCATTACACGCACGTTTACAATGCAGGTGGTGAAACCTGGCATTCCTTCCTCTATTATTGATTAATTACAAAAGAAAACACCATGAGATAGTTCGGGCAAATCTTGTACCCCTTAAAGGTTTTAATGATACGTACTCTATACGAGCGATTAGCCATTAGGCCTCGAAGTATTGTGGTGGAACAGACAGTTCCTAAAGTTATGATACAGACTTGTGTCTCTTTCAGTGCATTGTAGTTATTTATTGCAACAATCATTTACATCAGAACTTATTTCCCCCTTGTATTTCTTAGAATGAACTGAACTCCAGAAGCTGTTGGATAAACAGAAAGCAAAGAGCTAGTGAACAGAATTAATAGTCGGTTCCAAACACCAAATATTAGGTACTTTCTTAGCTTGTACATTACCTGCAAAACCTCGCGCTACCCTTCCATCATGTCTTCCGAGTCACAATTGACATACATTGCATGTGCCAGCAAACACCCCAATGTTAAGTTTCATCCTCGGAGTCTTGTCTTCTTGATTTCCCTTGGTGAAAACTCCAAGTCATTCTCTGGTACTCTCCAGAATTGCTTAGAGAACGTTATCGGTGATCCTAAAGATCTGTTGTGATCTTCAGCTGCCGGATGATCACCAGATAATGCAATTGCAGTAGCAACCAAAGAGCCCTCAACTGATATATGTGCTTCTAGCCAGTTATCTTTGACTCGGTGAGCGGATAAAAATAACACAGCTCCAGGTTCTAATCCAACTGTCGTGCCATGATGGTAGATATTCACGTTGCGGACGAGCTTGTTGTGCGTGATTGCCGATATCAATTTGTAGAGTAAAGTATTAAACAAACCCCAATTTTGGGCAACTCGACCGTCGCAGGGTACCTCAATTGTTGCCTTGATACATGAATCTGTCGCACTGTATGGCTCGAGAGGGTCAAATATAAGCTTAGAGAGTGCATCAGCATTTGTCAAAAGGCTGGTACGAGAACGGAACGGCAAGTTGAAGGGTACGCTGTCTTCCGCAAGCCGGGACATTTCAATCTGAGGAAGTGAGGTACGTAGAAATCTTAAAAGATGAAATATTAATATATGAGTTTCAATTTTTCGTAGTCCAGTAGATTGAAAATATTGCAGGCCTTTAAATAGTATGAGATGTATTCCATAGGCGTTTTGTAAAGACGATCTAGAGTTGAACAGTTATACATTACATTCAATAATGTAACATTCCCCTAATACACTCCGTCATCTTAGCCCAATCAGCCTCGGTATAGTTTATACAGGATAGAGCCCAGCCAAGGCGCTTTTTAGCTACCTTGTCAGCCAATTTAGGACATTTTTAAGCTTTTCATTTGCGATATCCTGACTCATGAATGAAACTGTAGAGTGTACGGCGAGATACACACACAAACGCCCAGGGGCTAAGCCGAATGGGCAACTATCGCTAATCTACTAGTCATTTCCCAATATGTGACTTGTCTCCTTACAGCCTATACAAATTCACTTTTAGCTCATGCTGTCTCAACTGCCAGTGTTGTAGGGGATTCTCGTGGGCTAGTAATTTTGTTAGTAGGCTGGCTAGAAGGCGCTTCTTCAAGTGTTCAACATCCTATCTTTAGCAGCTGAAGCACGTCTACCGTGTCTAGCCACGAGGTGGTCAATGTGAGTTAGGTCGGGAAGAGTGGGTGGTTTGTGTTTGTCTACATGGTTGAGCGGCGTCGAGCCGGCCCGTGGCGATTGGAAACCGTATTGAGGTCCGTACCGCTTCAAATTTTGAGGTCCAGTTTTGATTATCTGAAGGCGTTTTTCCCCCTAGGAAGAAGGATATGTTGCCTCGGTGGGTGTTGGTACATTGCAGCATTTCTGTCCAATATGCCGTCCACTTCCGACATCGAAAGAGGAAGTACTCGACGGTCTCTCTTGCTTGTCCACATGCACACTGATCCGTCTGCGCAACGTTGATTCGGTAGAGATACCCATTTAATTTTGCCACGCCAGTCCGAAGTTGAGCCAGCACGCTCGCTTTTCACGATAACCGATCATACAGCTGTCGGGTGTGTTTGCCTGGGAGGGCCGCATCCACTCTTTTAACGTGTTTGCCCACTTTCTCTGGAAAGCCTTTGCTGATGCCTCGTTGGGATCGTGCGATATTGAGAGTTGTTGATTTTATCCTGGGGAGCTGTGTGTATGGCGTGGCGCCCACTTGGGTCGCCGCCCTGGCCTGCACTTTAGCCAGGCCCAACAGTTTGTTATCCTCGCTTGTAGGGACCCAACGGATAGTAATCCTGTTTCCGTTTCTTCGTAGTTTTCTAATCGACTTGTATATTGGGCAAACACATTGCTGGCCCGACTGTGGTCGCGGGCTCCTCAGTGTGAGTGCGGCCGCTTTGTTACTTGTTAGCAGCGTAATTCTATAAAGTTTCACTGTCGGTAGCGTCCTCAATGCGTTTGCCATGCTGCCAGCTCCCATGAGTATGTGTTCTGCTCTAATGCCAAGTGTGACGGAGAAGGTCTTCAGTCTCGGCTATTTTTCTTTTCTTTTCTTTTTCCTGAGTGACAAAGGGCAATCCATATTCATACTGCTGATTTGTCTACCTTTCGTCAATTTTCACAATAGTAATCATATGTCTTGATACATAAGGTAAATCGCTTCAATAAGGAATAAAAAAGAAATCAAAAAGGATTAAAGACAAAGCCAATATGACATTCATGCAGAATCGGGAATGTACAAATAACCGTGGGGTATTTCAACTGTCGCAAGATCGATTTTCGGCGCCGGCACATCATCCCATTGTGCGAGTATCGTCGTTTCGTTATTCGCAAGTGGTAAAATGTTTAGCATGGTGCTATAGGTGAGAGAACGGGAGCTTGCTTCATGCCACGTATCGTCGCCGTCGGTGATATCCGAGTCTCGCGAAGCTGGCCCACGTTGTGCCCAGGTGCCCATTAAACTTGGAAAAGTTGATAGACATCTATACGGGACTTTTAGAATGTTAGTGCACAAGAAGTTATACCCCAGATCAACGGGCTCGTCAATGCCGACGTATTACGGGCACCCTCGTATGTGAATGCCATTGCCCAGGAGCAGATAGCATTATCCCCATAGAATACAAGGCGATACGGGCACCCTCGTATGTGAATGCCATTGCCCAGGAGCAGATAGCATTATCCCCATAGAATACAAGGCGATGGCTCTCGAAGTTCGGGTCCTCTGATAGCCCTGGGCGGACAAACTCGTTTTGGTGAGGTCGCGGGGTTACGGTCAAATCATTAGGGATCACGTAGAACTTCGGCTCGCCTCGCGAATTTATCCCGCAATGTCCCAGCCATAGCATATCCCAATCGTCGCCATATGGGGAAGATGGGACACCCTTGGCTCCCTGAAGCGCCCGGGTTCCCCGTGCAAATTCGACCATTTGAGCCTTGATGTTCACATCCCAGTCCGAATCATCCTCCATAAGGACTGCGCTGCCGATTCTACTTTCCACGATATGTCGCAAAGCATTCATGTGGGCGCGCCAACTTCCGAGCTCGGCGGGTTTATCGCGGTGCTTCTCCTCTGTCCATACAGCTGGTAATGCTTTCGGAGGTATTTCGGCTGCTCTTACGCCTTCAAGCCAATCCACTTCCAACCCCGTATATGATGCCGCCAGAGTGATCGCATCATGCTTATCGGTGCGCTCCTTGAAGCCGATCGCAAATATCTTCTCGAACCCTAAGGTAGCATTTCTGATCATATTATCGAGCAGCGACTCGTCGTTGGCAGGGCCCCTTGCGGAAGGAATCCAGAAACCATCGCCGTTTTCCAACCATGAAAGCCAGATCACTATGCAAACAATGAGCAAAGCAATGGACAGCTTTCTGCTGCTAAAAGTGCGCATTATGCCAACGTTTCACGGTGAGATACTGTAAAGAAATAGGAAGCTTGTTTTGTGGCTGAACATAAGATTGAAAAGGACCTCGCTTAATAAAACAAATAATCAAGCGTTTATCTTGCTCAGTATAATGTCTCGGACAGCATGATCATCGTTGGGTTTGATAATAATCTTGCAAAGTAGCCCGGTCAGTAGTTGAGTAGATGGTTGAAAGGCTTATCTAGAGCCTCTGCAATCTTAGAGCCACTAGCACCACCAAAATGAGCTCCCTGCATAAAAGCTCGCTCTGCTGGCTTCAGCTCAGTATCACGCCTAATGTTAGGACTTAAGGTCTCTAGAACTCGACGTTCAGGCATAGTTCTAGGTGGTTGAAAACATGAGGCTGTTTGACATGTTGTTTACGCGCGTGGGAACTAAGTCTGATCCCTCAGACTTCCTACTAGGTTCTTTACCTTCTAACTGCTTGCACCGGACGCTTATTACAGTACATGGGACAGTTCATGCATTAAGTCAATCTTTTTGCTCTTCCTTTTTGATACCCTTATAGTTCTGGCCTAGGGTACAGGTTCTGATCCACCGGTTTGCTTCCCGCTGGCCTACATCGCCTGCTTATTAGAGCTCTGAACTCGTTACAATACTTCCTAGAAAGTACATACCATGATATGCACTTTGAAACTAACTTGAATCCTACCTTTAAGCTACACTAGTCCTCTTTCCGTTAGAATTTGGGGAAGGCCAATCGGGACTGTGGGATACAGATGATACTAGCTCTATATGGGTTAGCTACATTTTAGTACAGGTTTGTAAAACTTTCTGAGGTGTATAGCAAGGAATTATATTTTGGGAGGCATTGTAAAAGCTAAATACAATGAAAAGGGAAAAAATGAAATTAAAAGTGCAAATGCAGGCTTGGTTATCGAGTATTGTTGTGAATCTATCCTCATTAGTGTACTTTGAGTCCAAGGTTGAACAGTTTTGCTATGAACATGGATAAAGAATGTTTATCTACAAAGGTTCCCTCACTTCAGGAGTAAGTTCACTATGTTGAATACATGTTGGTGAAGAGAAAAGACAATTGTTTACAGCCGGGACCACTTATTTCAGGCATGCATCTGCAGTTCTGAGGAGTTGTTGAACATCTTTAATTTTTGAACATGTGTTCACAATGACTGTGTGGGCCAGACCCACATGTCTAAATGATGAGACTCACCACTGTTATCTAATTTTTCTTATTTCTTTCTTTTTTCTTACTTTTTTTTGGTTAAAATTACTTGGTGTGGGGACTGAACTGATATCAGCTAGAGCATGAAATAAAAGCCAATCAACTGAGTAGCTCTGCTTAGTATTAGATAACTGCGAGATTTAAAATTTCTCAACATATACTTCCTCTTTGCTTTCTTTGTTGGTAGGACGTTGTGTAGGCGCTACTGTATCTCCGAATACACCTAGTTCCAGAAGGCCTAACATTTAACAGCTAAGTATGCCCACCTTGGAGAGCTGCAAGTCATCCTACAATAATTTTTACATAGAAGTACCCTTTCTCCTCGTTCTGGAATATCTCAATCCGATACTGTACTTGGGCCTTTCTCGAGATGGATTTTGTTAGCCGTCAAAAGGGCCTCCGATTGAAACGGTTTGAGTCTCCAAAGCCATTGCTATCAAATCTCGAGCTCTGCAATGCCTACCACACTGTCCTGGGTAGAGGAGAAAGTCTCGCACAGTACTTGGGAGAGAATCTGTTCTGCAATTTCTTGGAAGAAAAGTTCAGCAATATCCTCCGGTCCAGTCCCCACCCCCCGAAGCTAGAGTATAAAGAACGGGCCGATGGTCTCGGCTGGGTCGGTCTCATACGCCACCTAGACCCCGATCAGCTTCAGAAAAATGGCGATGGTATATATCGCTGCAACGTCCAAGGACATACGGTTGAGGCATCGGAGTCTGTATATCAGATGCTCAAGAGCGGCTTTCTTCAGCAGTTTATCGGGGGAGATATACAAAAAGAAAGAGAAATCACCGAGCTGTCAATTGCAGAAGCGTCGAAGTGGTATGACTTTGCTTTACAAGGTAAGATGAATATTGACGTGCAGCCTCCAGGGTACAGCAGCTAATGGATGGATTCGGTAGCCGTGGAGAGCTTTGGTAACCTGCTTCAGGAGTTAGATAAAAGGTCTGATGCGCTGCATGCCACATCAGGTGACATCCCATTTGGGAGACCTTTCACTACCGCGGAGCCTTCAACTACCCAAGGTCCTACCCCCCAGTGGGCTTGGTGCAGCTATAACTGCTGCAAGGACATTGTTAATGACATATGTCCACAAGGACGCCCACGTACCCCGCCACAGGCAAACCAAAGTTTGGCCAGAAGGTCCTGGTCCCAGAGCCCCCAGACAGATCAAACATCAGGTACCTGTTCGCATACGGATCTAAATATCGCAGAGCAGTTGTGTACTACCATTACCTCGGAGACAAATTCTCACCACTGGTGCCCGGAAGAAGAGAAGGACATTTCGGACCAGCTAGATCATATACAGGTATCTAATTCGCGCTCAAGAGGGGCGACTGGTTACAAGAGAAAAAGAAGCCGAGCCAAGCGGCGGCGAATGGCACAGTTGGCTGCTGCAACACAAAACCTTACTTTGGCGCGTATGTAGCGTGCACAAGGCGTTGAGAGCACACACTTACGTTGCGAATAGCTTCTGGATTTATTTTAAGTACATTGTCCTGGTGCGTTATGTGTATATCTATTGTGTAGCACTTGTCCTGCACGAGTTCCTTTATGCTCCTCTATATTAATAGACCATCGTTTTCCTGTGGGCGCACAGAACCCCTGAGACTTTAATATATAGCATATGGCTTACTCAAAATCGAATTCTAACAACGATCTCCCACCACTGTACGAAGCTGCTACATAGTTAGGAGACACCGGATACTAAAAAACAATGTGCGTTATTATAGCCAAGGCAATTGAATGTTATAACGAGCCCGGATATCGATGGGCTATCCAGAGCATGATCTTGAACTATAAGGTTATGGCCGGCGACATAGGCGGCGTTGCTCAATTGAAGCAGAATCCGAACTATAAAGCAAACCCTTTAATGTCGAGTTCATGTTATCATCTCTGCATTTGGTCAGACATGTTGTTTAGGATGGGATATGAAGCTACCAACACCCTCCTGAATTATTTACTTTTTTGGCTTGATGCATTAATGATGTCTCGTATCGCTTAGAAGGTTAGGCCGACGTGGTTGACTTCTCCACTTCTTTGCCAGCCGTTGACTTCCTTAAGCCTAGACCGGCAGTTCCGAGCTTCGCCCCGTGCGTGATGCCATGGAGCGCACCAAGTCTCCACCCGTCACGGGGTTCGTAGTACAGACAACCAACTGTAAGTTGTCTAATGAGAAGGGCACAGGCCAACCTGAGCCAATACGATCATCAAGGTTATATATTAGTACCTTGATGGTAAGCTCTTGGATTTGACAGCCTTACTTTTACAGTACACTACTAGTAGTGTTCCGACTAGACCCAAAGGGTTAAGTCTAACTTAGGCTGCATCATTTTCCAGGCTTCTGTCAACCGTGTAACATATATTCATGACCTACCTAGGACCATCCTTTCATATTCTCTCTGATTCGGAGTGTGCTACCGTGTGGAGAGATTTGGGATCTCTGGTAACCGACTACGATTAGAGTTGAATCCCGACATTTAGGTATACGAAGGATCCCTTGGCCGTTTCGGCTAGTAGATTTCAAGCTACGTGGTAATAGTATAAACTATAATCTCGCCTTTTGTTACTAGGCAAAACATGTATTCGGGAGTAGTATTATGTGGGGAGGTTATGGTTTGGTTGCATGCGTATTAAGCGGTCATGGCACTAGAAAGGGAGGCAACTCTCGTCTTCTTTCATTGTACTATCTCCTTCATCTGCTACTTCCTGCTATCCTCTATCCCGCAATATTAAACTCGGTTTTCCCTGGAAGATCAACAATGAATTGAAAGCTCAAATATGGCAATGGCTTTTGTTAACGCCAGACTCACTGCATAGACCGCAGTGCCAGTTTCTTTCGTATTGATAATTTTGAAGAGCCACGTCCTGTAGCCTCTGAGAAAGACACCATTCCTTAGTCAGTACATAAACCGAGGCGTGCAGAATTTGCAGTAGAGGCCTTGCTGAACATATTTCAGTATAGTTCAGGAGATACCAAAATGGACGATTTTCATACCTGAGCCTTCTGTGGCTGGACTTGGGTGGTCGTAAAAGCCGAGGTAAATGAGCTGTAGTACCCTCCAGACAGTTTGGATATCTGTGTTCTCAACCCGTAACTCTCGAGTAGCAGGTGAGTGTGAAGTTTCCTGGAAGTATTCCGCGAGGTACGGGCTTTCTGCCCCAAGTACCATGCTGTGAATGGAAATACTCCTACTCCCCACGAAAATCTTTGCATCGCAGCCTTTCATGTTTCTCCATAGCCTTTTTCGCTTTTCCTGAACTGCTCGTTCGATAAATCCCGATGGAAGCATATTGATTTGAGTGTTATGTATATGATAATGGAAATATACCATTCAATGTTAGCTTGTTCATAGCGCCTAGCCGATAATTATCGAGGATATTAATTAGGCCACGAAAAGTGAATACCTAATGTCACTCGACTTTAGTAATATCTGTATCAAGTCTAGTAATCAGCGGAATTCCGCTCTGACCCGCTCCTCCCTAGCCGCAAATGGGTCGAAGGTGCGGGGGCATTAATTTATGGAAATGTTTCGCTTAACTGAAGACATATTGTAAGTGTTGAATAGGCGCAAATAGCTAACATAGCTGAACTATTCAGTAATCAGCTGAACTTAAGTTAGACCGTCTGTCCCGCGTTCAACACGGACTATCATAATTGGAGTGGCCAGTCTCATTTTATCTCTGATCATGCATTACTGGTTGAAAGTCACCTGATATGCAAGTTAACAAGGACAATTGTGCTCAATATATATTGTAACCCTGTTCAACAGGTGTTTCGACTATCCATAATGTCCTCGCAGCGCAGAGCTTGCGTCACAATTAAATAAAGTGTAAATCATGTACTAGGACATCAGTGACAGTTGCAAGTGGACAGAACTCTTGGTGGGTACTAGATAGTATGGCCCTGTCAGGGTAGAAAGCAGTAAGTGAATTATTGAGACCTCTACACACCCACTATACCGAGGTTCTAGTTTTGTATCACTGTGTTGTAATAGGAGCTGTTATATATTTTGGTAAACCTGAGGATTTTTAAATACTGCTGATACGGCAGCCTGTATATGCGTAAAGTCTTTCTTCAGCACGTAGGTAATTGGGGACTTATACTTCTCCACACTGGAGCCTCTGAGATGCACCTTATTTCAGGCAATAGGTATACGTATCTCTCTGTCAAAACAAAAATCATTATGGCAGGCTAAAGACTAGTCGTGACCTCTGCAACAGTCTATCCATGCTTAAGTATATAAGTGGCTTTTAAGTGGCAGCTTGAATTTTATCTAAAACTGATGGCCTTTCTTTCCTTAGCTTGAGAGGAAATAGGAAGATCTACTGGATTGTCAACGGCAGTGTGACAACGTAGGCTATAGAAGGTACAGGGGCCTTGGAATATTTTGACATAAGAATGAAGATGTTACTCATGTTATCGAGAAACAAAATCAAAAACACAGGCATACTTAATGAAAGGATACGGAGTTGAACACAGTTTGCATGGCCCTGCTCTGACATCCTTACACGGAAACCCTATTCTGCACTTTTGAAACTCCAGTGCTTGGGATCTTGAAGCTCTTTCGTACCAGGCGATGATCGCATTGTTGGATTGCTTCCGCCAAGTTGGTACACTATTCTCTCTGCAATGTGTAGCCACTTTCCTGACTACCTTGTTTGCTGCTAGCAAACTTACCAACCTTCTTTTTTGTTTAGAAAGTAATTTTGCCCACTTCAGGTATGCTTCATACATAGTTTGCCTTAGCATTTGCATCTCTGCAAACTTGCGTTCTCCTTGCATAAAATCTGGAGAGAACGAGACAAAGTCTATGTCAAAATACTCCAACTCTCTGATCACAACTCGCGAAGTCTCAGTGAGCTTCTGCAAGCTCCGCCGCAGTACAGCCATTTGAATTTACCACGCTCAACAAATCAGGACTGCAGTCCACCATTAACGCGAACAATTGTAGTTGACTGTGCTTGACGGCAATATGGAGCGCAGTGTCTCCATCTGTGTCAGTTACTTCAAGGTGCTTTTGTCCAGTGACTTGCTTAAACTCGAGTAATAGTATAAGAACAGCAATTTTTCTGCTATTCTCCTCTTCGGCACCGTACATATATCTCCTGCGTTCCGAGAACATATAATCTCCGTGTAGCCAACGGGAGATTGGGGTCAAAGAGCCTGGCCATTCGGTGGATCGTTCCGTCAATAAAGATAGAATTAGCGAAGGGTCAAATAAGTCTAGCATATCACATGCTTCATCTGCGTATAAACAAGGTTCGCCACTGATGCCACGGAGCAGTAGGTGAACCAGATTATTGTTTTGACTGTCATGGACTGCCTGGTTTGCACCAGCCTCAAAGAGGATACTAGCAAACACCGTTCGGCGTAGGGAGAATGCCATGGCTAACAGTGTGTACCATTCTACAAACCTCATTTCTAGCCCTCATGATGGAGAGGTTGCCAAATACCTGACCAGTTGCTCAGATTCATCGGTGGTTTGATAGTACAGCACAGTGGAGTAGTAGGTTTCCTTAAATGTTTCGTTAATACTAATACTCAACAAGAAGGCGCGCACATACTTACTGTCTAAACCAATCCATCCTATAACTGGCTTGAGGGGTTGGATAGACCTATCGGCTTGGGATTGCTTTTCCATAATCGTATCATATCTAGGCACTTTTCCGTAATCATCGCTGGCAGCTTCAGACTCGTTATTGAGAAGCCACCTAACACTTGCTAAGTTGCCTTCGAAAGCTGCGAGAAGAAGTGGGGATTCAATAAATCTCCGTTTCACCTGAGAATATTGAGTACGGGTCGTCTTCCGATTTTTTCGTCTTTTAAAGTAGCTCAGTAGACCAATGTAGTACCCGGGATCCTGTGGGATAATATCGTGCCGGTTCTTGACAACCCTAAGAAGCATAGAAAGACATCGAAGATGGCCTAATTTTACTGCGAGACTCAAGGCACTTTCAAGGCACGAATTGGCGCCTGATTTATCGCTCTGTGATTTTGAAAAAAATGCTCAGGATCAGGTTGACCAAAAAATTAGGAGTGGAATATCATTCTGAATAGTGGTGTGATCAAGGAGACAGGCTCTGGAATTCTTGATTGCTCTTTGCTCCTTCTTGGTTCTAGCTTCCTTGGTTTCGACAGAAAGGCCTCACAGTGGAATGATAGCATCTGCATGCGTGTGTAACCTTCTATATCTGCACAATTTATAGGCTGTTGATTGTCGTGCCGTTCATCCCATCCGTCCCCCGTTAATCCTTTAGTTTTGGCTGAATTGTGCTGTTTGGAAACAATCCGTAAAATGATGGAGGCAGCTTTCAGGTTCCCTCATAAAATCGCGATGGAGAAAGGCGCGAAACCTCTGCTATCGCACATGTAGCCTAGCAAAGGCTGTTCATCTTGATGCCATTTTGTCAATGTAAGCTTAATGATCTCATGAGTATCCCCAGACCATGCAGCCTCAAATCTACTGTCTGTTAGATGCTTTATCATTATTTCAAGACTTGATCTTGAGGGAGGGACCTTACAGCCTCAAATAGCCATGATTTTGTGCCTCAGTGATGTGCAGCAGGTTGAAAGTGAATGCAAGTTTGAATGGATTAGCTTTGTCATTCTGCATCCTAATATCTGTGCCACACAGCTTCCCAAAACTATTGTGCGTTTCTGCAGATAGCCTGGCACCATTTTGAACCAACTTGTCCTCCAAAAGGTGAAAATCATGAGCCAGAGAATCTAGCATGACTATATTTAGACCCGATCTGCTGATATTCTGGAAGTCCTCTAGTCTCTGTTCGTGTGCTTGACAAGAGTGTTCAATGCTGTCCCTAGCCTCTTTCAGGGCTTGTTGTGCCATCTAAAATTGATATGAGCCTTCTTCAAAACCATGTAAGTATGTATCGTCGCTTTCATCCATGTCATATGGCAACAGGAGACCTTGTTTACTGTCCCTATATTGGTCTAAGCTTTCTGAGCTTGAACTGGACACAGTCTAGGATTGTTCCCTTTCGTGTGCCAATAGCATAACCAGCAAAGTCGAATGTGACAAGACGGTTCAAAAGGACGGATTAAACCCCAACTCGGATCAAGTCCAAAGCCACTGAGGGTTGATTATTAGTGATTGCAATTGTTAAGGAATTTGCAACACTTTCTTTTAGTATATTTTGGTACCTTTCATATGAATCTCCAGAGTACGAGATGATGTACGAGGACCTTATGAACTTCTCAAACTGGTCAGGTGCCTTGTCAACAAATTCCATAATTTTTGACGACGTGGCGGAATTTCGACTTTCTAAAGCAGCAACAAGTGTAGACAGGAGAAGCTCTCTCCGATTTGGAGACTCCCAAAACATGTCGAAAATCTCGAAGTGCTTGCATTAAGCGAGGTAGTGGAAAGCAGTTCTTCCATTTGGATCTGTCTCCATGACGAGGGCTTCGAGCTCCAAAAGTTTCTTGACCATAGGAATTGCCAATACTTTGGTAACGAAAGAGCCAAGATCAACCGCCGGTAGCATAAGAGTATTGTAAGTACTTGCACCGAATGTGGCAAGCTCTCCAACTACATCCGTGTGACCATGGATGATAGCGAGATGGAGAGGCAAGGCTCTGGTATCCCATGAAAGAAGATCGATATCATATGTATCATCCTTTGGATATATATTGTCCAGATCATAGTCAGAAGGGGGGCTTTCGCAGTACCATTCTTCCTCGGCTTGAACAGGTGTTCGTCTCAAGCCATTGTCCTGACTGTTCAAATTGTTTCAAGTGAGAAGCACACTTATAATTTTTGTCTCACCACGCGCAGCTGCAAGACGAAGGGCTGTCTTCCTGTTTACCAAACGCGAAGTTAAGTCGGCACCGTTGTCTAACATGATCTGTACAATTTCAGGAGTGGAACACATACATGCTAGATGCAATGGGGTTCTTCCCAATTTATCGCGATGATTCAGTTTAATAGCCCCTTTTACAATGCAGCTCTCTACCTCTTTAAAGCCATGTTCGACTATTGCCTGAGAGAAGAGGGTTGTATCGTCAAGGTAGGCCATACCTAAGAGTGGTACATAAGCATTGCCCACTACAATGTAGGGTTTATTGGAGTTTACATACTTTGTCCAATTAATTTTGCTCAGAGGGTGGAAGCTCCCAATCATCTGTCGTCCTGGGTCATCCTTGATGAATGTAAGCCCACCAGAGACATAAGTTTGATTGATTTCTTTCTATAACATCAGCTCCTCTTGGTTGCTTGGCTTGGGACACTTCCCGCAGCAGTCGTGGATGACTTCTTCAATTGTGCCAAAAAAGAAAGCATGACGATAGAAGCGGTCCAGGTTATCAGAGTGTTTAGCAGACAACGCAGAATTTGACATGAGGTCATTATTGAACAAGATTTTCTTAATCTTCTCCGCATAAATACCCTTCACATAAGGGACTATCTACCAGAAAAGTCAGTATCCAGCAACTTCGGTTTGGCGATAGCGAGGAGACTAACAAATGTATGGTAGGTTGATTCTGCATCTTCTTCTTGTACCACTGGTTCTGCTGCATCTCCAATTGTGTCGCTCTCCTCGTTCCATTCCGGGACCTCGTCGCCCCATTCACCCATGGTATTTTCTGCTGGCATACTGGAACGGGGGTACTTAAGATAGCCGCGATTTTCAAACCTTGTGAGTATGTATTTATCGCGTTGCGATCTTTTTGGCAGTTGTTCGAAAATCAATAGACGAGCCAGACCCAGCGTAGTTGCGGGGCTTCTCCCGAGAATCATCTAAAAGTCCTTATTAATTATGTTAATGGGGATCAGGCACAGGCATACTTACCTACTGGATTAATCCGCGAGCGGTCCAACTGGGGACAGAAAATCTCGAAGCCACGACACGCGTACTTCGAGAGGCGGCTTTCGTAGGATGGTGACCTCTTTGATAGATTAATTCGATTTGTTTGCGCGATATATGATGTCAGCGCACGTGGCGCCAGGTGACCATCGTATGCAGCACAAGAACAATTGACATCAAAACCTGTCAGTATTTCCGATATTGACTTGTAAATCCTCAGCACTATCTGAACATGGCGGATGGGATACTGAGAAGCTATCGTTATGGCACTCTTAGACCTGACAGTAACCGTTTCGTGCCAGATGGAATTCTTGATGCTTCTCTCGATTTGCCTTATCTTTTCCACAGCCTGATCTTCAGTCAAACCATACAAGAAAAGGTCGACATCAGATGCGAGGGTAAACTTCTTATGATAGAACTCACGGAGTCTTTGCCTTGACCCACGGTATTCCTCCGGGACAGGGAGTAAAGGTGTGACCACAGCACGCCCGGCGACCACCACATTATTCCAATCTAAAAACTGCAAAGTTCCTTCAGAGACGACATTAAAGTTGGCCTCAAACTCTCAGGATGTCGATACAACGGCGGGAGACCCCGTTGGTCGTTGATCAACATCCTCAAGAGGCAAAATGTATTTGCTCTTAAGGCAGTCTGGCTCAGACACAATATCACGCGCCCGGACTCGTACATCGGCCCATCCGTGATTATGATAAACAGGGACGACATTAAGTATATTCTCGAGTAGGAGTGGTGAGACGGTTTTTACACAAAGATCTCTCGCAGTACGGAATCATAGTCCTCGTATGGCTCTATGAGCAATGGGTATGGTTGGTTGCGACTTTATATACTCGAGAAACTTTGAATGATTAATAGGGAGAGGTGGAAGGGAGGTATCCGAAAGCATTTTGATGGAACATAGACCAAGTCGTCGAATGAGAATAGACTTAATGTCAAATTTTTGCCCCTTATAGTGACATAAGCAGATTTATATGTCAGTGCAAGAGAGGTTATCGTCAATATTTGCTTTCAAACCTACCATATGATATAAGGTGGTTAGGAGAGTACTAGAATTCTTATTTTGTTGTGTTCCTTCTGTAATAAGGGTAAAGGAGCCGAGAACAAAGAAAAAAGGGCAGGGAAAAGAAAAATGCTAAAAAGTGATCAACACAACTGTTGTGAATACTGCAGGTTAGCCTGAGATTCAGTGCTGTCATGAAAAATATACACATCTTAGCAAACTGTTCAACAAAATAGACCCACAAATCACTAGGCAAACTTAAGGAAATTGCATGCAACATTACAGCCAGGAACTAGAGTGTGACATATTTAGACTAGTTGGACATCTGTAGCTACTAGAGGAATGATCTTAACCCTGTAGTTGCCCATGGGTACCCGCGGCCAGTCAAAAAGCTAGGGATACTACTAAACCTACCCACAATATATAGGCATAACCTTTGATCACTATATGAATGTACTTACTATAGTATCACATTGGACCTCAATTCCTAAGACCTAGTTTTACAGGGTCTGATTCCTTTTTTGTGTACTCAAACTTGTCACATAATGGTGAAATTGTACTAGTCATATATTCATGTTGGACAGTAATCCTCATTACATATGGTGAAGATGATGTTTTCCTTGGTTAATGATCATGCCCAGCTTGGTCTAGAAACTGTCTACAATTCAGAATTTCAGAGTGAATGTTGAACACCTCACATTTAATAATTATATTAAAAATAGATAGTTGTGAACAAAAAGCCTGCAGACAAAAAAATGAGCCCCACTTTACAAGCACACACTTAACTAGCTCTGAAAGTTTGATTTTGTAGTCAGGAATTCATGCATCCCTTTTGCTTGATGAAGTGTGAAAGCAACTTATGGCAGAAAAGAAAATAACAAAAACAATGAAGCATCAGAATCAATAAACAGTGTACAAATGAAGTGGATCCCATATCCAAAGAGGTGGTTTTTTGTTCCAATGTACATGTCAAACACATTTTACAAGCACTCCAGGTGTTCAACTCGATTCCTATTTTTGGGCATGTGTCTTAAACTAGGCTAGATAATTATTAGCTTACTTTATTTATGATTCTTCTGTTGTTGCACTGTAAGAAAGGAGTGGTTCAAGTTTTTGACAGTCAATATAATGGGTGTTTTTGTGATCTCAGGGAAAAATAGCAATTGGAAGGAGACAAGACATAGATTGAGCAGACACTAGCCTGAATAGTTACAGGAAAAGGCAGAAGCCTCAGAGTTAAAATCCGTATGGTTGCCAAGGCGCTAGCTATACAGTATACTAGCTGTATGCTATATCTTCAACAGATGTATCCTGCAGTGATCAAGTTTCCACTAAACAAACATACATTCATAACTTCCTTGGACCTTGGATCCCATAGGAGAAGTCATCTTTATGTAAATCTGATCTACACCCTGCTTTGTCTAAAGTAAGTCTAGACTACTGCACATGATATAGTTTGTTGTGAAGGCAGGGAAAAGCAGTTGAGCTTGCACTCACTGCCTGGACAACAGCATTATAGAAACAGCAGGGACAGATGTGAATGTAATCAATCATATGCTCTGACCCTGTGTTCAGACTTCAGGTCTTGGTATCAATCCTCTCAATAAATTGTTTTATTATTATTTCTTCTCAAATTAATGTGAAACTAGTAACTTCAGTAGTGTTGTGAGATAACGAACTGTAGACTAACAACCAAACTCCCCCAAAGCAATACCATACCGCTCATTCTAGCGTCATATTACAAGATGTACAATGGAGCTACTTACAGCAGCATTTTCCGAATGGGGTAAACATTAATGTAGAAGTAATGCCGGCGGATTGTTTATAGCGGAAGCTGTGCGTACAATTGTTCAACGCCAACACTATCGAGTTGTAACGTACTACAGTATCAGAAAGGAGGATAAGAGAACCTAACTGGAATAGCGCTACAGTAATGAGGACAAACACTTTTAGTGGAAGGGTAAAGGCCCTGGATTCTATGCTGTAGAAGGACCGTTAACCTTGCCTGGAAAGTTAGCTGAATCGGATTTATGTACACAAAATCTTCTAGTTATGTTACATATACAACTTGCTACTTCATTATACTGTACAATTTCACACACCGGTCGAGGCGCGGGCTGTATAGTCGAGTTATGTCTTGTATTTTCTAGACGACCACTCTGAGCGACTTAATCGCAACGAGGTGAACAGTGCTGTAATATCTGCTGAAGTGTGTAGGTAGTTATTACATCAGTCATTCGTGGCTAGTGCTAGTGGGCTCACAGTACAACACGGACTTCAAAGATAATTTGAGCAAATACGGGCCAAAGAAACTGCGATCCACGTCCTAGTGGCCAGGAATTACAGTACTGGCGGAGATTGGGAACGCGTCCAATAGAATATCGTGTATGTTAGCAGAAGGAGTAGGGGGCAAAGTTTAAAGTAAAATTACAAGCTCTGCCCAAGGCAGCAACCATACATACCTAATTTTGTTTTCTATCTAGAGAAGGAAACCAACAATACCGAATAGAAATCCAGTATACTTAGGAATGTCAGATTATCAAAGCGAAGAGCTTATAGTATCTGTGCTATCAAGTGCTATACTAAAATGCTCGACCTTCCAAGTTTTATTATGGCTTGATAATGAAATTAAATCAAATAAAAAGCAAATTGTGGCTCATGTTATCATAGCCTCACAGATCAAGGAAGTTCATCACACATGCCAGGTAAGTACTTGACTATGCTCCCATCCATGCAGTAGCATGTACTCAGAGACAAGTCCGCGTTTCTAATTTGTGCACTGGTCAGCTCATCATCCAGTGTGTAACAGGTTTGAAGGGTACCAACTTCACAACACACATTGATGTGGACAAGGATTGCGGAGATTTCGTGGAGTGCGGGGATTGTGAGGATTGTGTCTTTGTTGTATGGCTAGAGCTTGTTGCAGTTTCAACTCTGGATAGGCTGTTTGTTAGGATATATGATGAACTTGTAGATATCGCTGTTGTTGTCTGCGCATCAGACGGTGGGCTTCGGGACGTCTGGCTTAGAGGCTGCTGAGAATGACCAGCCCCACTTTCATATTGTGTAGCTAAGCCGGGGGTGGCTGAAGGAGTCTGACCATTGCATGAAAGCTGCGTAGAAGATACCTTGATAACTGTTTCCGAAGGTATTTTTCCTGCATCTGTTGCAGACATACGTGACTCTGGGACTTGTGTTAACATTGTTGAGCTGCTGACAGGCGGCATGCCTGTGATCAGGATGGAGATTTCGTCACACACAAACGCTAAACCTTGCTGGCCTACATTGTATTTAGTGAGTAGTCATATAGAAAAGGATGTGCTTACAGGCTTGGAAGACAGCAGTGAGCCTAGCTTCACAGTCTTCTTTCACCGAGGTTGACTGTTGTTGCCCTTTAAGTACAGACCTCACAGACACCTCAGTGTTGGTGAAACTTCTGAGAAAGTTGCATGTTTCTATAGCAGCATCCCTAGGTTGTAGATGCGCGCTCGCCGTAACAGCAGCTGTAAATGAAATAAAAAAAAGCCGCATCATCAGTGTTCAGAGAGATATTTCTTCGGGAATTTATTCTTTTCATATTCTTTTGATAGACAATTTCAATGTACTTATATGGCTTAGTGGTTTTCCTATCATCTGTTGTGGAAAGCCCTGCCACTCACTTTGAAGGCATTTGCTGTATGTCGATGTACCTTGAACATAACATGGATCAAACTAGCACAGTTGAATGTACAGGGGGCAATTCTTGGGGCGAGAAGTACAGCTGGCTGCATAGATCTGCATTGCAGCTACTTTTAATGCCCCTCTTAACCTACCGGGGTGTAATAATCTCGGAAATATCTGGTGGTCAGTTCGGTTTATTATTTGATTCAGTTGCCCTGAACCCTCAAACCTACTCCGTACATCACGCTTCTATGGCCCACCTAAGCCCACTTTATAACAAATGGACTCAGATATGCCCTTATTAATTATCATCGAATACGAAGTACCAAATATAGAACAGGCAGTAGGTCTTATACCTGGCTTGAATGGAGATGTCTCCCGAAGTAGATATAAAGGTTCAACTGCAGCTCAGTATTTACCAAGCTTGAACAATGGGAACAAGGACGGGGAAGGCAGGAAGCGTAATGCTTATGGAAAAATTCAAATTGACTTGGGCAATCCTTGCGATAGCTGTAAGACTCGATGTGGAACACGGTAGACTCTGGCTCTCTAATTAATAACAGGTCTGCGAAGCGTTAGCTCACCCCAATACTGCCAGAGATGCTAGCATGGTAAAGAAACTAAACTTCTCATGATGTTGATGTATTGCTTAGCTTTGATTAACTAGGTGCTGGATTCTCCAAACTTTCCTGCTCCGGCCCTCGAGGGAACGGCTGCTCCGGGGAAACGGGCGGTGAGTTCCTCTATGATGCGCCAGCCAGAGTCGTGATAGCGAATTAATGTTTCTCAATTAATTAGTTAGAAAGTCTCAAGTGCGATTTTTCGCATGGACTCGCCTACATTGAGCCAACTGCCGTAAACATCGATCATTTGCGCGACGAGAAGGATGCACACTGCCTGGCCCAAGCAGGGAAGTGTGCCCGTCTATCCTATCTTAACGATTCATCGATATGGTTCTGTAATTATGTTAGTTGAATGTGATTACAAATGGGTCGAGCATTTGTACTGACACCAAATAATAGAATCTCAATCACATTTCTACAAAATGTGAAAATCTTATAGAGCCTGCCCAGACTGTGTACCAAAGTTGTCGAATCGCATCTCGATATACGTACGGCTACCTTCGCAGCAAAATCTGGAATGGTACTGAATCCGAGGCGGATTACTACTTGTTACTTGGCCCGGAATTACTCTCATAAAAGATGAAGCAGAATAGAATTACTGTTAAATGGAGATATATTCAAACACACTACGTAGCTTATTAGTATATTATGTCTAAAATAACCTAAAGCGATGTAGACCACCACTTTCGTAGAATATAAGGTGATAGAAGGGGGCTGATCAATAATGGCTGCTATTACAGTACTACCTAGAATGGAATTCCATGGTACATACTTCGAACCTGCTTTCTTGAACTTAGACAAAACATGAGACTTATCAACCATAGATGGCTGATTTCGTGCTATGTGCAGCAGCCAGGCGCATACATATTGTACATTAGCCACATCAACAAGTTGAATAACAATTCTGGTACTGGCTGACTTGCAATCTCCTTCCACCTCGGAATAAGACCAAGTCTCATCTCGAACCCTAATCCTCCCACCATTCAGCATTAAACCTTATTTCCTGACAATATCCAAAACTAAGCCGCACATACATCTATAAGTATATTTAAGCTACGGGGTTTAGGGTTTGAAATCGACTGAACATACAACTGACAGAAGGATATTTCGGGTACCTGTGTCTCTATATTGTAAATGTATGAATTCAATCAATCAGCTAGTCTGTATGTTGTGACCTAAAGCTCACTGCATTCCAACAAGCATACATTCACACAGTACAGTACAATTATTAGTTTTGAAATGCACATAATCATCAATGAGGGCCAATCATCTGAACCGGCCTACTGTCTTCATGTCCTTTATGCACCTAGATGAACAGTGTTCTAGAAATTTGATGCACTTACAACAATAAAAAAGGTGAAGAATCTATCTGATTGTTTACACATACTGTATAATTAGTTTCGGAAGTCCCCTCTCTACAGTACATAGTTAAGTGTGTGTCCCCTACCTAACCATAATCAGTTGACATAATTCAATATCTGTATGATGCCTGTTATACTGCCAAAAACTCAAGTAGTGGATTGTTAAAGATTGCATGATAGCTTTTCACCCTGATACACTGCAATTGTATCTATTGGTTATTAGTAAAATATGACCCAAAGACATTCAAACCTACTAACCAAGATCTAGTAGATTGAACTTAACCATGTGTCTGTCGCTCTTCCGGCATGAGCATGCAAGTTTTCCCCCTTCCAGATAACATTGGCCGCACCCATTGATACAGGTAGCAAATGCATTCCCACTATGCCTAGTGTCAGACTCACTCAGTGTAATATAATGATCACTTACTCCTTAACACTTGCAAGGCTCCCATCGTAATTGGCAAGACATCCATTCAAGTCTAAGTGCTTTTCGTTCCTCACATTATCTTTTGTTGTACAATTTGCACGTAGAATATGGTCGTCTTCAAGATAATACCCATTACAGGCAGCGGTGAAATTATCAGCAGCACATAACTTCAGGAACGTCAATGCACCGAGGAGCAACACTAAAGCTCTTCCCATTGCTACTATAGATAGAAGGAATTGGGAAAACAGCCAGTGTAAAGCTGTTAATAAATCACTGATTGTTAAGAAGACTTGGATTAACCACACTTGCAACTCTGAGATTCTCAAATACTATAGCTGTAACATCACTCGGAGATTTGTGAATGTGCTTGCTTATATATTCAATATTCCAATAATTGTGGAGCGGTGAACCCAGATGCCACCAGATGATGCCATTATGAACACTCTGGTCACTCCTAACATTCTACCTTTGCATTATTGAGCAGGCCTCCTTTTACTGAAGCTCAGAAAGTTGAATAGAGTGGGTAGATGAGGAACATAGGCATAGCTCGGGAGGGCTTTAATTTTAACATCAACTAGATCCTATTTACCTGTAGGAGCTAACTCTTCTGTTCCCAAATAGAAGGGCTTGGCAATTAATTGAACGACAAATAATATTGATAACTTTCTGGCTTATCATCTAAGCTTTACTTTGCCTACCAGTTAAAGTATAAGTGGTTATATCATGCCTCAAAATGGACGGGATCTTTTTCCCAGTTTCAACAATACCGTAAAATGTAGGGCAGTTTTATATGTTAGGCTCCCTATACTTTCGTTAACGCATACAAGAAAGCGCCGATATTATAGTATCTATAGAAAAGGCTGGTATGTATGTATTGTAGAATGAGTGATTTATCCTACTAGTGGGATAGTATTTTAGACATAAAATTATCCCATATCCACATCATAGGATCGACCTACCCTTTCCCTACATACGGGGTACTATGGATTGGAGCTTGGAACTCAACTGAACCACCAATTGCCATGTATGTGAAATATAGGGTGGATCAGGAAACGTACTGTGATATCATGGATTCATGGGGCTAGATGACGATCGAAGTATAAACGCCATCTATTAGAACTACCTACCCTTTTCTATCATCTAAAGCAGTAGAAAAGATAGGGCAAATCTTCAAGCGCATATACTCTGCGATTGCACGATTGAACTAGACGTCGCTGGCCTCAAAATAGTTAGATGGTGCAAAAACTGTGTGTGTGAGAGCTTCAGCGTTTATCACGTACATCAAGTCTACTTCAGATTTGGATTTGTCTTTATTGTTCCTAGAATCAATTTAAAACAAGAAGATGCCCGCAATTGATTCTTAATTTAGCTGCAGTGAGTTAAGTGGGGTGCTTCTAGCAGAAGGCATACTAGTAATTCATTTCCCACATGCATAATACATGAACGGCCTAGCGTTCCATTTCGACACGAGGAATTTTGGCAAATGTCAAGTTTAAGCTACAGTTCTGGTACATACTAGAAAAGCAGGGCCTCTAGAACATAGCCCTCAAGCAGATTGCAGATTCAAAAAATAACATCGCTCAATGGTTTTGCTCAAGCATTCCTTCCAATACTTATGGCGAATAGACATGCTAAATTTGAGGCCTATGAAATGGCCTACGAGGCAGTCAAGATAAGTATATAAGTCCACTCCCTTTCCTCAGCGCAATTATACATATACCATCACCAGCTGGGTAGTCAATCATATCATCATCAACTTTAAAGCGGTCGTTCAAGGCGACCATTCCCTTGCTACTAATTCAGCTATATTCATATCTATAAAGCCTCCCACTTATACGTACTTCAGGAATACTGGATTGCTTCCTGAAATTTCTTGAAGATAGGTACCTTACAACTTCATGCACCTTGGCCGTCTTGCTATCGGATGGGATATGAACGAGGAAAACGCAAGCTGCCGTCCAAAATAAGCGAAAGTTGCGTATCTCCATATGCTTGTGAACATCAGCATTGTAGCAACGATCGGCTTGATAGCTTCAGTAGTAGAGGCTCATATTTTAATGTCCAACCCCATTCCTTACGGAAAAGGCACCCTCAACAACTCTCCCCTTGCAGCCGATGGCAGTGACTTCCCCTGCAAGCAGCGCCCAGGAGGATATGTTATTCCAGAGAAAGAGAACAAATACAGTATTGGTGAGAGTGTCGCTTTAAGCTTGGTCGGTAGTGCCACACATGGCGGAGGGTCATGCCAGATCAGCCTGACAACCGACCTGGAACCTACCAAGGAATCGAAATGGATGGTGATAAAATCGTTCGAGGGTGGCTGCCCGGTTAGTACTGAGGGCAATCTTTCTGGCGGTCCAACAATAGTCACTCCCACCAGCCTTAGTTTCGATATCCCAGAAGGTATCGAGCCTGGCAAATACACCTTGGCCTGGACCTGGTTTAACCGTATCGGGAACCGCGAGATGTACATGAACTGTGCCCCTATCACTATTGCCGGTAAAGGCGTGAACTACAACACGCCGGCAAGACCTCAGAAGGATACCAAAGTCTCCGAGAAGAGAGCAGCTAGCTTCCCACCAATGTTTGTTGCAAATATTGGGAACAATTGCACCACACCGGAGGGTTTTGATATCAGGTTTCCGCAGGCTGGTAACTATGTCGAGCGAAAAGGAGATAGTTCTCACATACTCCCTTACAATATTCCGGTATGCTCTGACAGCGCAACTTCAGATATCGACGGCGGCAGCCCAAGTAGCGCACAACCTTACGAGTCTAGCTCTGACTCCCGCGCGACGTCTGCAGCCGACAGTTCTCCTAGCACCTGCTCCTCAGAGGACAAATGAATGAACATAATTAGACAACGCTCCATCCATCCTTTGATCCATCATTGTACTAGCTATATCTCTGTTGAGGAGGACGGCCGCGGCATATATTACATTGGAAAATTCCTACGCCATGAATTAGCTGTGCTCTTTTTCCGTACGTTGGCACCTCTCCTCTCTGGTAAGAAAGCTACAAAAATACCTATCTAGATCATATCATTCAATCATTTATATATAAATATGCAATCTCCACTTCACTTTTCTCCGTTAATTATCCTGAGACAAAATACTTCAGAAGATTGTGACTAGATTGTTGTTTCGTTTCTAGATATGGTGTTGTTGTTGATTTCATACAGTACGCTAACCCTTTGCGGTACTTATTTATAAACCACCATACAGGGAATTAATGCAGACCCGCATTGGTCTAATGGTTAAATCAACTAGACATGAGCCGGATTGCACTAGCTGTTGGCGCATAAATGAAATTCCAACATTGTAACCTTAAGTGATTCATGATTCTCTACAGGAAAACCAGGATAATTGGTCTCCTGGTCCATTAATGTTCGCTAGCTTATCTAGACGACAGTCACACACTTGGCTGGTGCGTCAAGTGGGTGGCCATCAGCGAAACCGCAGTTGTATGTCCATGTAAATAAGCTTCTCGTCAATGGATACGGCTAGAACCAATGTTGCTTTAGCTTTACCCTTATTCACGCTCTACCTGAAGACTCCTTGGACGCCTTGAGCCATCTAAGGCTCACCCACCCTCGCATGGCTATTGTCTAGTTCATCCAGGTTTTGCTGTATCAGAACTATCGATGCTAGTTTCCTATGAAGGCCGTAAACATAGGCAGAGCTTGCGCTGTTACGTGTCGTGATGCTACAGATAGACAAGTCTTGATATTGGCAATACCCTGGGCGGCTCCCCTTATACGACTGCGAAGATGTTATTGGCATGAGTAACTAATTTGTTAACTTTTTCTTATGGCGTTTTTTTTCTCTTTTACCATGCGTGGTCCATGCGCCACTTTACTATCAGCAACAGATACTTGTCAACCAGAAAATACAAGCAGCAAGTAACGTGAAGTCATCCTGCTAGTTGCTAGCATTTTCTAGTCCAAGTTTACATCAACCCCATCAGAATAGAAAACATATTTAAAGGCAGCAACAAGTGATGGGTATGTTCCTGTGGGGGTTGCCGACCCTGCTACTTCGTTAACCATCAATATCTAGGTAATTTTCATGTCCAAGCCCGACCTTTGTGACACAGGGAGAATCTACATACCATTGTGCGGATACAGACCCACCAGCTTTTCACTGTAGCCATCAACCCCGTAACCAGGCAAGCACGGTTATGGCAACTGCAGCACATTAGTAGTTCCTATAAAAATGAAGGGATATACTCTAGGAACATAGGATAACTCAGAGCCCCTGGAGGCACATAGAGAGAGACCTGTCTAGCAGTTTCCTATCTTATAGAACCAATCAGCTGCTTCTCTCAAGTCGCAGCACCCTGCCCCGGTACTAACTTGGGCGGAATTGCCACATATTGAGAAAACCTCGAAATACGGTTAGCCAACAAGATTGCACTGTGTCCCGAGAGCTTACAGACAATGACACATAACCACTCCACTGTCGTGATGGCCGTTTTGATTATCACTTTATGCTGTCTAATCCTTACTTTATTCTGGAGCTCTTTAACAAGCTCAAGGGTATTAGGTAATGGGTGGAGTTCATTTGTTTCTGATTTCAGATCACTGTTCTCTATAGTCACTCGCGCTGTGACCTCTTCACTACTTAGGCTCTCAGCATGATATGTAGAGAAGGGATCAAACTATATACATATAATGTAATGTCATTTAGAGAATAAATCTGCCATCTAATGTCAAAAGACCGACTCAGATCTGCTTTTCCACTACATTCCCCATTTTGAATATTGTGGCTTAGTAAATCATCTTGCTCAGGGAATTCTCTATGATGCCAGAATCCCCTTTCTGTACCCCTATGAGCGCTCGAAGTCGCTGTTGTGGGGCCAGACTGGAATATTTGATTGTGTGACACACCACCTGTGATACACATTGCACGGCTTTTCAGTTGTGATGGTACCCAAAAACCTTTGACTAGGTTTAAATGTGAAAAGGCCATATGAATTGTGCGGATGGCTTGCTATATATGTCAATATTTTCTTCTAAGTTAGCGCCCCTGATTATGTAAATTTATTAGGTCCAATTTTTCGTTTTTTTGGAGAAATAAATATAATCTGATCACGCTGTATAAAAGCCTGCTTTCCAGCTAGTACTTTGGAAATGGTAGGTCTCGTGGAAATTGGTCCTACACTAACTGACAAGAGCTCGTTTTCTGCAACATAGCATACAAAAATGGGGCTTCCTTACTAGGGTCATTCACCACCGTCCTAAGGCTAAATGCGCATCTATTCAGGAAGCAATAGCTATAGGGCGTTAAGCGATGAAACCCGTACATTAAGCAGAACCCTCTTCTATAAACAACAGTTAGACGGATAGACTATAAATCTGTATATATATGTCAGAACCTTTATGAAACAGAATGATGCCGGAGGCCAACCAGCTTCCCCATTAAATGCCTGCTTTCTTGAGTAGAATTGGAATACTGTAACATGAGTTAAAAAATATTTCAAATTGACTACTCCAGTCCAATATTCAGCTCACTGACCACCTGTCCCAACGAGTTTCGAAGAACGTCTAATGAATTAAGGAACTCTGAATGATCCATATTCCCTTGAATTGACATAAACAAACATTGGCTGGCAATAGAAGACTTGAAATGAAGTGCACAGAGTTTTGCTATCCATTTTTCTGCCTCTTCAGCCTGCAGTAAGCGCATATGTGTCATCTTTGCCAGACCAAAAAAGATCTTCTCGAAATTTTCAAATGTCCGCTGAAAGTCAAGATCTAAAATATCAGCTTCCATCCCGGCAACCATTTGAACAAACAGCTCGATATCAATGAGAAATAGCCACGTACCCACCATAGCTGGAAACCCCTGTAATAAAGCCTTGTCATGGCCAATGCCTTGAAACCTTAGCTTCGTGTATTCATGCAGCTCTGGACACGGTTCTTGGAATGGCCTCTCTACATTGAGGGAGTATTTGAAGAAATTCATTATACTTGTCGTTTGGGAGCTTTGGCACGGAACATAATTCAGCAAATCCTGTGCCATGCAGTGCATCACAAATGTTATCTCGCCCTCTTTACAGGCCACAGCACCTGTAGTAGCGGAGTGCACTGCCTTGGCACAGTGTATCTCATTGTCAATAGGTGACTGCTGCCGGTGTGCTGAGAGACTGAGCCAAAGGCCAACTCCAAGAGCAAAGCTGACTGACCCAGTGGAATTGAGGAGTATCATAACCGCTTTTTTCTGCTCCTTGTTTAGCGGCTCAGAGAGTGGCTTTCTGCTTGTTCCGGCAATGTAATGATGTATGTCTCCAATATGGCGAACTAGATCTGAAGACACATAAACTGTAAGGAGATTTCTTGTTGTCCATTGTCAGTTAACTTCCGTACAGGGTAAATAAAACCAGTATTACATACCCAAATGAATAAATAATATCGTCCATGATATCATGGCCGCCGTTTAGCATAACCGGAGGCTTTTTCGTAGGGACCTCCATAAGCTAGCGTTGGGAGGAAGCATGGCAAAATCAGGAAGTGAAAAAGAACAATGACTATGCAGCATACCTTACGTGAGGGCCCTTAGCTTTATAGGAAGGGCTAGTAAAGACATGAGAGAGCTAGTGGTTGTCAACCTGGGATTAGACGGACAATTCCTAAAGTAGCCCCTGAGCAAGGTTTATGTCGACTAGCTAGTATTTAGATAAAAGTTAGATTGAGAGGCTCCCCGTTCGCTTCTATCTATAGGGCATTCATGGGTTCAGGACTATATCTTGAGTATGGCCTGACCATGCGAGCGCTTCAGTTAGCTTTCTGACTACTTACTGACTAGCTTAGGCCGGTATTTACCGCCCTCTCTCACAACTACAATAAGTGATCACAGGCCTTTGCATGGCCCCAATTTGTTCAGCGTTCTTGTTATTGTGCTTGAAGCGTAAAGTTTCCGAAATGGTTAAAGTTGGCGCGAGAGCTGTGAGTACACAAGAAGTACAAAAAATTAGTCAGTCAATGTAAATTGGTTCTAAACATTATAAGTCTATTAGACAATATGGGAACTTAGACCTTAGTGACCAATAAAGAAGCCCGACAGAGCAGTCATCCCTGTCCCAGCCTCATGCACTGTAGAAGCCTGCCTGTCTCCAAATCATATTAGCTCATAACTTCGTTTAGGAAGTGACTCGATATACATATCTGAAGGGCAAGCAGCGCCTGGCATCGGTTGAACAGACTTGACTATGTTAAAGCGGCCCTCAAGAGAGAATGAATGTATCCGCCTGGTAACAATAGTTGGGAAATTATGGTACTTTCCGGTTGTAGTACATGGGCGAATAGCGAAAACATAAACCAAATCCCGGAGCTGCTTGGGTTGAACTGAGTTTATCCTAACACTAGTAGATTTCGCGCTGTGCCCGTGCCAGGCAACCCTTCCACTCCAGGGAACACCCAGGTGTCGCCTCGCTACTCACGGATAAACGGATTGTACCCAGTTAAAGGCCACAGGTGCCACATCTGTGGGCAGACCCCTATCAGAACTTCCCCTACGTAGTGACCCACCGATGTGACCCACCTGATTTCACACTGGCCACGGATTATTAGAGTCGTATTACCGAGGAGATATCCATACATTGACTTATGGCTATGAAGGCATTCAAATTGTACACTAATGTCTATGTGTGACATAGAGCCCGATCAATTTTGCCCCTATTACAATGAGAATACTAGGTTTATTCCAGTTTAGGTTATTGTAATTTGCTACTGTCTCAGACAATTGCGATGGCTGCTCAAGGGGTAATACAGCTTCAATTGAACACATCACTCATATCTCATTGATCACCTTCGATACGCTATTTTTACACGCCAATTCTGCCAAGGGTTAATCCACTTAAAGCACCACTGAGAGTATCTAGCCTTTACCTCCAGCGAATCTAACAATTGTGTTTATGTGAACCTTATTAGAAGACATGCTGAACTTGCCCCTAGTCTTGTGAATATGAGCCTTACCAAACCGCGCCACAAGGTTGATGTCTAACTGCGAGTAATGTCAGCTGTCACCTGCGCATCCAATGATAAACCAAGAAAATTAAGGAATGTATAGGGAGAGAAGCTACATTAAAACCAATGTTCATGAACTTTTCCCATGATTCCTTAGTTTTCACCCCCCCGTAGGTGCGCCAATCCAAACAGTTTGCGGTATCCGAACCTGATGGACTGCCATGCAAGCTGTTCCTCCGGATAGATTCTTCAACCGACTGGACAGAGCTCTCGTCAGGCACCGGTTTGCTAGCAATAATATAGTAGCCCTTGTTCTCCATTTCTTCGAGTTCTTTAGCATTATCTACTTGCAGGAAGCCCAAAAACCCCGTGATTGGCATTTTGGTGGAGGGGCTGATGATGTAATCAAGGTATCAAGGTCTATTTCTGATTGGTTTAAAGTCATGAAAACAGAACTAATTTGACTTAAGAGTCACGGTTCCAAATGAGACAGGATATGAGATCTATTAATACTTTTCTAAAAGTAACGGTCATACTGAGCGATCTGGAAAGTTCCTGTGGTATTTTCGTTATACACCACCGAGGAAGAACATGCATTTGTTATAGACAGGATCAGTAAGGCGCTAGTCATGCGTACTGTTTCTGGCTACCATTGACCAAACCAGGCTATGCCTAATAATGTCAACTATTTGGTAGCCGTTCCATTATACACTCAAGTAGACTAGGCCCGGTTGCGCGTCTTCCCATTACACCATTCCATCTATTCAAGGCGTAGGATTCTATATTGAAGATTTTACTAGAGTCTTACTGTAACGGGAAGAAGCTTGAATATTGTGAAAGAAGAGGGGCCCTCCGATAACACTTTAATATACCGCGTAGTTACAAGGAGGAATTAAGATGCCTAGTGAACAATTAGCCTTCAACTGTATAGTCACGGCAGCGAGGCCTAGAAGTGGCCGATTAGGCTTTCCCGCTCAAGCTGATTAGAAACGTTATATACATGCAATTAATCCTGTAACTTGAACAATGTATATTTCCTTTTGGCTAAACTATTGTTGGGTCATCTGGGCCTCAGTCCCTTCATATGACCCTTGAGAGTTGAAAGACGTCGTACCAATCTGCTTCAACGCCTCAAAGCAGCCTCCAAAGCCTAGTCCATTGATTAGCTAGTCATTATTGCTTCAGTATTTCTTCACATACAAGCAACTATATCCTCCTCCCAGATCCCCCTTTCGTAATCAACCAGGCCGAAGCCCTCTAGAAAGTCGGATACGTTGATGACATGGTTCCACTAGTTCGTTCAGCCATTCTTCCAGGCTGTCTTTAGCATTGCAGTCCAAGTGAGTACATTGCTGAAGTATCTCCGAGATATTTCGGCCAAGCTCTAGCCAACAGTTATTAAACTTCAACCAGAAGTAGATGGAGTCATTCTCGGTAGTCGCCCGCTGGTTGTATTCCTGAATATTTATTGGTTCAGGGAATTGTTGTCGTTGCGCCTCCCAGAGACTATGTCCATTTATCGTAAGCAACACCGATGCTGCATTGAGGTCTTTCTCCCTGTTTACTTTTGATGCCTCGTCTATCGCTGCTTGGCACGCTTCGAATGCGTATGGTATATAATATGGATTGAGACCTTGAGCTGTTTCGGGGTGTGAGACGTAGGTGGTGTATAATTCTAGGTCTCTCAAGTCTTGACCGTATTCGAACAATGTTTCAGGATACTCATTGTGAGGCTGCTGGGACAGATGACAGCATTGATAACAATACATTATGACTTTGTCGGTTTCAATTAAGGTACGGTATAGTAGAAAGATGCGGGCTTGCCACTCGTATCCCGGAAATGTTGGTCTAATAAGGAGTTCAATGGAACCAACATATAGGCCACCTAGACCGGCCACGTCCGGTGCTAGGAAGTGGAGAAAGTAGTCTAAGCAAAGGACCCCGTTTGGTCCAAGGGGATTTGTTTTCTTTAATTAAAAAAAGGAAAGTAAAGACAAGAAAGGCGTAATATATACATGCACCCAAAAGTTGCCCAACTGGCCATATTCAGCATTAAAGGACGAAAAGAAGTAATGTCTAACCAGTCCACCCATCCACACTCTAGATACACTAGAAGCCCATCGTATCTATGGCCCAACCAATCTAAATTTTAATCGAAATGGAGTCTTCCATTCTCTCGAGCAATCGCTCATTACCTATGAGCCATCCGTCGTACTCGTCAATGTATACTGTCGTCACACGTTTTAGCCGCTGCTATCCAATCTCCATCAGATAACAAACACTCACTTGAGTTTCTTCGGGTAAGTATATCATATTTTCCAAGTCTTTCAGCACCATATTATACTCATGAAGCAGATCTGCCAATTCCGCATGAGGCACCGCGTCCTTGACTTCATCTCCGGTGAGCGTAGTTGTATTTGTTAAAATAATAACCGGAGCATCTGCCTTGGTCCGACCTATATCGAATTTCCAACCATTCAGTTGTTCCAGATCTTTTTTCAATTCTTCCTCTTCATCCCAGCGAGGATAAACAAATACTGGTTTCCGAATATGATCCTCCATATTTGCAAGGTAATGGGATAGGTGTGTGCAAATATTTTAGGTGACTTGCGATGTATAACAGGGCGTCTTTGCATTTCTTATAAGGTGTAAGTTTTGGAGGATTATTTCACCTACTGTACGGTTTCTAAAGTGGGAAGTTACGCACCTTAGATGAAGTATGCATAACTAGCATTTCCTTTGGGTTTCTCAAGATGTATGCGCTTTAAAATGCTCTTGGCATAGGAGCTAAACCAATAGCGGTTACTAGGTACATTGCCAAGCCCATATTTCATGTGAGATCAATTTAGAATCCAGAAATCAAGGATTTTCTTTTAATGAAGGGACAATGTGGTAGGCGAGCTGATTCCGCAGTTCATCGTATCGTCGTCCTCTGCCACTCTTCTCCAAACAACGGCTGAAAATAGTACAGAGCCTCCCTGCCTCCCGGATAACCCATCACCTCCTCATATTGCAGTATTTTCATTCTAGGCGCACCCTTCGCTGAAATGCATACCACGAGCTGTGCCCTAGAAAGTCCATAATCCTGATAGTTTATCTGCACTACTTTTAGAATGCGGTCTTCCGTCGAAAACTATTTGCAGGGTTAGCAAGGATCACCGTGACCTTTACTTCCATTTGATATATTAAAAATTAAATTTAGATCATAAGATAACTTATAGCGGCGTTACGATGTAAGCTATTCGCCCTAGCTACGATACATATATACACCTTTACATTTTTGGAATATAGACACGCTGCTGTGGAATTCTAAGAGCCCTAGTTCCTTTCATATGTTCTTAGGCAGTCGTCATTAGGGGGCATAGACGCTGTGACGTTATTAATGTCAATTGCTATATGGTTAAGACTCTTTCGACTTACGATTACATTTAGGACTTGCGAATCGGGAGGACGCGGCTTCACCACCGTAGGAAAAGTAAATTTGTTTTTGATTTTTCCACATACCCGGCTTTTTAGGGTCTCTGAGACTTTCAATCTTCATCCCAGTTCTTCGCACACAAACGAAAGTAAGTGGCTTTCTTGCCCCTCGCTAATGGAGCAGGGGTTTTTGCCCCTCAAGAAGAGGGTATGTTCAGTCCAAACCCCGGGAACTCTAAACGATCGAGCATATCTCGACCTTGAGCATGAAAAAGAATATGCACATGCGGTGCATTGTCGACCATAGCGAACGAGAGGTTATAATCAAAAGAAGAGGTAGCAAGTAATGTTTATTCTAGTAGGATATTGCGGTATCTGTAATAATGAAGATGATATCTATGATCTTGGAGATAAAGGGGTCAACCGGTATTTGTATTCATGGGCGCTAGTCCGATTCACTTTGTCTATCAAAATCCACCTACTGATGCTGGATTCGTCGTGGAGTACTAGATGACCCATGCAGGCTAAGGTCAACTACTTTCTCCACAGTGTCAAATGCCCCGAGGATGGTTTCTAGTTCGGTGCCATAGAATGCAGCCCTGTCCATCCTCAATACATCGTCCTTCGTGACCCACTTTAAATCCCGATTCTCTTCTTCCGCCGAACCCATGCAGCCAGACTGTCTATCGACAACCACAAGAAAAGTGAAACTATGCCAGTGATGTTTTCTCTCGATCTTTGATAGGACGGTATCAAGGATCTGGAGCTCAGTTCTACCAGTCCTTTCCTTAGCCACGCGTTCAGCAGCTTTACGTAAATTTTGGTCGTCATAGTCAACCTTGCCGCCAGGCAGTTCCCAGCACCCGGGGTGACTATCATAAGCGGAACGTTGAAGAAGAAGTGAAGGACAACCCGGTGCATATTTGTCGAGGATAATGACGTTGACCCACAAGGAATAGACGAGTCCTTCAAGTTGGAACTTGTGGCCGGGGTACCTTGCGATGCGGAAAGGAGACAGAGGGGTATCGAGGGTAACGTGCTCGAGACTTGATATATCCATCATGCTTTATGCACTAAGATCAGCATACAGTAAGCAGATATGGATGTAGAGAGCAAGATATATGCAAGAGGTAATGTGCTTGACTAGAGTAAGAGCTATCTCAGCCGATAGCCAGATTATATGAGTAGATCGGCGAGCTCTGCCGCAGCTTTAACCACGCACCCGGTTGATATGACCCAGTGCACCGTTACAGAAAATGATTTTAGACGCTACACAACTGGAGGGGAAAAACCGAGACACCGATTTGCTCCCTACCGGCTACTCCATAAACTTCTAGTTCTCTACTATGCCCCACTACTAGCCCCTGCTTTTTATACAAGCGAGGGTAGGTTCGCGCTCATCTTTATGTCATAATCATGTGTGGTGTACTACAATACCAACCCCCCTCATAAAGCTCTTTCTCTTTAGTAATGCAATTGCCGCATTTCTTACAAGGGCAAGCAAAATGTTGGGTTCGTGTTGGTAGGTATTTGTCGGCCATACAGAACACCAGGTCACAAGGGAACAGGCCTTTGCACTTGCCGCCGCAGGGCTTGTGGATTACAATTGTATGAAGCACATATTGCGATGGGACAGGAAATAACGATCTGGGGATCTGTTGAAAGTAACGCATAACTCAATTCTCAGAATATATACATTTCCCGCCGAGTTAAGTGTGGCTATAGAACACTCACAGGATAGAAATAGATAAAAATAATAATAGTAAGCTGCTCACTTTGTGGACTGCTTACAAATATCGTAATCTTTTAGTAACTGTAGCCCACGCTCAGACTTCCGCAACATTTTTTCTTCTATTAAGAATTTTTCTGTCCAAGAGAGCGTAACTGTTTGCCCTCCTTCTTCAAAATCACACATGCTCACTTGGCGCACAATCTGGTAGCTGTCACCAACTTGCCGCTCTATGCAGTGCCTTCGAAACGCGGGGCATCCATTTATTTGAGCCTTCCCGTCTTGTAGGATAATCATTAACGAATCTAGCAACAGGTGAGCATACTATATCTATGAACGCCATGAATGTACAGACCTTGAGAAGATGTGTTAGTGGCTTTGCGTTGCCAGCCGAGGCAACTGGAAAAAGGTGATATGGCTGCAAGAAGAGAATACATAGCTTTGAGTTGTAGAAAAACATATTGCGAATGAATCTTGAATGCAGAGTCAAACTTTTAATAATCTACGGTACATGTACAGCTGACATACAGCTCCAAGTCAGCTTAGAAGGGGATTAGAGTTATTACGGCTTGAACTGTCTCAGATACTTTCTAATCGCTCTCGGCCATAGTGCAGATTTGTCAACTGCTAGGATTGTTACATACTTTGTGTATATAGAAATGGCACTTGTCATAAAGACTAGAGACTACTCTGTTTCGGGAAAATCTCTTTGGGCAAAGGTTACAGAAGAGAATAACCAGCGACCAATCTTCCGCTGAATAACAACACCGCTAGCCGTTGGGTCGTCCAAAGTTACTCATGTGCCCATCAGAATTGAACCTTAGTGATCTGGCTTATAAATAGTTTTGTAGTTACAGGATGCTATCCTTCGTTGCGTAATTCTTTCCCAAATGTCCGAATCGGTTTTACGAAAATAAGTGGTTTCTGTAATCCATATATTAGCCATCCCACCGTAAGCAAGAAACTGTCTTGTACAATTTCTATCATCCTTGGTTCGCGCTGCGACATCTAGAGGTTCAACATACGAAGCTTCGTACATCCTAAATAGTCCACCATTGAGAATGATATAGAACGAACAGTCAAGAAGGCAAGGCTGCTGTTAAGAGAGGGCATGCTATCTTTAGACTTATTTGTTCTCCAGATGCGACATATTACCAAGTTTTGATTGATATACATCCTCCAAGGTGCTCACTCTTGCATACACATCCCCCCTCATCTTTTTATCTCTTCGCTGCATCTCACTTACCACCTGGAACGTGATAGTGTTCCGTCCCAGGGGACACTGAAATTGCGGAGACCTGCGGATGATCCTTCGCCAATCTGGCACTTGTATCACCCTTTGCTTGGAGCTGCAGGCAATACCATGGTGTCCAGCTCGCATGGCAGGTAAGCAGCATCGAAAGAGGCACTCTCGTCGCATTCGCCATCTCTTTCATCTATAAATAATTTTCGGATTTATAGATTCCGACCTTATGGAGATGTGGGCAAGCAAGGATGGCTCCACGTACGTAGTTATCTCTTTCCCATGGCTCGTGGAGTCAAGACACGAAGTGGAATTCCGAAGCATTACAGAAACCAAAGCTCCTTGAAGAGTGGGTACACCGACAGTTCTGGACCTCAATGAAATTTTGCCGATAACGGCAGAAAATATTTGGCAATTGGCGCAGGGATAGAACTCCTGCTGCATACTGCCAAGGCCAGAACGGCCTGGTGTAGCTTATAAGTCGCTCGCTGGGGCGTAATAAAACATCACGAAAGGATGAAACGGTTTGGGTTGCCGCCACTATCACTGACTGAGCCTGTTCCCACTTCCCATCCTGCATTGTGGTAGACAACTCTAGCCTCTCTTTCGAACTTATTGTCTCTTGCTGGGTTAAGTCTACCCTTATTCCAGTGGTCTGGGACGACCGTAGAAGAGGGACAATCGGATGCTTGCTGTGCAGCCACGCGAGGTCATACTGAGACTCTACCAGAGACCATGGCAGGGCGGATACCGAGGTATGCCCTTCCACAGGTGGACTGTCAACCACACTCGTCAACGCTGGTGTAGCTATCAAAGGTTGGCAATCCTGTGAGTCCCAGCCTGAATACCTAGGACGCACAGTCAATTCAAAAGTCCTAATCAGAAGCTCTTGCACTCTTATATCCTGCAATTCAGACCTGGACGGTAATCTGGAAGACCTTCGAGTGTTGACGGGTAGCTCGATTGTCGATTCTACTGTCGGAAAGGCAGGAGTTGGCGTAAAGCCTGATGAGCTTTTGGAACCAAGGGAGAGCTCGCTCCCGCTCGATTCACTGCATTCGCCTTCCAAACCAGTTGAGAACACGTAAATGGCTGACGGACTCACCACTGTGTTTGCCAAATTATATATCATAGGATAGTGACCTAGCGAGAACGAGAGAGCGAAGCTTGTCAGGATTACAGTACCGGTAGAAGAGACTTTAGTTTCATTGTTCCATACACAAAACAAAGAGAGTGGGTGGTGAAGAGGTCAAAAGAGGTTTGCGGCTTCTCATGGTGGCAGAACATTGGACATTGAGTATCAGGGTTTAGTCAACAAGCCATTGCTTGGGAGCTTTTGTGCTTAGAGCTAAGGCTTCCTTAGTTTACTGCTGCACTTACTTTTGGGGTCCGTATATTCCTTTTATTGCAGTAGATTAAAATATGAGGGCATAACAAACTGCCACTGTCGCTAGAGGCTTTGCGGGAACACACTTGGACCAAGCAGTAATGCGCTGTTAGGAGTCTTATTATTGAGATAGCCCGACAAATTTGGCCTGCCGTATTCAATCAACTAAATGTATCATCACGTCAAGAAATTGCTTAGAGTCATCAACACATGCCTTGACATTAGACATCTTGTGGTAATACAGCGTAGGCTTCCCCTCCTTATATTGGAGCACGTCAATTATACGCCCAATAACCTTGCTTTATCGGTAGAATGACACCGACTCTATCCAGAATAGAGATCTCGCAAACCGCAGCCGTTGACCTTATCAAGGTTGGGTGTATGGAGTACTAGGCTTTCAAACCTAACAGCGCAACTTATAAAGCTACCCATGCACTGTGCCGGTCTGGTCCGGACCACATAGTCTTCCAGCTCCCGCATTCTTCCACTTTGCTCGACATCTTTCATACATGCGACCACTTTATCTTACTGTTAGATACCGACTTAGAGTACTACGAGAAGATGTCCAACCAACAGAATACCGCAGCTCGCGACGATTCTCCGCCGAGCAATATATGGTATGCTGTAATGGTTGTCAGGGAAGCACACCCCGATTATCCCGTGGTCTTTGAAAGGAAGCAAGGCAAAGAAACAAACTTGCAACAAAGAAAGAGAGTTTCCGTGAAGTCCCGAGAATTCTGGAGAATATGTGGTAATCGGGCCAAGTCCAGTAGCTTTCTAATCTCTGGTGTCCCTATCAATGGGCATGACGATCAAACATGGAACCTGCACCTGACCCCTTGGGACAGTAGCGGGCTACCACCTTGGAATATGGATACAAAAGTGAAACAGTTCGTGGAGAACGCTGCCAGCGACAAGATCATGAAATTCAATGGGCTCGCATAAAGGGAATGGTGTCTCCGAGGACCGTGATATGCAAACAATACAGCGTTGGAATTATGCCACGTAAGATATATTGGCAGACTTGCTAGCCAATAGTCACACAGAAAGTGCATCGAAACAGTACAATCATGCAGTCAGGTTCTCCCATCCGCGCTATAGGCACATTGCACTTTGACAACATTCCCAGTTTATCCTTCTCACAGCTAGTAGGTTGGCCCATTTCTTGCGTGCTGCGTCAATGTCAATTCACTACAAATGGGACGGGAGGAAAGTCTAGGCCATAGGCAAAAAGGGCAATCTACACAAGGATGGGTCAAAGTCTACCTCCGCGATACTGACAAGCCCGAGATTTAATATAAGCAATATACCACTATGTTAAATAATGCGAGTCTTCAAAGAAAAGAGTAGAGAAAGCCGTCATATATGTCCACAAACTGATGACCACACCTCCTTAAATCATATTTCCCAAGCAACAATGCTACTGTATAGTATACAATACAGTTACACCCTCTGTCTAGAGATCGTATGTATTACATTTCCAGCCATATAATTGCTTCTTATCCCACTGATGTGGAGACTTGTTGGAGCTAGAGATCAGATGGAAGATCACCAGCAGGATGGCCACTAATCTTAAGAGCTTTAGGCAGAGATAAGAAAAGCCACCATGCATTACATCTCTCAGCCGTGGGCCTTTGTAGCGTAGACTGCCAATCCTACTAAGGTAAAATATCATTAGCGCCCTGAATGACAATAGCACGGTAGACCTCAAATGAAGCTTACATCACTGCCGACTAATGGCCTAATGGCTGATTGGAGCTGCGCCATCAGCATCCGTTGTGCCTTCACGCTCCCATGACGAGAGCGCCACAAAATCCGCTTGTTTCTTCCAACAATTTGCCTTTATGGGAAACATTTGTTTACTCTTTAGGGTTGACCCTATAAGCTCTCCTAGTTTTCAGGTTCCATTGGCATTGGCCAACCCAAGAGGAATGCAACATTTTCCTAAAAGCACTGAGGATCGTGGATTAGGCCCGGCCATTGTGTAATGGCATGACTAGTTGGGTTGGCTGTGCAGGGAGATAGTATTATCAAAGTCACCTTCTTCTGTCGTCCGAATCCGGATGGTTGCTTTAGGTCCTTAGTCACTCTCTGGCGAGCTCGTTATAAATACCTTGACCCGCCTCGAGTCTCAAACAATAACGCAAAAGATTCAGATTATCTTGTAAATACCACCCATCTACATTTACCCACTTCCCTCCGACCCCACGAATCATCCCACGCCTGCCAAATTACACACTGCCAGGTACCGCTTATACGAATCCATTTCACCTTCCAGTACACCTAGAATGCCACTTAGTCGCGCCACGGCTCAGAGGCTTCACCGTGGGAAATGCGCTCCCATGAGCAGCGAATCCAAGTTTTCTTCCTTGGGTCATCAAGCATCAGCTGGAGCACTTGGAGCTCCCAAGACGGAGAACATGGTTCCACAATCCGGTGAAGGTATGTATGGGTATAGCGCACCTTGTTATTGAGGGGCCTTGCTTAGCAGTGATCTTTTAGATACTAGCCAAGAATTTCAGAATCACCTTAGCGACACGGGCGACGCTGATATAGATATTGACGATTTGCCCCATCCAGACACTCTGTTTTTCTGGGCGCGAAATAACGGCGATGCGGGGAGTCGTCAGTTGTCGGTCACTCCGCGGTGCGGGAATGATAGAATACTTCATGTCGTTAGCAAGTCAGCCACCTCTGAGGTTTCCGATGCAGATTCATCTTCCTCTGAAAGTCCCGTTAATGACAATGATGATGCAAGTCACATGAATCGTACCCTTGATGAAGGCGAGGGATGCCAGTCAGATGTGACACGATTGAGGGCTTATCCCTTCTCACCTCAATCGACTGGGCAACAGCTTCTGCAGCCTGGCATCAAGCATTACACCGAGAAGGCCCGCCCAAACCCTGCTAGTCGAAATATATTGGCAAGCGCTGTTTTGAAAAATGAAAGTAAGACAACATGCGGTCCCCTTACAAGGGCGAGGGCTAGAGCTAAGGCACTCTGTACCTTCCCTACGTCTCGCAAGACCCAGCCTTATTCTGCGATTGAAGACGATCGCCTGCGGGAATTAGTGGAAAAGGGGCTCACATGGGAGCAGATCTGGATGATATCCGGTCAGCAGTTTGCTGGGAGGACTTTGAGATCACTGCAAATGCGTTGGTCGAGAAATCTGAGGTATACGACACCACTGGTGAAGCGTTCGCAACGACGCAGAGGTGCAACTGATAGAGCAGGTTAACGGCATATCATGTGCTGTTCAAAAAGAAAGATAGTTTGTGGTTTACCAGATGGGCCATTTTGGGCAACCCTCCCCTTTCAGGCTTAGCGCCGTCTAATATTTACCCTGTATGGTCCAATGTTGACCAGGTGGTTCATCCCATAATGAGAACTGCCATCTGTCTGTCTCTTGAGTGCACATCCTCCATCACTTCTTACTTAGTTTCCTCAACTAGGGTAGCAGGCTCACTACTGAGACTTCAACAATCCTATAATTCGACGAAATATATGTCAGAGCCTATGGGAGCCTAAGGCAGCGACCACGTGACCCGACCACCACCAAAGAATCTCTGTAAAGTAGATTTAGACCTCAAGACAATCAATCCCACACACGTGAGTGAAACCAGCTCCATCAATATATACTTGAAGTGGTGACTTTCAGACTCTATGTGAACTAAAGTCCATATAAAGTATCCAAGTTGAGCATTTCTGCTGAGGGCCGCTACTAGAATATGCCACTTTAAAAAGCAATTAGGGTAAAGGGGATGCCCAATCTAAATTGTGTTGGAACATACGGTAGTCCTACACACACCATGTGGTTGCAGATGAGCTGAGGTCAACGTTTTCCTCGTGCGGGACAAAGTCGATTACATAAGCGCCAAGCCGGCTATGTAACTAGTTAATGACAACTGATTTCGGATGATGTAACAGGAGTGCAGGAATCAACACTCCATTCACTCCATTATAATTATCCATCTACACAGAGTACATGGCTTGTTATAGTAATGTCTTCTGAAGTTCAAATTGTCATACAACACTAGATTTGTGGAGGGATATTCGGAAAGTCGGATAGTCAAACCATCAACAAAGCAAAACAGAAATAAAATTGAGACAATAGATAGGAAAAACAATAAGGCAGAGAGGTAATAATTAGAAAAGATCGAAAAATAAAACTATTAGAAAAATAAGTTAATTAAAGCCTTTGCATTGGAGTGTTTGAACAACTCAACTCAAAATCTTATGTTCAACATTCATTCTGTTGGAACATTTTGGAGGAACCAGCAGAGCCCCACAAAATGGGCCTCAAGCAACAAAAGAAAGGAAACATAAACTAGGGAGGAGAAACAGCAGGCTTTCAAAGCTGGACATCCATCTTGCTGGCCTTAACTCTTTAGGAGAAATTGTGTGGATTGTGGGGGAACAAAAAGTTTTATTCTAGGCATAGATCCAATTATTCTCCAATAATGCCTGTCAGTTGTTCACGGTATGAATCATACTATGATGCTAAGGAGATCTTGTCTGCTAATGAAGTGCACACAGAATACAAAGTCAACCATGTCTATTGCTTCTTTATTCTCCTTAGTGGGCCAATGCTAATGCATCTTCTTTGCCGACCTCCAATTGCGCAACAGGTACTATTCGACCCACATGTGCGCTTCGTAGATCGGCGAATTACGAATGACTGCGATCAAGAATATTTTTGAGGGCAGGCAAAAAATAGAGTCCATCCTTTTATAATTTCATTTTATTATGGATAAGACTCACAATGTTGTCCCTGTTGTGGCAATCTAATAATTATCAGCTTAAGCTTTGAGTTTCTGTTAGATCATCGATACTGTATACAGTTCAACACAGGAACATGTTCAAAATGAATAGCAACATTTGCATCGCTGCTCTCATTTTCCCAAAACAGAATCCATCACTCCTTCCTGACATTAACTATACCATCAGTTGCGCCTCTCCCCTCAACTTTTTTGCTTTCGCAAAAATGCAGAGTACGGACCAGTATCTGGACCAAGTTACCGTAAAGCTCCAAGCTTCTTGCATATGACAGCTATGGGACATATACTGTAATTCAATCATGGCTAGCTAAATAATCCTGGATCAATTTACCATAGCCTAGGGGTTTGCATGAAACAGATGGCCCTAGAGGTAGATGCATAGTGTACTAAAATGTTATATTATGTAAAAAAAATTGAAGAAAAGCCTGTTATTTGAAGGTATAGTGCTTGAAATAGTGACCGGAGGAGTATATACAGTAGCTTATGTAGTAACCAATAACTTCTTCCGAGGCAGGGATTTCCAAAGTGTACGGCGTCGAATCAAGTTTCAGCAAGTACTTTGACACTATCCAGTGCTATAAACGCTTGGTAATGAGTCCCCCACTCAGGATTCTTTGTTTGTGCTGTTACTAAAGGGCGATAACATGGCAGACGCGAATTGGCAAAACCCCAAATCCATAAAGATAGCACTAGGGCTTAGTACATATCTACAGTATATATCAATTAGTGTAGTTTAGGAAATGTGGGCCCCTTGATGTATATCTTCCAGGCCTTTCTGTCCATGAGGCAATCATCCCTTTTTTATCCCATTTTTCTGCCCATATGTCCTTTGACTTTTTGACGTGCTCTAGAATACATTGTCTGTCCTGACCTTTGAACAGAAGTTTGAGAGAGCAGCCATGTTTTATGGCCCCTTTTTTGTATGCCGGGCCATTGAGACCAATAATATCTTGGGATGAGAGAACCTTTATGCCGTGGTCATGACAGAAAGTGTATTCTAAGTGTAGGCCACTTCTGTCTTCGGAGAATATTTGCTCGAGGGGAAGAGCCGCTGCTTCGTGGCCGGTAATAACCTCATGTATGTTAATAATAAGGCCAGATTGGAAGCTGATCTCGTGCCGATGTTTATTGTAAACCCAACCATCCCGGAGACACGCGAAGAACTTATCCTGATACTGACGAAGATCACCTGAATAGTCACTTGCAATAAGGGCACAGTAGAGGTGATTCTGTGCCCTACGAGGTCTGAAATCACTTAGATTGCGTCCAATCAGTAGAGGGAGACATCGATCATGCGTCTTCGCTAGATTGAGCCAGGTTTCGTCCTTGAAGATATATTTCCATAGAGCCGAACCAGAGTTTAAGACATTCTCAACATCGGCTGGATGAAGATAATCCTTGACAGAGTACCAAATATCCAAAGGGAGAACCTTGAAAATATCGAATTTAGCAGGCATGGTAGGACTAGGCACGATAGACAGGGCAGAAGGTTATTCAATGTCAATTCTTTTGTGCCAGCAGGGGTGCTTCCAGGTGATATAAGTACCAAGATATCAAGAGATATGAAACTGAAAGACAAGTCTTGTATTTATACAAGCACTAAGCTATCCTCAAAAATTACATTTTGAAACTACCACCAAGACATAGCTGCTTATTTGGGCAATGGCCCCATTTTGTGATATTTTAAAGATGCTACCGCCCATAGTCCATTACCCACCCCCCATGAATTACAAACTGAGACAACTTTGTGATAGTACCAGATAATTATGTTTGTTCATCCTTGTGCAACAATCCACCTCCATTAGCACTCCTGGAAAACAGTATATACAATTAGGCAACAATTTTGGTGCTTTCCGAAAATGGCAGCTCATGATAGCTCTTTGAGAGTATTGATAAAGAGGGCCAAAAAGTGATAATTCTGCCATGCCTCCCTTTCATTATCATAAAAGGCACTGTAATGTGTACCGACTAAATCAGCATCTTCAGGGATCTTTGCCATGCCATTCAAGAATGCGGCCCGATAATTATCCCCCCCCACACTCCACCCTCCTTTCCCTGAGCTTATTGTGTTCATGAGCCTTTATTATGTACTGCTTTTGAGTCTAAATTGAGGGCCTCTAGAGTGAATATAACTATGTCTGTTTTACACAGATAGTGAACAATGAGACTTTTTATTGTTCATTGTAGGAAGTGCTTACCAGTGACAATGATAACTCCTATGGTGTACATCTCTAGCAGGGAATTATACTAAGTCTCCAGCATAGATCCATATAAAAGTTCCCCAGGTACATGAATCATGGACAAAGGATCCTACAAAACCCTAGCGTGACATTATTTTCAAATTAATATCCTTGATAATTGATTACTGGATTATTATCTTTGAGCCTTTCCTAATCTATACTAGTAGTTCTTGCTTGACCAATATTTCAGAAGTTGCAAAGCTACGTGGGCTGGAAAAGAAATTTCAAAATGTTTTCTCCATTCTTTGCATACATAGATAGTAAAAGCAGCGCAAACTACTGTAACACCCTAGTTACTGTATACAGTTTCAGCAGCCCAACAAAGTACCGCCTAGCCAAGATGAAAAAGCAAGAGTTTTTTCAAGCAAATACCGCCTCGCGCTTTCCAGTATCTTCCCCGATCCTATTTTAGAACTGTTAGTAGCCTATGTCAGTCTGATATACCTGCTACCCGGTGCGGCACCCTCTGCTGTCCCCGTCAACCGGGTCATACCGGCGGGCAATAGCGCCGGCACGAACCTCTGCTCTGGGCTTCTGAAATTTCTTCTTGAATTACAACGGCCCTCTGAGGTCTCACGCAGCACTGATACAAACATAAAACCCCATTGGCGCTCTATTTCTCCCCTGTTGCCTGTAGGCATAGCTACCGTCAGTAGCTGGTGTGACTAAAGCGGTGCCCTTCCGTCCTGGCACAAGAACGGCGTATATGATATCCTAGGTATCTTGCGCCTACATGCATACCCAGAAACCCAAGTGACGCTATCTTGCCCTCCACTTCACCACGCGAACACCTTATCTCTACGCTGCTACGGTAAAGCGTGAACTAGTTGGTTGCATCCGCTGCCGCGCGCGGCTGGGAAGGGGCTCCGCCGTGTGGTTTGCGTCTGGAGTCGAGGAACGGGGGATAGACAGCATAGACAGCAATAGAATCGAAGTACTGATTGTAGTTTATTCAGGTGGGATAAAAAAGTTAAATGAGGCTGCCAATATACTACCTGTGCTACGCTACAGGTGCTAGAACTTAGTGGAGGAACGGAACAGATCTTCTTCATTTGGAGTAAAACCGAATTACAAAACATGAAAAAGAAAATGGGGGCCTGAGCCTGAAGAGTCCCGTCCCCAGCTCGTCTCCCAATCTCAGGAGCCAGTTATCATAGCGAGGGCAGCGCGGAGCTTCTCAGCTGCTTCTTCGAAGGTACTAGCAGCATCCTTGAGTTGCTGGGAACCAAGCATGAGTCCGCTCCGCTGTTCCATGGGGGAAACGCGTGCACCAGCAGGACCCCGAAGGGGGCCCACAAGCTGCAGACTATTCAGCGCAGCGGCAAGGTCAGCGGTGGCGGTGGCAGCGGCTCCACGGGCGGCGAGGATCTCAGACTCGACAGCAGCTAAAGGCAAGTCAGAAACTGATGAGATCGAAAATCTTCTTTCGACATATCGGAAATGAGGGCACCCTCGCAGGAGAAAAGGGAGTGGTAACTTTACGAAAAGCTGCAAGTACGTCACAATCAGCAAAGAGAACGACCACGACGCGCCACAGCTAACCACAACTGTTAAAATCTGGCAGCAGAAGAAAGAGGCATACAGAATGATAGTTTGGATAACCTAGTGATAGAAAACGATATTGTTGATAAAAAGACGATGGCTGTCAAGATAGGTGTTGATGTGCGAGATTGAGAAGGAGAAAAGGAGGGTTGAATCCGGAAGCTTGAAGAAGAAGAAGGGGAACACTAAGACCTTACAGTGAATAGAAAGCGGTGTTTCACCTCATAAGTCAAGGCAGAATGCTGTGGCCTGAACAGTGAATATCGAACAGCCACCTCAGGAACCCAACAGAACAGCGGAGTGGTCACCTGAACCAAGAACAGAACATGTCCGCTGGGATGCAGAATGATCAACCTACTATGCACCAGTGAGGTTAAAACGAAGTTAGTTCCACATTGAGAGGAAGGAACCTGTCAACTACAGCTGGTGAATTCGACACAATCCCATCCCCATGGACCTCGATAACAACAGTGTCAAACTATTCGTTTCACCCTCGCCTTCGGATGTGTTCAACGTGATTAACCAGTGTAGCGGATACCCAAACTGATGACCCCCCGCGATCCTGCTCAATGGTCCTACAACCATCTATGCCAAAATGGACTCGGTAACAAGTATCCTCACGTATCGATTAGCACTGGGCGGTGATTTGGAACTTCTTTGCCTCGAAGCGAAGTGATGCTCTTACTCTGAGCTCAGTCAGCATGCCCCGGATCATCTGAACGAGTACATCCATCGTGCAAGCCTCCCTGAAAGTCCCAGAGCACGCAAAAGGCGAGTAGTTTCCGAAGCACTACTGATGTCACAGAAGCTGAAGAGAGCTAGACAGGTGTAGGTCATAAATAAGACCTGTTGTCTTTACATGCTTTGTATGACCCACTTGTCTTATTGATTAATGGCTTCCTCTTGTAATCTTCCGTGTCTTTGTGATTGGTTTCCTATAATTCATGCCCCACGATGTCTGAATACCGTGCAAAGACAAGGGTCCTATCCCCTGAGAGCATAAATAGCATTGCTGACCATTGCTGCTCCTGGAATGCGACCTTCATTATTCTATTTGTACCTTGGTGTATGCCCGGCTGCTATTTGGTTTTCCCAGCCTCACCGTCTCCTGAACCCTCTCCCCCGTATAGTTCTGTGGCGAAGAGCAACAGACTTTTTCACGGTAGCTATTTGTGCTTTGGTTTTTGCGATCTTGGGAATGATCTACAGTGCTGTCTGGGCCACACTTAATCAGGTAGTGTATTCTCGATAGCTTTTCTTATGTTTGCTCTAACAATTATTAGGTTCTTCTTGTTCTCGCGTTAGGGTTTGTCTGCCATGCTCAGCCAGTAGGGCTTGTGGTCCTGAACAATGATAGCAATACTTTACAGCGTAGTAACTAGAACAATTCAGAGATATAAAAATATTTGTTTCGCAGTTATGATGCTTACTCCGTAGGCCTGATAGCTCAATATCTAAAGGTTTGTTTGTCGCATTACTTACAATAAAGGTACAGTTGCCTACTGCTTCTTGGAATAGCCGCGAACGCTAGTTGGCTTGTTCAGTAAATGTACCCCACTCTGATACGCCGACGCGGAATTGAAGGATAAGGAAGATATCCATTGTCAAATCAATGTTTCCAGTAGCTCATAGAACTTATTCTGCTGCATATGCCTCCTGTTCATGATCAGAAGACTTTATTGCATGAGAAGGACGGGACAGGACGGGACAGGAAGGTATCATATGGGTCAGCGCAGAAAGATCTACATACACGAACCGCATGTGAGCTCCCATTGGACAAACATGCGGTTATTACAGTTCATGTAAGATTGCACAGGCTATCACCATTTTAAGGAGCCCATTGGGGTATGTACTTGTACTCTTGTACATTCTGTGCCTCAGCCATCAATATCTCGAGTAGTAAATTTAGTATTTTGATTACAAAGGATTAGATGTGACAATGACTGTTACCATTTCATTCCGCCTCATCTCATCTATGCCTTTACACCAAGTACTGTGCATGTCATATTGCAGCGCCAAGAATACGCTTTTTGATAGGTGGAGCTATCCGCTCGAGCTCGTTCGACCATCGTGTGGTTTAATGATGGCTGGCGCTAATGTTCAAGCACCCCCGCCTGCTCCAGTATGCCCTAATTCTATTGGCCTTGGATGATGTCTTGGGCGCAAACATACATAACTGGTGTCTCGGTTTGTCTGGAACAACCATGAAAGCTCGACACTCATGCCTGCTTCGTTATGTTTCAACCTCGGCCGTAGCTTCGACTGTCAGTGATTCGGCTTCGATTGGCTGGTTGTAGGCCAATTCTATTCGTGCTTAGAAAAAAAGTAGCCTCGAAGAGATATTCATATCTCCTACGGCACGGAACCCCGTGGTGCCTATGCAACCTCAGTCTCTCCCGCTTCCAAACCATATCTGGGCATTGACACTGAACCACTCAGGTCCTAGACGACCAATCCTGTTCCTGCTCCATAAAAATTTAGCCGCCTCAAGATATTGTTGATACGCCTAAGCCAGGCAGCTACACGGCACAAAGAGGGCCGCAGAGACATCGCGAAACATGACGGACAGATCGCTCACGTAGACTTAGCAACATCGTATCAGCATAGCCTAGAGGCCAACCATTGCCACTTTTGGGAGCATTGAGCGGTGCATTTCTGGTTCTGGATTTATTGGGCGATACTACGTTGTGCGTTTCACCCGACTATGGAATTCGAAAAACCAAAGCTCTGCATTTCTTCATTGGTGGCTATATACCTTGTTCTAGCAAGCTGTTAGCTCATTGTTTAGGTGCCCATTTTGATTCACTAGTGCGGCGTATAGTGCCTATACAACTTCGCTGTCAATTCGCCCAAGAGCTTGCTGGCGGTAAAACTAGTTTTCTGGTTGGGCGGAGCAGTTAGTGGGATAAGTATCCCTGTTCTAATTGATGCATGTCTCCTCTTTTGTGCTCAGAAGTAACCATAACCCAGCAGGTGGATTGATTGGCCTTCGTGGCATTACAAAAGTTTACCGGCCTTCGATACTATGTGCCGAATACTCGAGACCTCAATGCCATGGTGCTTGGGCAGTACACTTTCTTCAAGCTATAAAGGACTGTCATCTCCTCTGCCAGAAGCTAACTTCAACACATGCAAATTTCCTAATACACATTACCAATTCTCCATTGGAAAATACAGCCGTTTTACTGATCCCCTTTGCCTCACCCTTAGCAAAATCCTAGAGGGTTTCGACCAATCGAAATTAAACCCTGACTGGTACGTGAAGGATACCTAAACAACCCCTTGTCTTATAACTAATCATTACAAGATAATGTCGCTGATCACCGACGGAGTCCTCATGGGTCTTTGGGAAGGAGCCCAGGCGCAATCTTCGGATGAATGGGCTTCCGCCAAATTATGGTCTTATTTATGGAATAAGCACCTTTTTGCGGAGAAGGAATGGGTTGTTTCCTCGGAGACTCCTCCGGAGGGGCGTGGCCGTCGACGGGTGGATATAACGATAGAATATTTTGGTGGAGATAGTAAATTAGCTGTTCTCGCCTTCCACGAGGCAAAAGCATTGAACGCGGGGCCTCAAGATGTCCAAGATGCCGAGCACCAAGCATTCGACGCTTGTATGAGATATCTCGGAGAACACCCTGAGCTGCAATTTGTGTATGCTTTCACATCATTTGGAACAAAAGGCAGAGCATGGAGGTGCGCTCGCGAGGATATTTACCTTTCCCCCTTGTTCGGCTCAGACCACTTGGCTGAACGTACTGAGTACGTTGAGCTACACTCCTCAGAGGCCCAGCAAATCAGACAAGCCGTCCAAATGATGAAGGCTGTACCGCCATCTGGATAGGATTATGGAAGTTTATCAGCTGGCCTTCGCAGTTTAGCGTATCTCGTGGTATTGAATCTCAGAATGGAAGTTGTCTTTTGCGTTTCTACCTAGCTATTATATGTGATTATTCTGTCACCAAGCTGGCTAAACCACCAAACGATGATTCCATGCTCTGGTAGCTTTTGAAATCCACTTCTTTCCACATTAAGCTCAGTGTCATATATACCACTTCGGATGTCCTTGATGTAATCTCGTCCATCAACGACACCGTTCTCGATATACATAGGCCTAACAGTCTCCTGACTGAGATCGTGGTCCCATCGCACCTGTCCAATCGATTCAATATGTTCATCGCTGTAAAATAGCAGAAGACCCAGACATGGACAGTGTGGCTGTTCTTTATCCCTGCATACATGTAGCTTCACAAGGCCTTTGAGTGACGCCTTTGTCATGTACCAAGTACTGGCTATCGAGCCTCGACCGGGAGGGACTGCTGGCGGTTCAAAGCGTGTATCCATAGGCGGAGACTCCGGCGGCCCGACATCATATTGGTTATTGCAGGTAACTCCAATTTCGGAAATGTACTTTGTGGCTGGATCTAATCCATCATGAAAAATCCCCGAAACAGCACCATCGCCACCCCTGACCAAAGGGTGATATTCGTATTGATCGATAAGCTGAGCTGGGAATTGAGGTCCGAATGTAATGGTTCTCCCTAGTGAAGTTTGGAGCTTACTGGTGAGTCATGGATGAGGAACGAGGAAAGAGCGACTTACTACCAAGATAGGGTCAGAGGCTGACCCACGGCAAATCCTAAACTTCCGGATCCAAGCTGCTTTAATATATTCGTGTCCATTGAACGGGAAATAAATCCAGTGCTTATAGCTGTTACTTGTACGTCGATTCATCAAATCGATGAACTCTGTAAACGCCTTCGATACATCTGAGAAGCCGTGGATCCCAACAGTCTTAGCGTTGGCACAGCAGACAAGGAGACCTCGGATGTGGGAATCGAATTTCAAATAGTCCAAGCGAGATTTACATCGGGCTTGGTAGAAATTCCATGGGTGAAATTTGGGCGGGAAAGGAGAGCTCCAGGCCCTATACGTAGATAGACTACTTGAGGCGAGCTGAATGCCTCTCATGAAAAGGCCCTGGTTTATGTTAGTTTCTGCTCCTCTACTGTTGTTGGGTAACTATACATCACAGCTCACATAGACTTCCAAATCAGTATCTCCCGCGTCCAGAATCTCATACCATGGCGACCCATCCGATATGGGATTCGACTTATGATCAATGAATTGTATCCCACGTATGCCGATACAGTCGACTGACAGAATGATTTTGCTGATATTTCTAGGTAGCTTGATGTGGCATTGTTCGGAAGCGCTTGTTGACTCGAGCGGTTTGCCGCTGAGCTGTGCCACGTAAGAGGTTCCGCGGTATTTTATTCTGGACATCCACATTTCTGGTTTTAAACTCAGCTGCTTACTCTGGGTTCCATCTCTATCTCTCAAAAGTTCAATCAATCGACGTGTCTCACCAAGTACAGTCAAGTACCAGCATGGAGCAATTAAATCGGAGATCATAGTTATTATTTCAACCGGTAATTGCCCCAACAAGTCTTTAAAACCGTCTTGGATAATTTCTCTGGTGTACTTGCTGAAGAGCCCTTCCATAACTGACATAGTTTCCATATGTTCCTTGTATTGGCATTTATAAACGGGCCTGGTTGCATCAGCAAACCTTCTTAGATCTTCAGGAGTAGGCTTCTTGGAGGGCTCGTAGCTATGCTGTAGAACGTCGTAGCACGCTGCATGAAACCAGACCATGGGGCATGGCGACTGGGAACAGCGTGCGCATGAACTGCTACAGTCAGGGACAGTACGTAGTTTCTGATTTAAGTCTGCCAATGGGTTAGACGGGCAAAAGCTATGAGAAAAAGGAGGGCGCACCAAGAACATGTGACCCAACAGTTGCAGCTTGTCTGCACAGCACGCATAAAGTCTGCCCAATGTGTATGTCTTGTTCAGAAATCATCTCTGGTGAAGGTAATTGAACAGAAATCGGCATCCCATATATATAGGTGACATGTACTTCCTGAAGCTTTCATCAGTAAGGATAGCTAGCGCTTAATATGCAATGATCGGGGTCGGTGTAGAACTAAAAACCCTCCAAAACCGGCCGAGTCTTGGCCTTGGACCCACCACCTAGTACTGCGAGGCAATTACATTGACCGCCCCTGACAACCACCTTTGCTCCATCTTTCTATCTGTATCGCCACAATCTACTTACAACCAACCTTGAAGTCAAGCCTAGTGAAATGCAGCCAGTCTTCTTTAGGAATTGTTCGTTTCCACTAAGGAAAGTAATACGGTAGCAGTGTGAGGCATAGCTTAGCGATTATCAGGAGCTTCGATATCACTACCAGTACACGTGCCTCGCATACGTGAGGGGAGGCGGGTAGATTATAGTAATCATCAAAGGTCCAAAGCATATACACTAAGCCATATTTGGCTACACAGATACCAGAAACTATCACTTGCGTAACATTACAGTTGAGTAAAAGGGCACTAGCCCACCTCAGCTTTCTAGGGATATATTTTACATCGGCGTTTCTTGTCTGGGACCTACTTGCGTATCCTCCAACGGCATGTTTGGTCAAAGGTTTGGTTGCGTCCTTCAGCCGAAGCGCATGCGTATGTCTCTTCCACAGGTGTTGTCTTGCTTCTCAAGTGGATCCGCTTACTGACCGTGAATGATTGCCAATCCAATCTTTGAACAGATTTTGCCCTGTCCCTGTAGACGTCCCGTGTAATAAAACCCAGGAATGGCTCAGTAACGAAGTTCAACCGCAAAGTTGAGACTACAAATGGAACCTAAATAATGCAAATAGAACCCTAATTAGAGCCTGTGGTTGAATGTATAACGGAACGCTTGTGATAGTCACACATCTCCGTTACTTTACCATAGCCAGTTGACAGGACTCTCCAACATGAGCCCCTAAACATTTTGATCATGGGGCAAGACCAAATAAGGTTTTCAGAATCTGGCTCTGATGTTCGCCATAGAACCTGTACTTCTCGCCCTCACCTCATAGCCCAGGGTGACACGACGAGCAACTTCAGCGCACTGGTGATGGAAGCAAGAGAGCACAGCGACATTCGATAAGAAAGCCTGTATCAGCGAAAGATCGTGCGTGTAGCGTAGTTACGTTATCAAGTCTCATGGGGACGCAGCGGACCGAAAAGTTGAGAACGGAGCTCCAATCGGTTAATAGTCGGCCGTGACATTCAGTTCCAGACCTTGGAGAAGCGCAGTTCACAGGGCTGTGATCGGTGACCGTGGCAAAAATAGCCCACGGAATCACCCGGAATCACTGTTGAGACATTTATGCCATTTGGATTTGTTTCTCCGAGGCGTAGTTTCATCGTCATTTGAGCAATCTAACTGCAGGCAACGGCACACGGGATCTACATGGATGGGGCGAAAATGCAACCCAAGACGGGGGGTCGCGGAAAGGGGTAGGAGAGTGGGGTTAGTTGTAAGCCACAATCAGCCTTCTAGCCTGTCGGGGGTTGGTGTCAGCCTCTTTCTTGAAGAGGTGAGTACGAAGGGCAGAAGTTACCATAGAAGATAGAAGACCGTTCGAAAAAGCGAGTTCTCAAGTCGACGCATGGTCTAGTAGAGGTTGGAAAACTAAGAACAGAAAATATGAATAAATTCACTGCATAATAAAACAGAGGAAGTCAAAATCAGCTCCAAGGCTGGTTAGATCAAGCCGGATGGAGGTACAGGGAACTGGAAGTGGAGACGAGGTGAGGGCGAAGCTGCAATTTCCGATGGATGGGGAAAAAAAGAAGGGGGGCTGAGTGGAGGAACTCAATGGACTGGTGAGACAAACTGCCCCTGACTGGGTGAATGCAGAATATAGGAGGTAGAGTTGGGGACGAAGAAGAAGTTGGGAGGGGAAGTGCTTAGAACAGCGAGGGAGGATTCTTATATATTTGGGAGGATGAGGCGGGCGGTGATTATAGGACGGCGTATCGGGAAGCTATACTAGAAGCGGCAAAGCTAACCGGAAGAGGGAATTCCCTGGTCCTCGCTTTACACATACTATAATCGACATCCCATCTCAAGTGTTGATCGCCTCATTGATGAGCACATCGTTATACCTACCATAAATCTTGACACCCTCAAAAATAATATCGGGAGAGCCTATGACAAACTGCTCTAGATATAAGTAGAAGTTATAAAGTCTCTACTAAGCTACTGAGCAGTATATTATATACATTGACAGACTTTGGGACCTATTCTTGCCTTTATTTCCGAGGACACAATGATCAGTGCCCGATCTAAATGACTTGTTCGTCAACAAGGCGAACAGTACTTGGATGCGACATCTACTGAAGTATGTATATAGCTGCCACAGCATTGTTAGAACAAGGGACGGGTCTGTTGGCTGTCTCTTATGGCCGTTCTTTCTTTCTTTTCCATTGTTCGTCCAGACACTACTTTCCCTAGCAGCAACAGATACTCAAAAACCAGAGAATACAAGCAACCGCAGAGAACGATGAAGCCAGCCAGCTAGTTGCTAACATCTTCTGGCCCAAGCTTGCATTAATCCCAGCAGAATGAAACACAGATTTAAGGGCACCGACAAGTGAGACATACACCCCCGTAACCGTTGCTGACCCTGCTATATTGGAAACCATCGATATCTAGATACGGTTAGCGCCCAAGACCGACATTCTTGAGCCTGAAATTACGTACCATTGCGCAGATACTGACCAAGCAGCTTCCCCAGCGAGAGACCGTAGCCGTTAAGCCCGTAATTAGGGTGAGTACAGTTGTGATAAGTGCAGTTATATAAGTGGCGCTTATTCCCTTCGATGCCGCCTTATACACACCCTCCACCTTTTCGACTTGGCTAGGAAATATCTTTTCTGCCCATGAGCTCTCTAGCCCGAGTACCTCCGTAAAGTTGAACCAGAAGGACGAGCTTGGCGATGTACAATTCGTGACAGCGGAACCGGTTTCATTGAAGCTCCCTTGGCAGTACCCCCAAAGCCCAACGATGTAGAACCCCTGTATATTAGATTCTATCTTGGCAAGTTTATCAGAAACACCCTGAGCCTGATCCTTTGCTTCATCTACCGCATTTCCCACCGCTCCCGTCACGCCATCAATGGCACTGTTGCCTGCATTCTGCGCAGTGTTGCTTATGTCTTCCAGCGTTGACGAAACGTCTGAAGTAGATCCTGCCACCGCGGCTAAGGAATCATCAAGGACTGATCGTTTTGAGACGAGCCCCGCTAATTTCTTTTCCAGAGTTGAGCTAAAGCCCGTTAGGTTGGCCTGTACAGTCAATTGCTCAGTTTCACGCTTTTCCACAGAGTATTATGCACCGACTTTCATAAAATACAATTCACTTTGAGGAGACGATGTGTGGGTACAGCCAATACCCACGAATATAAGACATATCAGGCTCGCAATTGAAAAGGCATATGGCAAGACGACGCAAAGCGACTTCCTTGTCTTACCCATAGTGCCATAAAAACTCCCGCGCTTCGGTGACGAAACTGGGATATTTGGCGCTCTAAGAAGCGGGTTATGAACAAGGATAGTTTTTAATCACTCACTCAACCTTTTAAATGATGCTTACTTATACCGACAAGCGGCCTTCTGCATTATCTCTTTATAGATTTTTGCCCTCTAGGCGATGGATGCTATAGTAGCTGATGAGTGTTCAAGCTATGGCTCCATTATTTCAGGATACCCTTCTCAACACTCATTAAAATGACACCTGCCCCAACCAGGTGAGACCTATAGGATAGCCTTAAGTTCCTGTAGGGCCCTAAGAGAAAGAAGGATCATATGCATCGAAATGTCTGAAATATTCGCATTCTATCTATAAGCCCTAGAAACATGAGACACTAGCTTGTAGGCTCAGCTTGCGCAGCTGTGCTGATAGGGCCTCCCAAATTAAATATACTTCCACTGCAGAGTAAAAATCCTTATATCTATCATCCCAAGTTCATCTCACCCGCCTTTCTTGATCCCTAGCAAATTCTCGAATCGCCAAATACCACCGTAATATATTTCAGGTTTAGATTTTCCGACTTAGCTGACCGACCGACCTATCGTGGGCCATGATACTTTCTTTACAGGGATATACCGATGAGTTGTATTGCTAGGTTTTTTTACACTTTTTTTTTCCCATTATACTATTATTTACGTGTCATGTATTTACATATGTAACTTTACACAGCCGCATTTGTGGCTTGATATTTTCCCTTACAAAACAAAACACGTTACATTTGTTGAGATGACGAGCCATTACATACAACTCATATCAATTCTATTACATACAGATAGCTGATTGACATATATTTATGAAAGCTTGGTCGTCTATACTCAGGTCATTTAGCGCCAATATTTCATTTCCCGAATTTGCAGGACGGCTTCCATTAAGGATTGCAGAAATGCCATAGCCTAAACATTTAGCCCTTTTACCACCCAACTTTAAACATTGTGTCCGAAGCGCTGCATAGCCTGTGCAGCGTGTGGGATGTTTACAAAGTGCTCCCATTGCTTTTTGTTGTGATTTCAGGGGAATTGACATCAAAAGAGAGAACTAAGCCATTGAATTGGATGAGCGTACTTAGTTAGAATACAAAATTCATCTGTGGGAGGCACATTATATAGGCGAGGGACTAGCTGATCCTTCGGATCCTTCGGGGCTGACCTCAAATTCATAACACTTTTCAAATAGTGACAGCGAATCTTTGTCTCATCCAGTGCTGTTAATAGACAAACTATTATATTGACACCTCCAGTAACTTATAGTGAAACAGAGGGCCAAGCGAGTATGTAAGGAACATTGAGTAAATGGTATTAGGCCTATATAAACTCGTTTTCATCGAGAGCTGCGGTGTACTCTGGCAACATTTTTACTTTGACAGAGAGATATATGACTCCTCTTAAACTACCTCGGACCGAGATCCCAATCATATATACTGTAAGTAGTATTAACAGTCTAATTTCGCGCTCATACGTAAGATATGTCTCTAGTACAAAGCGAATTCTAAGAGCCTAAACTCTTCTTCTATTCATAAAGGAATGCATCCTTTCCACAGCTACGAAAATAACGCATACTCTCTCGATCCATCCTAAGCTCTATGTTTAGCTGCGTATATATAGCTGGAACTTGCCGATTATGGCGACCTCGGACGTGCTAAGCAAATACTCAGTGTACAGTGGATGAATACAGTAATACAGTCCCACAGCTGGACTTTGACTCGCAGACGTTTTATCAGTTCCTGGTATCGGTGCCACATGTCTCGGTGTTCAAGGTGGGTACTGCTTAAGCAGTCCTTTCATCATAAAGCGGCAATTGACTTCTCTAAGCTTTATCGTTCTCCCGCCGAAAATCTGGAAGCAAGCATGCTGAGAAGTAGCAAGAAAACTATGTCGTGTAGGGTTGCTATATTTACTTGAGCCGCGGTCGTTCCTCGACGTCGCATAAGAAGGTATCCCCTGTCCTTTCCTTGATATAGCAACCATATTTCTCCTTCCAATGTAGGGCTCTAGCTTACAAAGATGACATGAGCTAGTGTGCTTTTATTTTAAGTAGCTAGCCATAAAATTTAAGAAAAGTCATACATACATACACATACCACGGAGGGGAGAACCAGGCATAAAAACCGCCGTGGAGAATATGTATGTAAAGTAAAGTCTGAACAGTTAGGCCCGGAGACTCAATGTCCTGTAAATAATTTTAAAGGCTGAGTTAGTTTACACTCTATGTTTTCTAACTTGGTTTGATTTTCACATGTGGAACTGTTACTGTAAGATAGGACTGATGAATGTCTTAGATAGACGTAGAGGAAAGAATAGCGAAAGTATCTCTCTCTAAGGCATTAAACCACCAATTGCCTAGAAACATCTCTGGTCCAAAACGAAACATGTCTGATGTCTTCAAATCTCTTTGCGGTACGCAAGCCTCTCTTGCCTTGCGAATCCCATTTCGTAGAGGCCTATCAAAGTTCCTTCCATATGAGAACTAGGCATCACATGCTACAATAGAATCCAGGGATAGTTGACTATATATATTCTCACGTTACAGTATGAGAGTTAGTTCAGAACGATTTATACAAACGCTGTTAGCTTTCTACTTTAATAATATTGGTTTATATGTATCAAATCATCACACCATGTAGAATGTTTATGAAGGAGCGGCAGGGTCCTTAAGTGAATAGCTTAAAGTGATCAAACTCATAGAAATTTCACCCTCTAGATGATGCATTCACATGAAAAGGAATCTCAGTAATTAATTAATTTGGGGCTAGAAGCCATTTAGTGAGGGATTTCGCATTAGCTGAAATTCTCAATGGCGGTGACACACGTTTACTGCTCATGAAGTGGACCTCAATCGCAAATTCAGAGGCTTTGCGATGTTCTATGCCCTCAACTAATTGACGCGGTGGGCTTGGCTCTATGAGTTTTAGTTAACCTGCGAAGTATAGTCAGCTTGGCGGGCAGCTTAGCTGAGTGATCATGGATTTGCTCTGGGATTTGATCCCGGATCGCTCCCGCGCTCTGGCTCAATGCTCCGGGAGCGCTCAGCACACGCACTTCTGCCTTGCCCCATGCTCCGGGATCAATCACTGAGCAAAAAGCGGCCCTGAGCTAGACCCATTCCGGAAAGGGAAAGTCACAAAGTTTCCGCAGGGAAACAGTTCGCTAGTAGATAATTAGAGTACATTTTAAGTCCTATTCTCTAATTCTTTTCATATCAGTGGTGTTGGCTTTGTTGTATCATCCCGAAATAGACATATATACCTTGGCGCCAATTCCGGAACACCCCGTTAGGCTACCATGTCGTGAGTCGCGACACTACCTTAACCATCACGAATATTCTGTTTAAACTCTACTATTGCATCCTAGCTAATTAAGGATATGTATAATGCAAATCTAATTCCCACGACCTTGATTCCAGCGGTATTTAGAAAAGCCACAAAACTAGTTGTTCGCACTACCTTTGATTAGGCCGTGGCTGATCTGATATTTGACTTGAGAAAATCCAAACCCTTGCTGCATTCTGCTTTATCCCATTTTCTCTCTTTTTGAAGCTATAATTGTCTTCTATGTATCCCCAGAGTTTCTATCGGTTGAGCCTAGGTATCTACCTGGTTTTCACTATTCGAAAGTTTCGCCTGGGGATATTATTTCCGGTGGGCATCAGGCTCGGGCTGGAGAGCAAAGCTCGTGGAAAACCAGCCCTCGATATATCCACCAATCTTACGCTCTAGGTTCGAAGCCCTTATATGAAAATGAAACTTCCTGGATGGCTAAATTATAATAGGCAGCTAATTAGGGTATTCAGCACTATCTTCCGGCCACCTGCGCTTCATTAGACATTACTGGCGCTGTCAACTTTACCGTTCCAGGCTTGGTAACAGTCCCAGTTCTATCCGGCATTAGGTTTATAGCTGTTGTGATTCAAAGGAAAAATAGTTGTTTTCGTTACTGCTGTAAGCCTGAAATTTTATATACAAGATGGACGTCGGCTTGATTTCCAATCAAGCTGATTCTTATACGGATTTAATTCCGCATCTGAAGCTCTATAGTTCACCTTGTCGAACCTCAATTCACAACAGACAGACCAGGGCCCTATGGAGGCCTTGCTACCTAATACTGGCTGTGAAATTGGAACTGATACTTGAGAGGGACAGCTCAATTCAAGGAGAGATTGCCTCCTCTTCCTCGTCTATGCTATAACGTTTCGTAGCCCTTATATACCAATAATATTAATAACGTTCCCTAAACAATAGGCGATGCTCAACTTCTCTCCACACTCTAATGGCAACCCTAGTCACTAGAAGATGACAATTGCTGGTGATGGAAGAGTACGAAGCACGATACATGATAAGATTGACATACTTACAATACGCGGAAGGCTAGTTAAAAATCTCGACCCATGTGGACAAGGGCATTCGATTCGATAATAGCTATTAAACTTTGGATAGTGAAAATGGCCCCTGACTGACCTTTCCGCCTTTCAAAACATACGATGCTATGCAATTATCCAGACCTGCGGATTTCTGGAGAAGGGTCTCGCGCTATCATCCTCTTAAGCTTAGTGTGTTTTCTGTTATGATATCAAGCGCTGCACCAGGTGCTCCACAATCAGATCCGACCCATAGTTTGGAGTCTCTGAGCTGCTGGAAACTATAGTTCTTAGCAGTTGGACCAGCTCCTCAACATGAATTAAGGAGAAATCGTTGCGCCACATGGTTGCATGAAATTCCTTGGCTGCGTACGATTGTAATGACTCCCAGTGATACTTTCTTGCAAAGTGGTAGACGCGAGAATGTCCGCAAAGAGTCGTCATATGTAGACTAGAAGATCTTTGCGGCTGGTACGGAGGGATCACGACTGCGAAAGGTCCGTCAAATGGATGACTTTCTTGAGTACACGCAGCGGGATTGCCCAGTTCAGATGACGACTGGGGCTTCAATTGGGGAGCAGTATAGCGCCCTGTATATGCATACTGGCAACAACAAGCGAAAATCATAGCATCCATGTGCTCTAATGAGATCATGCGACCATGTTGCTCGGTCTGCAGGTCGTGGAGTTCCCGTCTCAGTGCATCCGGAAAGCGCTCCAAAATTGCTGAGTGTATTGAGAATCTAGTATGTTCTGGCCCTACCACGAAATGTAGGGGCATGGATTGGAACAATCTGTAAATATTAAGCCAGGTAATCCTCTTTCAGTATTGTGACAGTAGGGCTTACTCTTGAGGTGCAAATGACATTCTGAGCATTCATATTTGATGGTTCACATGTTATTACTCTCTATCTTATCATATTTATAGGTGAATTATCTACATGACCAAGGTATATAGTGCAGTTTGGATTGTGGCTGATAACCAATCCCACATGTTGAAATATGCAATGAATTATGCTCAAGGTAGATTTTAGTAAGTGTTGAATATATGTGCTTATTGTAGTTATTATTGTGTTTGAATTATATGTTCCTTGCATTTTATTGTTTCCTTAGGATACCATTGAACTCAATGACCCAGCAACAGGACAGGCGGCTTTCCTGTTGTCTAAATTGAGAGATCAACTGGGTGTCTGTTGAACTCCCTTTGCTCATTTTCAGAGCCAGCTAACCTTTTACTCTTTTGTCCCAATATTGCACCTGTCTGAATTGCATAACACAACAATTATAGACTGCACTAAGCTGCCATTCACTAAAACAATACTATCACTCAACCTTGAAAACTGTGGGCCAACTGATAGTGCACTTAGCAGAGGCCTGAAAGCAGCTGCTGGGATCAGAGTACTGTACTGTAGCACAGTACTCTAATAGCAAGAACAAAATCCTAAGGGACAGTTCAAGTTACTATGGCTTTAATGAGAACATATATAATAACCCCAACAAATAGGGGAGCTCGATTACCTATATGCTCTACTCTACTCTCGCACGTTTAGCGAATTGGGTAAAGCTGATTTTTTCTTGCTCGAAGGACTCTTTGTTGTTGACAAAGATAAAACCCTTTTTGCTTGTTAGAATCTATAGACTCCTGTAGTCACTCTTCTCTGTTTAATGACGATTTTACTAGCATATCTCGGCTTCTCTATTCACCTTATGTAAAGACTGATCCATCCGCCTTATACAGAACAAAATAGGTGATTTATCATTCTTGACACAATTGATTTGTGGATATACACTAGCAATATGGGTATTGCTATTGTACAGGTGTATTGCCCACTCCACATGGATTCTCTACACTCTATTGCAAATTTCCCATCTAACACATGCATAGAAAGCAAAATCCTTTGCTGCGGCTTAGTCAGATAGGTCCTTTCGATGACCCTTGCCCAACTAATGCTCTATTTTCCTTTCCGTAATAGCCTCTTTTGGGCCGTCTGAATTAGTATCCTCCCCTTTTTCATGGATTATTTCGAAGTTCTTTTCGGTTTGATGGACTGGTGTTGGATAATACAAAGCCTATATTCGTTAGTAGCCTAAAAATAGTTTCTGGTAGTGTAAACGTACGAGTTGCGAGACAAAAGAAGACCAGAATCCCTTGGTGTCAGCGAAGGTAAACATTCGGCCCGATTTTCGTAATCTGATTCCGACAAATACATCGGCATCACATATCCTGCCATATTGGTACGCTTTATTCATTAGGCTTCTTTTGCGCCGATCTGTTTTTTGACGGACAGAATCCCGAGGTCCCCGCATTTTGCGCTGATTAGAGTGTGTCATCATATATCAAGTAGCGAAGAGTCTATCGGCGCATGTAAAATCTACTCCCAATTCAGGGCCAGTATAGAGCTTTTTTAATACCGCAGTCCTAACCTAAGGTCGCCTTGTGTTCTTGTAAAGGATGTAATGCTTTAATGATCGGGACCCAATAGCTATTGTGGGCGCGGAAATGTTGGAAATTTCTCTTTCGGTGGATCGATCGGAAACCTTGAAGTCATAAACTTAACTGGCAATTGATCAACAACGCGTATTGAACCAATTTCGCTCCCGATACCCAACCACCCGCAATTTTGTTGACCCTCAGAAATTAAAAGGCCATTTTTACTTTCTATACAACCCCAGAGTATATCGATTGCATTTAATGTAAATACGAAGTTTGATCATTTTTAATCTCTACCAATGCCATCTACAAACATTGCAATATATCTGCCTTGCTTGATATGGGGAGTAGGTGGTGCACTTTTATCCCTAACATACTAAAGGCGTGTTTGTTTCAAAGTAAACTGAATCAGCATTGAGTCAGTAACTGAGATGTGCACAATGACTTGCTTAAATAATCCACAATGTTCATTAGTTAAGAAAGTGTAGAAAATCTTAATGGATTTTTTTTGGAGCGATCCTTAAAAGGTTGCATTGTCGAATTGTTGAAGACTTGAACTAATTATGACTAGAAATTAAAATATACTTGGAGCCACAATTTTGTTCAAACAGCAGTCCATATACCGCGATTCTCGAAATGGCTTGACTAGCCGAATTTAATTTATTAATTTTGTGTTCAACTGTCAAACAGAGCGAAAACAACGGACATCGTTTTGGAGGGCCATACTATCACTTATTTGTGGGTCAAGCTGAACTGCTTCCCCTCTCTCCATTTTCCTGTTTGTTAGGTTTGTTCAATGTTCAATGATAGCCGTCTCTTAGGTCAGCAGCCCCACCCGCCCTTCGGCGTGTTGGTCTGCTTCACCCATACGACAATTTTCATCTAAACGATAAATTTGAAGCTATTCAACTGACTATACAATGTCGCCTTGCGAATTTATCCAAAACGGTAGTTTAGGACCTTCTTTATCCACCTGACTAGCCTCCTGACTAGATAGAATCTCTGTATCTGCCTGTGGTGCTGGTTGATCATGTCCTAAAGTTCGCGCTTTCTTGATCCGTCGAAGTTCTTTGCGTCTTTCCTCTTCATTCCTGAACTGAATATAGCGTTTAGCATCATATACACTTAAAGGTCCAGTATATTGAATCCTTTTCTTTGATCTCCTTTTGGATTGAGGCTTCTGGTATTGTAGATGAAGTTGTAGATCATTTCGAAGTTGACCAGCTAGTTCAGTAGTTTCTAAAGAGCTTTGAAACACGCGATCAAGGCGCCGTACAAAGCTCTGATCAAGCCCTGGACTATTATCAATAAAATCCCGTACTTTTCCAATGCTTCGACGAAGGCCTCGTATTGTAGATGGAGGTGAGGAACTAGATGGCGGCGGTGGTGTAGTAAAAATCCTAATCTAGGTGTAGGACTATTAGCCTTATATAAAGGCTCTATAACCTCTTCAGGATTGAATGGATAGAGGCCTCGCTTTTTAAAGGCATCTCGAATTATACGTGATTTAAAGGTTTTATCACGTACTGCTGGTATCTCTTTTAAAAAGGCAGCTTTATCATCTGTTTCTATACCCAGGCCAGCCAGATAGTTATTCCGGTCTCGATAGTAGTGTTTATACACCTGGAATGGCTGGCCATCAAGCGGTTGAATAATATGTGTTGTGTGAGGAAGAAAGCAGTAAGGAATAATATAGTTTTGACCACAGAACTGAAGAAATTCATACGTTAGATGAGATCCATGGCCATCAAAAAGTAGTAATCGAGGCTCATTCTTCTGCGTAAGACGGTGTTTTGTATGGCGATCAAAGTGATAAATCCAGTCAAGGCCAATTAAATCAGTAGAATAGCCTTTAGGTGACACTGCTATACAGTATTCGCCTGGAATATCTGATTCATACCATCGCTCCATATGGATGACACCTTTGAAGATAAAATAGGGTGGTAAAATAAAACCACCTGCAGCAATACATTCTATTGCAGAAACTAATTCTCCCATCTATTTTGATGGATTGCCTCTTAATGTCTGGTTAGGCCTAGTCGTTACCACTTTTTGAGGTTTTCCTTGGCCAATTTGAAAGCCAGTTTCATCAAAGTTATAGATATTCCGCGGCGGAATCTGTGAGATAAAACCCTCCAAGACATCATACCAGTGTTGAATTTGACCAATATATTCTGCATTTAAGCGTGTCCTATCCTTTGGCTTCTGTTTATACTCTTCAACTGATTCTTGAACCCTAATGCTAAGATATGTTACTCTGTTCTGGGAAAATTCCGAACTACCCCTGTCGATACCTGACGTACGTATTATATTATTTGCGTAACAAGCATAACAAACATCGTCGTAAATTTGAGACTTCCAGCATTAGGCAGCCATCCGGCCAGCTCCGCCTCGCAATGAGGCTGAAGCGGCGCCCCTCCTCACTCCTCTGTTCCAATCCTCACCAATACGGCTATATTTTCTCTTTGATGAACGGCCGAATATTTCTATATTCCAGTCCAGGTGGTCCTGGCTATCGCCATGGCTGATCTGCTCTCGATCGGAGCTGGGATCGCCGGGTTTCTCTCGCTTGGGATTCAAGTTACACAATCTTTGGTTGGTTTTTATTCCGTCTACAAGCACCAGGACACCGATCTTGCAAAGATCACACAAAATATCCAAAATCTCCAGAGTTCCTTTCGGTCCCTGCAAATTGCAGTTCAGCAACACCAATCTCAGGCTGACGCAGAAGAGCTACTCCAAGAAGTCGACAAGACCACATAAATGTGCCAGGAAATCATTAAAGAGCTTCAGACAGTATGCCATAAATTTCACAAAGAACCTGCCTCTGGTTTGAAGGGTCGTGTTCAAATTGCTGGACATCGTGCCGCCTATCCGTTCTGAAAAAGCACTATACAGAAAATTGAAGAGGATATTGGCGAGGTACGTGAAAATTTGTTGTTCGCACTGAATGTTTTACAGTTTAAAGGCCACAATCATGTTAAAGATAAAATATCTGAACTCAAATCTCTTCTTGAGTGGATAAACACGAGTCAGATCTCTCTTACAATTCGTGCGTGGCTTATGGCCCCCGATGCTTCTGTAAACCATAATGCTATATATGCAAAACACCATCTAAACACTGGCCTATGGTTGATCAATGGCCACCAATTTATAAATTGGCTAGTAGAATGTAGTTCTTTCCTCTGGCTCCATGGGTTCGCAGGATGCGGAAAGTCTGTCCTGTGTTCAATTGCAATACAACATAATAATAACCAAGTGAACTTGCAACCAAATGGTTAACTAAATCAAGATGTTGGAGTTCTATCCTTAAACCATTGACTAAGAATTGCTGATGAGCCCAATTGCCAATAGGGAAATGGGGTATTGAGGGTGAATGAATAATTATAAGGATGTATATACACAAGAGCATGCAGGGCAGTGAAGTTCTATATATTATTGAATATGCCCATGAAATTACCTAGTATCGCAGGCACCTGATATATGCCTGGTGAATTGACCACCCGCGGAAGTGTGTGGATTGTTGAAAACTACGGTAATCAGGCCACATATAAAGGCTTCATGATTCCCACCTAGATAGGCTGTTGAGGTAGTTAAATAAGGATCAAAATCTGATTGATTTGATAACCAATTAATACCAGATAACCTACATATATATATATATAAATCCACTCTAGAGGGATCGGGATTACCGATATAGAGAAAGCAGGCCTTGGGTTGTTCGACCAGTGGACAACCCTTCAACGCTGCAGTACGCCACCCCTGCCACACTTAATATTTGCTTGGATTTGCCGGATCCGGGCAACGCCAGCGACTGCGCACGCGATGTACATCGTGAGCATGGCGCTGGAACGCCATTTTATGCAACAAGACCACCTCACACCACTCACACTTGAGCGGCTCTTCGTTCAGGTGAATGGCGTCAAAGTGCCGTGTTACACATCCAGTGTCATGAAACTTTTTACAGCGAACGTCATCAGGCTGCTTCTCATCCGCAAAACATTGAAAGCAAGACTGAGGTTTTTTTGACTCCTGAATGTGTTCCCTGGTCGCACGCAACCGCTCGTCACGTACAGAAACAGGAGCCTCGCGTCGGTCAACGTCGTCTTGGGCTTGGCGCGCAACGTGGGGCTGCGAGGGACTATCTGACACACTAGGTTCGGATGTCTCACGCTTGGGACGGCCCCTCAGCGGACCCCCTTCAAGGACATCACAGTACTGTACGACTGCTGCGGCGCCCGCATCGCGCCGATTCCACTCATCCTCCAGTGAATTGGACATTGGATATGAAACAAGACATTGCACAAGATGCAACTGGAGCGGATGCATATTATTCTCCAAGAGTGATTCGTCCTCACCCTCTTCCTTGACAGCCGTACCAGACAGCTGCGCCTCGATATCCAGGAACGCTTGCTCTTCATCAAAGTCCTCACGAACTCTATGCCGCAGGGCTCTTAACAACCGTTTTCGCGTGTTCTTCACCTCTTTCTCTAGTTGTTGAATGCGGGGAAGCAGACTAGGTTTCTGAGTCTCCTCGTACTGGGCACGCGCCTTGCTTAGCTTGCAGCGGGCCTCTTCTAACTCGGGATGATCCTCAACCTGGGCTTTCTGCTGGTCAGTCAGGTACCGTGGCCGTCGAGTGTCTCGCCAACGACTTTGCCGCGTTACAGCCCGCATCAGTTCCACGTCCGGGTCAAGGCCGCAGATAATCCGGATCATATCTGTGTCAAGCTGTAGAGGATGATAATGTTCAAGAAAGGTCCGTGGGCTAGCATGCTTCATGATCAACATATGTTGTTCCTTGCTAACCCACCCTGCCAATAAAGTCAGCCAACCGACCAAACAGGAAAGGCTAATAAAACTTTGGGACAAATGGAATTACTTACCACTCTCATTGACCACCTTCCCACTCCCATACCGGAACTGATGTGCATGGAACGCGCCTGGCCACCCGCGAATCTCCCCAAAGGTAACCAGCAGGCTCGACATCGCTGACTTCGTCATGGGTTTCGTCCGTTGGATGGTCGGAACGCCTTTGACTAACTCGGTCTTACAGAAGACATACCAATCAGCCTTGTCTCGATCTAAAGGCACCAGAAGTTGCTCGCAGCTCTTGCTTATAAAGAGTGTCCGCAACTGAGCCTTTGACCTCAAATTCTGATTCCGGAACGCCTTGGCGTGGAATAAAATCCCGAATAGCAGTGTATGCGGGCACAGCACTAATGACGGTCCGTAGACCACTTCAGGAAGTGCAAAGGTAGTCCTGTTAAATCAGGTTAGCTAAGTATACTCCGGTATAGGCTTCTTGAGAAGGCATTTTTAAAGAATCAGGGTGTTTTGGCAGCGCTTGAGGAAGAAAGGGGATAAGAAAAAAAATATCTTATTACAATTTTGTTACTCCAAGGAACTTTTTCGTTCCCTCAGCTGTTAGTTCGACCATAGGAATCGGGGGCCCACCGCGGGGATCCTTCTGAAGAGAGATCTGCAGATCCTTAAACTGCAGACTTAACAGCGCACTCCGCCGGTGGACAGTGAACAATGCCAGGGAATTGAACAGACACACCTGGATGCGCTGGAAGCCTAGATAAAACTTCTTTTCCTGGGTAGATAGGATTGTCTCGTTTAAGGGGACAATATCTTCAATATAAACTGGTGTCTTCTTTCCGGGCTGGGTATCTAATCTGTTCTCTTCAACCAGAAATTTGATGCCCTGCCGATCACAAAATAAGTTAGTTGAGACGGTTTGATAACAGGTCAGAAGAATTAAGATCTATGTGACTAGATCCATGTGACTGACCCTCCGCACTTCCGAGCCGTCCTGGTCATTAATTTTAATCTTGGTAACCTTTTGGTAGTATCCACGTAGGTTCTTCCAGTCTGTCATCAATGAGCTAGACTTGTGGATGCCTTTCAACTTTCGATTATCTTTCCCTCGCTTGAGTTTGAGACACCACCCCAAAAATCGGTACATATCGTTATTCGATGCCTGGCGTAGGGCTTCCTCAGGTTCCTGCCATTTTGGCTCGTTGGGCTCTAGTCGTATTTTGCCTGCACAGAACCTACACCTTCGTTAATCGAGGTTTACTTAACACGGAATGGAGCTAGAGCCATACCGTTTCCAGCGGACTTCAATCCGCTCACGCCGTGTGATGGTACCTTCAGCTTTATCAAAATCCTCAGGAATCTCAGAGAGATCTACTCCGGTATCGTCAAGAGGATCATCATAGAATTCTCCCAGACCGTTCTCTTGTGCTAGTTTCGGGGCAGGGCCGCTCTTATCCGCTTTGTGCCGCTTTCTCGCCGGTGGCTGGAAGTCAGGCTCGGTGAGATCTGTTTCAAAGCTGGCATCCGACCGATCATCTGATTCATTGCTACTTGTTGCACTGTCATTGACACAATCGCTCTCTTCAAGGTAAAGGTTTTCACTGCGTTGAGAGCGTAGATGCTTCATTCTTCAACCTTTTTGATAGACAAGACGATTGATGTCTACCGCAGGTAGCAGACACAAGGGAAGGCAACTCGAGATTACCGCACGACCAAGTGATGGGGCAGCCAAATCCAGAGTGGGATAGGAATATATGAGGATGGTATAGAAATGGATTTTGAGTAGGATGGTATGGAAAACAGCGAAAGTAATGAAGAGGAGTAGAAGCCATTGTAGTTTGGCTGGGGCTCGCGCCCCATTTAATGGGGTGCAGCGAGGCCATTTTTGGCGCCCTCACAAAATGGCGGCTGGAGATGTGATGGTCAAGCGGAAGGTGTGCCTTTCGGAAAAAGAAAGAAATGGAATCGCCCGCAGCGGTGGGGCCCTGAGGGAGGTGCTGTGGTGCGTGGTGGTAGCAGAAAGGATGCGTGGTGTGAGTGAAAAGTCACGTGCTACCAATTGACGGCCGAAAAAGGCGTCCATGGCGGCCGAAAATGGCAGCCATTTGGTAAACCCAAATTGTCATAAAGTAATATAAGTAATATAGTAATAAGATACTCTTGATTTAACTATATATATATTATATATATCTATAGTATATATTAAAAATATACTAATAACTAGAATCTAGATTAGTTTATACTTTCTTTAATATTTATTAATTTATATAATAGATTTAGATCTAGTACTCTATATATACTTTATAAGTACTTAAATATTAAAAATTATATTATTACTTTAATCTAGAAGTAAAAGCTCTTATTATTTTCTAAAAAAATATATATTATAGATATTATTTATATTAGGATTATATATTATATATACTAAGTATAATTTAAATATATTAAAAGAGTATTCTTTTAATTAGCTAAAGAAAAATAGTAA